TGGCAAGGATGCGAGAGGGTCTTCTGGGAAACGACGGATGATCCGCGCGTGTGCTGGCATGGTCGTTGCCACGGGCTTCACTTTGTTTGCCACCTTCTTATAGGCGAAAGTGCGGCAGACTGGGTCAATGTCGAAGTGGGATTGGAGGAGGAACTCGGCGAAGGATGAGAAAACGAGACGAAAAGTAGGGATAGGCATATTTAAACGAGTTGTAGATAGGGAATACGAGGAGGTGGTTGAGGAGGTAATGGGGGAATTAGCATGATATCTATTGGCAGAGCTGGCTGGTAGGATGGGATGATGGATGTGCGTCAAATTTGTTGGCGGGATAGCCAGGACTCGTTCGGGGTTTGGCAGTGAATTGACGCCTCCAAGTTTGGCGTTGATCTTCATGCCTAGATTCGCACAGTATTGGTCATTAGCTTTCTCGATTTTGTTCTCTTGGCCACGGTGTGTTGGGAGACCAGCAATAACGTTACCAGGTTTAGCGTTGATCTTCATGCCTAGGTTCGTACGGTATTGGTCATTAGCTCTCTCGATCTTGTCCTCTCAGTCACGTTGTGTTGAAAAACCGGTGATGACGTCACCAAACGACTTGATGGTGTGGTAGATGTTGGTAGGACTGGTCGAATACGGGGGGAAAATGTACATGGCGGATAAATTTGGAAGAAGCGGGAGAGGAGTGGTTGAGAGTGCCGCGGCTGTTAATGCAAGGGAAGGATGCGGCGAGAGACGAGGTGTGGTTGAGACCCGTTTGAATGTTAGCAGGGTCTGTAGGGTCGCGTATGGATACGTATACGCCATCAGTGTCCTCCTCTTTTGACAGACGGACGAGGCGTTGCCAGGGTCGTCCCAGCAACAGTCGATAGGGTGCGTCTGGCACCACATATGCATGAGCCCAGGTTTTGATTCCATCTACCTCTATTTCTAACATCTCCACACACCCTTCCATTTCCTGTGATCCCCCATTTGCCATCTGCATTCGCATACGAGCGCCCTGGTTGATCAGCGCCTTGGTCTTCTTCCAGACATCTTCCCGTATGACGACGATTTCAGATCCTTCGTCAAGCAACCCAAGCTCCGAGTGAACCCCATTGAGAGTAACACGGATTTCGCGTAAGGGGGTGGCATGTTCAACTTGCTCGCTAGGTATTGAGGCAGTGGTGTTTGTTGAGAGGGCAGTAATAGGTGCAGGGACTCTGTAGGTGCGACAGTGCTCAACAGCTTCTTTTCGTAGCTCGGGACTGATAGCGAGAAGGTCGGCTACTGTTAGGTGGGGTATCGTTGTGTCAAGAATTCCCTTGAAGACGCGCCGTACCGCATCTGGGGTAGCTGCCTTGGATTCATATCTGAACGCTGGCGGTTTCTTTGCTTCTGAGGCAGGGACTGTAGGAGGTGCTTCGATTAGATGAGACGGGGTTGGCATCATGCGTTCGGGCTTAGGCGTGGTTTCTGTATTGCTGCTTCCCTTCGCTTTGGATCGTGTGACCGCGTTAACGTCTCCTTCCAATTCTTCACTTGTGTCATCCTCAATGGTGACAACTATAGCGTGGTTCTCGACGATGGGGACACATTGGAGAAAGTAGGAGTCAGATATGAAGGCCGTTGAGGGAATCTCGGTGGGTGCGACAGGTTGGGACGTGCTTTCACACCTCGGCGCCTCGACGGGAATAGCGTTTGATCCAGTAGCGGGTGTAGTTGGCGCTGGTATCGCGTACCTCGCATCAATAGCCTGCCTCAGGTTCTCGTTTCCTGTGCGACGTATTCGAGACCGGTCTGGATATGCAAAGTACTGACCATCTCGAATGATTCGTCCTGCTCGTAGATAATCACCTGCAATCGAGCACGAACGAATTGCGTGGGGACCGCCGCAAAAAAAACAGGAGGAGTTGGGTTGAGCGTTTGATGAGTATTGGAGGGGTGGTAGCGGAATATAGGGCAATGATGCTTGGGGAGCGGGTGTACTGATAAGTTGGTGAGAGCGTGGTGGCGCCCAGGCCTGAGCTGCGGCTGGTGCGAGGCAGACTAAATGCGTGTAGCATCCGGAGTAGGCTACATCTCCAATGTCCAATCCGTGCATTTTTCGCGCGAGATCCTCTACCTCGTCTATGGTGGTCTTGACTGGGGGGGTAGGAGGAGTTGCGAAGGATACTCGCTTAGTTTGAACCTCTTTCCGAACCTCTTTTCTCTCTTCTTCGTCATCTGAATCCCAGGGAGGTTGAGCCTTGGGTCGCGTCGTGCGTCCTTCTCGTATGGTACGAATCCTAGTAGCTATAGGTTCGTTTAAGTCAGCATCGAAAGCGTCGTCTGAGAAAATGAATCGTCCGGCTTTAAGCACTTCTTCAAAGTCCGTGGCCTCCGTTCTTGAGTATGTCGGATTCTTCAGTTCGAGACGCCTGTCGATAGTGCGTCTAGTGGCAGCTGGTAACCCTTGCCAGAAATAACGATCACGTTCTCGTGTCGAATATCTTGCTGTTAGCGACGAGCCAGTGTGCAACAGGGCGGAACTGTCGGTAGTATTGCAGAAGTTCTGTTTCTGTCGAGATATCGTTGTCGACGTTACTGATGACAATGCGCTCCAGATCTCGTATGGTATAGCGCTGACCCTTGGCAGCACCAGAATACTGGGCCAAGATACTAGCTTTGAAAACGTCGAAGTCCTTACTTTCGTAGCCTGTTAGCGTCACCCAGAAGCGTTTTGTCTGAATGTCCACATATCGAACGATTGTCTTGCATTTCTCAGCGGGAGTGAGTGTGCAGGCGTCCGCTAAGTCCTCGAAGAGTTCAAAAAACTCCAGTAATTCCGAAGTCTCGCCATTAAATGACGGGGCTTTAGTGGAGTTGGCGCCTGGCATGGCGTTAATGCCTCTGGATGCGTTGGACATTTTGGCCGGAGCTTGAGATGCGGGAAGATGATGTGCAAAGGGATTTGGTAAAGGAGGAGGCGCCGCAAGGATTAAATTTTGTGTCGGGACTGTTTGCACTGGAGCCGTAGAAACTGGGACTTGGCTATTAGGGAGTGTGGAGGGTTCGAGAGTAGGTGTGTTGGGAGGGGGTGCTGGTACGCGAAGGAAGTCTGGGGGAGGTATAGGGGGAAGTGATTTCGCAGGGGGGGCAGTCTCGTAGGTATCAGGAAGAGTGGGAGTTTCGGGCTCGAAGACAGCTGGTCTAAGGGTGAACGTTGGCTGAGGGATAATGGGGAAAAGGGGGTTCGTGTTAGGGGAGGGTCCTATAGTCTCGTCGTCTGAAAGAGAGGACTCGGATGGTCCTTCGGAGGTGTCTATACTTGATTGTACTGATTTGTGACGGACCGGCGTGCGGGGGGGTGCAAGAAAGGATGGTTGCGTCAACGATAAGGTGGACGGGGAGTCGACCGTGTTTGCGCGAGTTCGGCTCTTCTTTGGAGCCAGCGCAAGTGGCTGCTTCTTGAGCTGTAGCTGCACGTTAGGATGGTAGTACTTTGAGATAATTATTGTAAGAATGGTCCAAAGACCGGGTATTGAACGATTCAGACTAGAAGATCTGTAGAGATCCGCGAATCTGATTCGTAATGCAAGGGGGTGTTAAGACAGATCCCCTCGCGGTGGGCTCCAAAATATGTAAGGCTATCTGCGAGTTCGACGGGGATCGTCGAAGTAACCGATAGTAGAAGGGATCGAATATAATGAAAGACTTTTCTAATGAGAGTGCTGAGGCTTCTGACGAGAGGACGTTTCGGACGGAATGCGCGCGTGAATCTAGCGGGGGAGCAAAGACTAATCATAATGAGCGTACATGCGTGTATTTAAGTTGTGAAAATAGGGTAAGGGTCCTTGCTGTAACGAAAAGAATGATTTGGTGAGACGGAGAGTGGTGGCGTTGAGCCTAACAGGGTGAAACATCGATAATAAAATGGAGTACGAGAAGTTTTTGAATGGTTGGTGGTAATGGTGTAGTACGTTGAGCACCTGAATGACGAGAATTTCATATTGGTTTTGGCTGTTTTCGGTGTGTCAAGGGAGGGATTATGAGAATAGTGACGAAAGAAGGTTTATAGATGTCTGGGTATCGTGTAAGGAAGGCGGGAGAGCGAGCTGGTTGTCGACGACAGTGAGATAATGATAGTAAGAGACGAAGGATGTAACCTCGTAACTTGGATGCGAATGTGACGCTTGTTCGCATCCGTGAGTTACGTGGTTGGTTTGGACTTTCGTCCGAACGCTTGGTTTTGAAGCGCTGGTCGGGGCACAAAGGATATGTGATCCTTACAACTTGCAAACAACGAGTGAAATTCTTAGTATCTAGAGACACAGAGAAAGTGGGTGGAAAATTGACCCAGAATATAAGTAATAGGAGGGTATAAGTAAAGTAGCTAAGCAGCGCTAGGTGCGCAGGTCCGATGTAATGAGCCAAACAGGCTAAAATAGTATGCGGTGTATGTAACAGGGTCTCGGTTATGCACGAAGCGCAGAGCCAAGTATTAGTGATGGAAACCAATTAATTGAAAAGGGAATATGATGGAAAAACGCACCAATGAACATCTAAGGACATGGGATGGACAGACGGACGAGTGCATGGACAATGCAAGTGCAGATGTGCGAAGTGTGCGAACCCGCGAGGTTGCGTGCGAAAGCTGCGAAATAAAATATAAGTGCACTGATGCACTAGACAAATCCTGTGGATTAGAGCTGGAGTTTATAGGGAAAGTGGGAGAATTCAGAGGGAAGTGCATGTGGAGACGCAAGGCTCTACAACAGCGGGAGACTTTAGAATCTGACTGTCCCCAGTCAGCGCGCGCGCACATTTGTGCAAATGGACTTAGAGAAATTTCGACAAATTGGGGGTCACATGCATGCGGTCTGTATTCCGAAAGCAAAGTGCCGGCGGTCGGCCTCATGACTTCAGGAATTAGCGTGAATGCTGACATAATTGTGGTCAGTGCGGTTAAAAGAGCTCTATGTGGCAACGTGTTGCTTTTCCATCTTTCACCACTACCACGACATCCTCTACTATCTTAACCAATGACATCCTTCGACCTTGACATCCTCAATTCCATTCGAGGACCTTCTCCTGAGCCTGAGGCCCCTGTCAGTGGTGTGGCGCCCAAGGAGGGTTCGGCACGCGGTAGTCCTGTGCCCGAATCTGAATCAGACAACACTCGCATCACCCAGGCGTGGGTCATGGTGCTTGTGAAGGTTGATGCGTCCAAAATGACGCGTCCGGACCTTAAGCAGGAACTGCTTCAGGATATTGAGACGTGGCTGCACGAGTGGGACGTGCTGTCTTTGTGTGGCGTGTTTTAGTTTGACTGACCAGCTTTCTTTACAGGCTAACATCTGCGCGTGCCACCACGATGCGAATGAGGCGGGCATGTTGCTCGCTCTTTCCGATGAGGAGAAGGCGGTGCTGACCAACATTAAGAAGTGGGCGCTGGTCGCCCGCAAGATGGTAGGCGACTGGAAGAAGGCAGCTGAAAGGCTGATGGTGGAGGTGAGCATGGTGTGCGCAGGACACGAGAAAGGGAAGGGGAAGAAAAAGGAGGTGGATGCAGGTGAGGACATGGGCAGACCAGTGAGTGATCGTTTTTCTGTTTTTTCCTTCTTTTTGCTAATGATTTGTCGCGATAGAAATTAGGCAGGTGCATGTCCACTGAGAGGACCAACAAGCTGAAGTGCGAATGATGCACTTCGAGCAAGATCTCGTGCATGGAGGGTTGTACTTCGCGTTGTGCGCCATGCGACAAGTCCCATGTCGCGTGCTCATTTGGTGAGTGTTTTTGCGTAACATTATCTCTGACCTTATATTAACTTTTTCGACTTAGCTGCAAAACGCAAGGCTGCCGGTACTGTGGGTCCTGCTTGCAAGGCAGCTCGTGTTGCTGGTGGTAGCATGGCAATAGGTCTTACTTCAGCGGATGATGCTGACCATACTGGCGAGTCCGAGGTTGAGGTCGAAGTTGTGGAGGTCCCTCCTCCCGCTCCAGAACAGTCAGCTTGCCTGTTGGCTCCTTTGCCCATTCGTGCGGTTGCAAGTGGGTCATGGGTGGATGCGGATGTGGAGAACACTTGACTTCACACAGAGGTTGCATGCCTTACCAAGGAGAACGCGAGCCTTCGCGCGTTGAAGGAAGAATATGCGCGCTTTGTGCTGAACACCTGTCGGCAGGCACGCGCTCAACAAATTGAATTCACCGTCATGAGCAACAAGCTCTATGCATGGGGAGATGAGTGGAGGGACATGGGGAAGGAAATGAAGGACTTTGTTGCGGAGCAGGAGTGCTCCAAGAAGTAGATAGACCCCACTTAGTTTTCCTTTTTCTCTGTTCTTTTCGCGCATCTTCTTTGCGCTGTACCATACTTCTTTCCATATCTCCGCGTGCCTGCTTCATGTTGTACTATAAACAATATATCAGGTTTTCATTGTGTCTGAACATTTTCACGTGATTCTTGCTTAAGTCCCTATCCGTGTCCATGTCCATGTCAAGAGAATCCATTGGGCCTGGATATAAATGAAATAGTACTTGTGAGTGAACATGGTATAGTTAGAATGAAAAGGAAAAATAATTAGTGATATATGTGTGGTCGCGCAAGCTTCGCGCTTGACTTGTCTTCTTCGTGCGACTGTCTGCATCTATTCCTGCTATGAGTGATTATAGTGATCGGGTATAGTCTATGTAAAATGTGCATGGCGCGGCTTCGTGCATTTGAAATAGAAGGTCTATGTGGATGGTTATGCATGCGCGAGTCAATTAGGAGAACTTATCTGTATATACTGTTTTGGATATTATGCGCGATGCACGCGATATAATAGAGTCTGCATTTGTGTTATGTTCAGTGAATGCACGGGTTATATGCGAGATGTGAGAGAGAAACTGAGATCGCCGGATGAAACCCAGGGTAAAATGGAGAGTAAATACTTCTAGCGAGACTGTGTTTTTGTATTTTCTTTATTTTTGCGATGTTTTTGTTATTGTGATTGCGGGATGATATGTACGAGTGCGAGTGTCAAGAATTTGGGAATGTGGGGGTGTGGATATGAGAGTATGCGATGAGCGAGCCTCCACGCACTATTCATCTTGCGCGCGCTTGGGTTCGTCTTCATAGGGTTCTATAGTTTTGTTAGCTTCCAAATGGTCTATACTTTTGTTGTCTATTCCAATCATCTTTGTGAAGGATACGCGATCTTCATGACATGGATAATATGGTATCACACAAAATGTGGCAAAGCAAAGCTTCGATATTGCGCCATCTAGCTCGGCGAGCATATAGGAACCTCCTTTCATGTGCTGCACAACCATCATTGGTCCAAGATAGCACGGCTTGGTCTTTTTGCTAAGTTCGTACTTGACTTTTGAGTTGCAGACTAGAACTAGCATGCTGAGTTTGAAGTCATACGATTTGATAGATGCACAGAAGCATTTCTCAAAATTATGAACAGACTTGAATCGTGCTTTGACTACCTGATCTTTGATTGCGTCAAGATCAGCTTCGCGTTTCTGTAATTGGCGCGTGCACCATGCTATAAGGTCAGCGGTGGTAAATGTGCCTCGGCTTGGCAAAGGAGCGAGAAAGGTAGCTTCAGCTAAATTGAACGGAAATATAGGCTCGACGCTGTGAACCATAAAATAGGGTGATAGGCCCATCGCATGATGAATAGTAATGTGCTTGGCCCAGAAAACAGAATGAACAACTTGATACCATTGTGAGTCATCACTGTTGCAACTTTTGATGATGGCCTCCCGGACATCTTGGTGTCATCTTTCGACTATACCGTTCGCCTGCGAGTTATACAGCAAAATGCAAATTGGGTGAATCCCGTACTTTCATGCGAGTTCATCTACCACAAGTCTATATGCAGGGCCATTATCGGTCATGATCTTGGTGATTGGACCCCATCTACAAAGGAGTTCTTCAAAAATAAAAGCGGTCAGCATTTTGGTATTCTCTTTGCGCAACATGCACCATTCGGGGTATGATGTTAGTGTGCAGTGCGCTTGCACAAGATATTCAAATCCACCCGCTCTGGGCATCTTCATCGTGTCAATGTGCACTTTGCAAAACAAACCTCCTGGTATCAGAACTGTCAGCAGAATATGCAGTTTTTGCATCTGGCAAACCTGACAATCATGGCATGTTCGTGTGTACCATTTAATGTCTTCGATGATGTGCAGCCACCAAAAGTGTAGTAGCAACCACATGCATGTGGTATAAACACCTTTATGGCCAAGGTCGTCATGTGCTTCCTTAAGAAGGCGATATCACTTGCGCGGTGGCACTACTAGCTGTTACAAGAACATCTAGACGCTTGGGCCCCTACCATTTTTCTCCTAATCCTCCTCGTATCAGCCCTCGCGTCATACCCTTACCCCGACCTTACCCTTGTTATCCTTGTCATCCTCGCATTCCCTTTCGCTCTCTACCTGTCGCTTCAGCAAAGCCAGTACATCTGGCCAGATCCTTTCGCTGACGAAGCATACCCATGCTCCGTTCCTGCCACCTGACTGATCCTGTGGACAGTCCCCTTACCCTTACCGTCAGGACAGTAACCTATGATACGATGCACGACGCATCCCCGTTGCCCTTTTCCTTTCTTGATCTCTGACTCAGTGCGCAGTCGCACATGCGACCTATAGATAACTCCGCAGTTGCACGATCGTGCCTCTGCGCGTTTCACTTCTTATTTTCGACCTTTGACTCATTCTCTTATCCAGCACGTTCTGCCTCGCCTGTGTCTCAATGCGAACATGCTTCCCTTTTATGGTTATCCCCTTTACTGATTGCTTATCTTGGTAGTACGAGTTATCATCCAACTAATACCTCTCCTGTCCTCTATATAAACTCGCTACCATGTACTATATTCCCTAACTTGAATCTACTTGGTTCTTGACCTCCTACTCTCACCAGAGTGATCCTTTCTGCCTCGCCAGCAGTCTATATTCTATCTTCTTATCTGCTCTTCGCGGATAAGCCTATAGTCTCGATCTTTACTCATCGACTTCGTCGACGAGCAAAAGCCCCTGTTAATTAGTCGGACTTCTGTCCTTCTAATTAATGACGATCTTACGATTAACCTTTGGGTGTCGTAAGCCTAGGCCGATATAGCTTATTGTCTCGCACCCGCTTGACATAAGCTACCCGATTTGGACATAGGCATCAAACCTTACTTGCTGAAGCCTCGCCAAGTAAGACCCCTAACCTTGGGCTAGCCCAAGGACGTCCTCGACCATTGACGACACACGCTCTGTTTGAGCGTCGCCAACAGATACCACCCAAGTCGTAACAACTGATAGCATTCAGGGCCAAGAAGTAGCCATCGGACTATTCCTATGCTTTGTACAGCATGTCCAATATCAACTTACCAATTTAATGGTTTACCTCTTGTATTTCCAAGGTAACTCTACTGCTAGTACTGGGGAGAAGGTTGCTGATTAGCATATAGGTGCTGGTGATCTTCTTACTGATTGTCAAGTGATTACGGGCTTGTTCATCAGCATTCTCTCTTTGTAGCGTCCCTCTAGACTTACACAACTTTCAGTGATTTTGCAAATAATTTTGGTGATGGGAACTGCACTATAGCATTTGACAACTTCAAGTCAGAGCACAAGTGTAACAAGTTTTGTTGTGCATTTGGATTGCAAGCCTTCATGTAACAAAAAATCTGTTCATGTACCTTAAGATGTTTATCCTTTATGTTACTGTTGTGCTTCCTCCTCCTCTCTTGGAATCCTATTCAAATGACTTCGCATGCAGACCACGACGAATTGCTGCTTGCTGTTTTGCATATGCAAGCAAACCATCAGCATCTTCAGGTCTGTCTACAGCACATAAGGATCCCTGACTGGAAGCAAGGGGGTAAATGGTTAAGAGAGGAAAGAGCACACAAGTGTACATCAACAGGATGGCCAGAGTCCAATTGATGGAACACAGCACAGTGAGTGTAAGTGGAGGATTCAATTGTGATGAGAGGTAAGAACACAGAAACCTTACAATCGGTCACTATAACCAAGTCACCATCAAACAAAACACATCCCACAAATGACGTATGACACGAACAGCAGATCATGCCATGATCAACAAGAGCTCGTGACAGCCAAGCACAAAAGGTTTGGGGTGAAGAAAAACAGGATAGGTGATATTGCGGGTAATAAACAGAATCATAGTATATGGGGTAGTCAAAAGGCGCATGCATAACTGAATGTGGTGGACAATTGACGTTCATGCAGGACACACGAAACATGGCATGGTACTTTTGAGAGGAACATGTTGTTCTGCAAGACGGTGAGTAAATGAAAAAAAAATATAGATATTGGGCAGTTTACCTACCACAAAACAGCGAAAAACAGATCTAGAGAAACACAAGAAGTGTGAGAATAGATGGAGGTTCAAATACCACAAAGTGAGACATTCGAGGATGGAACAATCAGCACAAACTGGATTTGCACAAAATATTCTCCACCTGGAACCATAGGACTGTCTTCTCCCTAAAGTCATATGTTGGAGGAGGCATGGCTGAAGACAAGACCCAACATGTTCAGCATTCACATGAAAATCATGGACCAAACATGGATGGGAAAAAAGTGAGACAAGGATTGGCCAAGTAATTCGCTTATGAAGAGATTGGTCAGAAGGCACGGCTGTCGATAGCTTGGCATGTTTCAAATCACAAACATTGGAGAACAGCAGGATCGTGCTAGAGTGCTGCAGGAAGGTGAACAGAGACAGAGGTGACAAGCCAGCAGCAAGTGATAGTGCTCAAGGTGGTGATTGAACAAGAGGGAGGGCAAGGAAAGTCAAAGGCAAAAAACCAGTTTTTGTCGAGTGCAAAGATACTCATTTTTCTGCGAAACTTTGTTCTTGCCATGCACAGAGTAGAGACAAAATTCAGTGCGAGCTCCACCTATTTACACTATTCACCACCTGGCTACACCAAAGGCAGTTACTAAGTGAGGAGGGTAGAGCTACAAGCACCATGTGCACTCTGGTACCGATATAAAGTAATAAATGAGGATGTGAAATCTCGAAGTTGAGTGGTGATATTGACCAAAGTGGGTTGGAAATCATCACGTGCCAAATCTTGTGAAATTCCCACAGGTGCGTTGACAGAGAAATAGATGTTTGCTGCAGACAAAACCTAAACTGGGAGTTGGGAATGTGTGATTGTGACAGGACCATAACATGGTGAAAATAAATCATAGGTATACACTAATAAATTTCACAGTACTGAAACAAATATTGATCGGATTTCAAAAATAAGTCACAGCAAATCGGCAAATCAAACTGTAACCTATCACCTACCATAGAACTAGCCTTAGGCTACAGCAATCCCTCATTAGCCTCAATAATCTTTACAATTCACACTCTGATAGTAGGGATGTTCAAAGTTGAGTTTTGAGGCTGTTTTCGATTCTGTTTTTGACAGTCTGTGGAAAATGACTTGGTTTCAATAACTTGTTGGTTTCATTCAGCATCAATGGCATGGACTCTAAAATCCAGTGTTATCTGATTGCCAAATAGCTCATTATTTGAGTGATGTGGCTGCCGATGACCATGACAAGGGAGTTGCTAGAAACACACCTTGCTGCTGCCCAGAATTCAGCAATGGCAAAGGCAAGCAAAAGCCAGGCCAAAATCCCATGCTAAACCCACAGCTACTGATTCGAAAGAGAATTTAGATCCTTGGGAGGCTGCTGGGACAGCAGACAAGAAAAGGTCTATTCTTGTTGTGTGAGTTGTCCAGTACTATGATGCACTCTACTGACTCTTTGTATGAGCTAGTTGGTCTAAACCTGAGAACCACCACCTTACAGACTCATTACTCACTCTCATTGAGGAGAGTAACACCTATTGCAAAGCATTTGGATTTGCGCTACTTGGTAGCGGCAAGGTTGCTTCAACTGGAGACTGCCCTACAAGTCTTTACCGGCAATTGGCTACAGCCCTTTTCTTAATCATGAGGACTCACAATGGAAGGATGTAGACCTCAATGACCTTGCATAAACTGTCAAGAACCGTGTGACAAAGTAAGTATTTCACTTTAATTTAATGTTGTATTGAAAGCTTAAAATTATGTACAGTGGACTATGCAAGGCATTCATAAAGCACCGTGATTTGATGTTACAGACTGGTCAGGGATTAATTGATGCTGATTGTGAGGATGAGATAATCTTTGGCAGTGAGATTTTTAATGCATGGAGTATGATTCAATGAGTGTCTGTGACGTGAGCTAACAGCTTTTTCTTGTATAGACCAAGTCAAAAATAAGTTTCCGTGGTACAAACAGATGAGTGCCTTGTATCATGAGAGTCCTGCTGTGGACCACTCTGCCATGTCTAACAGTGCATCTCAGCTTGATCTAAGTGTCCTCAACTGTTCTCAGGTGTGTAGTATTATGTTATTCCTTTGAGTACACTTTAAATAATTTCACAATGTTCTGGCAGACCATGGATGATGACAAATCAAGCACCGTCTTCACTCCTCTCTTGTCACCCTCCAACAAGCCTATGACACCTGCTCCATGTGTTAAGTCTGAGCCATCTTTTGTCCATCGTACAAGTGGCCAGAAGCAAAAGTCAATGCACAGCCATATTGAGGACCTTACCACCTCCCTTGGTGAGTTGAGGGTAAAAGTTGCTCGAGTGTGGGAGCAAGAACATACTCTGCGGATTCAGGCAAAGCAAGATCAAAAACAGGCTGAGTTTGATTCTTGCCTCCAGTTTAAGGCTGCCAAAGCTGAACGACAATATGCACATGAGCTTGTCATGCTTGAACGGCAAATTGAACTCGAGCATCTACGAGCTTAATCTAGCTTTGCTGGTCCCTCATGTCAGAGTGGCTCTTCTCATTCTGGATCATCTATTCCATGGGCTATTGATCTGTCTCTTAACTAGCTTATCTTCCACTCACATCTCTACCATCCTCTCCTTTCAAGTTCCACTCCTTTCTAAGTATCCAGCCATTTGAGTAATTCCTCTTTCAGAGTCTCTCATTTAATCTTTGCTTCCAACAGCAGAACTTCGCTACTTTCATCCCATACTCTTTCAATATTAGCTGCCTTCTCCCTTTGCTTTTGTTGCCACTCACATTCTAGTTCTCGTTGATCCTTGACATATTTGACTCCGCTTCTGAAAAATTGATCATTTGTGATGTTGCCCTTATCCTCGTGTTGAATTGCAAAGTTGTGCAAGTGAATGCAAGCAGTGATCCAGAGTCCAGCATACTGAATCCCCTTTTGACCATCAATATGAACTTGCAAGCCTTTTAATGATGACCATCAACCTTTGAGAAATCCAACACAATGCTCTGAATGTATGCAGACCTTTGAAACATGATAGTTGAATATGGTGTTCTGTGGTGTGTCTTTCTCAGGCCTAATAATCAATATAATATGTCCTTAACTCTCAAGTACAGAGCAATATTACTCACTTCTTATATGGTGACTGGCACCATGTTTGCAGAGGATAAGCTGAATCAGCCCAAATCCACACATACTGCAGTCACTTTACCCTTATATAATACATACAGCCAAGGTTGAAATATCCCTGTTCTACACAGGCCAGCCTATGTGGGCCCATCAATGTATTGTTGTGTTAAATACAGGTGGGCCAATGTCAAGTGTGTATGTGATACCAACAGTAGGCCCATAGTATGTGGTATAGTCAATGAGTGTACACTTTTTCATTGACTTTGGTGGTTAGTGTATAAATTATGTGCCTGATATAAGCAGGTAGGCCGATCTCAAGTGTGTATCCAATACCAACAGGTGGGCTGGTGAAGTGCGTATGTGATACCCACAGTGGGCCCATAGTATGTGATATAGGGTATAGTAGATAAGTGTACACTTTTCATGTACTTTTGTGGTTAGTGTATGAAATGTGTGCCTGATATGAGCAGGTGGGCCAATCTCAAGCATATATCTGATAGCAACCGGTAGGCCGGCCTCAAGTGTGTATGTGATACCAACAGTGGGCCCATGGTGTATAGTGTACACTTTTCTATTGACATTGGTAGGTAGCAGATGAAATATGTACCAGATCCAAACAGGTGGGCTGAGTGGGCAGTGGTAATGATATATACAGATGGGCCGACATTCTAAGCATATAAATGGGTCATGGGTACTAATTGGTCAATGTATTGGTATTCATGGACAATCTTATACAATGTATATATTTCAGGACCACAGCCAAATATGAATATGGTGGATGAGGTGGTCGGTCAATAGTTGCTAGTGATATGTATAGATTAGACAAAATTCTACACTGATATGTAACAGCCACTTGTTGGTCAATAGGTTGGTGTTCATGAAGTACCTTGCACTATACTTAGACCACCTTGGTAAAATATGATGGATAGGGTGGTTGGTCAATAGATAGGTCATAAGTGACTGGCTTTTATTTTCACAAGATTATCTTGGTCAAAATGTGCCCAGTAAACTATAGTATATAGCTAACATACTCAATAATTGAATTAATCAATATACATGGAATTCACCCCGAAGTTTATTTATTCACAACTGAATGATCTACTGGAGTATTGAGTCAACCAAATCATGTGTGATAAATTACATGGTACAACTATAATCAGCGGATGATCAGGGAAGGGGGCACATGGTAGAAACAGGTGATGTGGTAGGGCAATGGGGTCCAACAGCAGCAGGAGTAGATGAGGGACCAGCGATTTCAAATGCAGAAGATGCTTGTCCACTAGTGAATGTGGTGCCCTGCATGTCAAGATGACCGGATGGGCCATATACTGACTATTGACCAATATTGGCCGACTGTGGGATGGGAGGAACCAAAGGGCCATAAACACTGTTCAAGTATCTCATGCCAAATGCTGTGGCAAAGGAACTATTGCCATAGCTCATCGTTGGTGGTTGGAACAATGGATTGGGAACAACTTGCTCCTGCCGAAGCTTCTCTACCATGCCGACAAGTCCATTGACCAATGTTACCGTGGTGCCGACATTGAGCTGCATCACCAAAAGTTTAGTATGCATGGAGGAGATACGCGAGTTGAAGTCCTGTTCCATCAGTCTAAATATTGTCATCACAAACCAGAAAATGACTGACCAGTATCATCCATAGGGTCCTCAGACACCAAGATCAGTGTTGGTTGACGCTGACACATGACCACTCTGGTGGTCCTAGACATAGGCTTTTTGGCCGAGGGATGTGACTTTGGCATCTGCAGAGTTGGTGCAGGACTGACATCATCGACTGATTCCGGTCGGTCACATCAGACCTTCATGATGTGGCACTTGGAGCAGGACTTGATTACCTACCCCTCGCATCCAATGATAACCAGACAAGGCTCGTCATCACATCTCTGACAGCCGGGAATGTACTATGAGATAGTGAGTAATCAGTCACTGAAATAAAGTTGCCCAAACACACCTGTTCTGGCTTGGCAGTTTTCTCGGCCTTCTCCTTTCCCTTTCCTTTCGCCTTTGGCTGCACTTGGCCAATCTTAGTCTTTGCTTCCACCTAAAGCCAGTGAAGTGTCTATCAAGAACATCTAAGGTAAATCTCACCTGTTTGACCTCTTTGGTCGCATCCTGGTAAAGATTTAGCAATAAGATTGGCTAATGTCGCCATCTTGCTTACCTTGGACTTTGTTGGCACTGCGGGCAAAGATGCACCCATCCTAGTCAGCTAAGTGGATGTGAGTGGTGAGTTGAAGATGATAAAGGCAAGACACACCTGTCTAACCACAATGGTCCCTGTTGGTCAGTTATCCTCATCCTCCGTGTCGGAGATAATGGTTTTCGAGATTCACTTGACAACCTTGCATTTCTTCCTGCTGGTCTCAGTGTCCAAGTCAACTTCTCTCAATCTGTGAGACCCGCAGTCAGGCTGTTTGCCCTTGTTGGTTATCCAGCCAACAAGTGTATCAATTGGTGGAACTAACATCACTTTGGGAGGTGCTGGTGCTGGTACAGGTTCAGGGAATCACGGTGACCTGCACCAAACTGGTCTGGTGCATGACCGTGCGGTGTTAGCAAATATTTTTCGGGAATTTTGCATGGAACGAATTTTGTGTTATTTGGCTCGAAGATGACTCAGCTAGATTCTCACACATCTGAAGCTTCCATGAAAAATATTTCCTACATATGTTTGTTTGCAGGAACTTTCAGGAAACTTTAAATACACGTGTTACCCAGTTTTGCTTTATGACATATGCTACGTCTCTAAATAACACCAAATACAAACAAGTTTCAACACATTATGTAAACCATGTTCTCTTACCACAGTCAGCTGATCTATGACTAAGCCTGACAAATCATGTTCACCTACGTACGATTCACACAGGTATTATGATCTATGACAAATAATGCAGTATATCTATATACGTGAGAAAATGAAAATTGAATATACCTAGGTACGCGGGAGTAAATTAGCATAGCCACGTAGATTTGTCTATATAAGGACCTCCTGTTTTGGCCTGAAATGCAATCAATCTGACTCCCAGAGTCACCCTTAATAAAATTGCAAGTGAGGTTTGTGTGTGATTCAGCATCAGCAACAACCACAAAGAGTTGTTCAACATTGTCAGGTACATTGATGAGACAGTAGGAGCCATTGAGCTCACTGTGCTCAACAACCTGCAAGGCCTGGCTTATTTGTTTTGAGAAATCTCTTGTTTTTCTGAGTGTTTGTGTTTGTGTGCGCATTGTAGCAATGGTCGCAGCATTGGGCTCGAAACCACATATTTTCATACTCATGTCAACACCCGAAACATATGTGCACATGTCCAACGCACTTTCGCACATGTCCAAGCCACTCCATATCGGATCCGGTGCATCGGACCTTCGGACATCGCATTGGCCGATCGCACTTTGCGCGCACTTGTCCATCCCGTGTCCTGTCCATCCGAACTAGCCTCACTAGGTGCGTAGTTATTCCCATGCACGTTTTCTGACATTCGTACCACGTTATTACATGTCCGCAGCACCTCATGTCTTATTACATAGGACATCGGACCTGAAATATATCGCTACTATCTTCGCCTGTAGTATTCCAAATTTCTACATACTTACTTAAATACTCTGTAGTGACCCGTAGCAATCATCATCCAGTAGTTAGGAGCCATTTCCTGACTCTGCGGATCACCCAGAATATTCTCGTAGTTCTTAGTTGCATTGCGAAATATTACCATTCGTTCACCATCATACTCCGTCACTTGTTATACTCACGCATACCGCTCGCAATCCAACACTCATTATAAAGTTTCCGACCTATTATCGTGAAGTCTGAAAGTCCGAAATCTCAGACATCACACTTTGGCTTTGGACATTGGATAAGTACCTTCGGACATCATCGGATTACCTTCAGACATTGTTTCGCACCATTGGACAATCTGTTCTTTGCATTACTGATGCATTTTTACTACTAATACCAATTAGCAATCCCTTTAGGATTGAACACACTTGCTCTGCAAGTATAGTAGCATAAGTCATGCTAAGATCTACCTAAACATTGTTGACTAGGTAGTACAATTTCTGCTGAGCCCAGCAGAGATTTACTCTTTACAGTGTGAAAGTATGCCACGATGCCAATGCCATCTGTCAATGAGTTGAGCTTGTACTATCATGATTTCCGCAAGATAATGCAGCTGCTCCTAGACAAGGATAGAGTAGGCTCAGCGGAACGCGATTGCATATTCCTAGAAGGACTGCCTAGCAATGTCCAGATGCTCACACGCACTCACCTACTAATTAAGTTCCCAGACCATCATCATGAGGACCCTTACCCGTGGAAGAATGTCTATGATGCAGCAATATTCTTATTGCCAGCTATGGCACCTGCTTCGCCTGCACCCGTCACCAATATGCAAGTTACAGTGCCATTAGCAAGTTTACTCCCTGTGGTCGCATCGATGCCAGCACAACAGCTCGTGCAAGGTTCGGTGACCAAGCATGAATATCAGTGTCAGCGCACTACTCAAGTGTTGGATGGTTGCATGTTCTGCGGCAACCTTGATCATTTCATTGTGCGTTGTCCGGAGTGTGAAAAATACCTCAACACAGGAAAGTGTAAGTTGGATGAGAACTATAACCTCATCATACCTAACAGCAATCGCGTCGTCGGACATGAATGGTTATTGAAGGATCACGTAGATTGTATGATCGAAAGCGAGAAGAGCATGGACGCTAGCAGCGCTCATGTAGGTTTATGGTACCGCGCACCAGCCAAGGTAGAATGCATTTTGGATGTTGATCCATCCGCATTCGTACACACGATCATTGAGTCCAAGTCCGAGAAAGACAAGGACGAGCGTGAACTTGAGTGCACTACCCAAGCCCTAGCATACATGCCTCCCATGAAAAAGACCGCTAATGTTTCGCCCCCCTCAGCACCAGCAGTAGCAGTAGCAGTGCCAGTAGCACCTGCGCCTTTGGGCACTTATTGTTTAACCTGTCCGCTCGAGGACAAAGGTGCCGAAAAGTGCATTACTGATCAGATCCTAGATGTCGCAATCAGCATCCCTGTGCGCGATGTCTTAGCCATATCACCTGACATTTGGAAAAACCTCCACAACATGTCGACCAATCAACGGGTCACTGTCACAACAGTCTCAGTCAACGAGCTGTCAAGTCACCCTATTTCGCATCATTGGATGCACGAGTATGAAGATGTGCATTTGTGTAGCGATGACAGACACATCATAGTGGATCACTTCATGCCACTGAGGTGTATTCACGCAACTACCTTAGGCGGCCAGACACTTACCTGCATCCTAGATCAGGGCACGGAAGTTGTTGTAATGCCAAGGGAAGTTTGGCAATCACTCAGAGTTGGTCTGCGGTCAGATTACTGCATGCGCATGGAGTTGGTAAATACTTCGCGCGATTTGATGCTCGGTGTCATCGAAAATATCCCGCTCGATTTCGGAGGAGGTCCTATGTACTTCCAGGTCCAGGTAACGGAGCACGCAAACTTTGAGGTTCTGCTTGGATGCCCGTTTTTCACTCTTACTTCTTGTCGCACGTTTGACCTCCCTAGCAGAGCGCAAGACATTTTATTAACGGATCTGAATACGCACAAAGAGATGCGCATCCTGACCCTCCCTTGGGTCAGAAACTGCCAAGTCGCGGTACACAGTGCGCCCTGTGGTGAAGCTACACATACACACTCACATGTCAACGTCGCTGAGGTTGGGGGTCAGGATTTTTAAGTATCAATGATCCGCAGCATATGTGGGGAGAAACTATAGAGTGTTCATGCTCCTTGCTTTGTCCATCACACTCATTCTCTTCTTCATATATTGCTAATGTTTCTTCGCTTGCATCGCGCAATATCTCATTTGCTCTCAAGGAGCACTATCACTACATCACATTTGTTAATTTCATCATCATCCCTCATTCCCATCTCTTTTTCACACTCTCATTTCTTTCTTCTGCAGTCTGTGCTATACGCGCATCTAACCTCTTCCAGCACAGCATTTCATGTTCCAAACATAGCTGCGTTTAACACATGCTATGAATATGATCCCGTTATCCACACGCTGGTATACAAACCAGTCGCAAAGAAAGTTTGCAGCATACTCATGGCTACCCCGCCCGAGTATCATGTTGTTCGCGAACTACCACCTGATCCTCTAGTAGGACTAATTCCATTGCCCACTCACCCCCCTGATTTTGTTCCAGGTATCTGCCTCATGCAAGTGCACGCAGATAAGTTGAATTTCGATCCTGTGAACTGGCTATGGCCAGAGGAAGCTAAGCTTGTATGCTGGCTAGTCCACATGCACAAACTCATGTTCGCTTGGGAAGCATCTGAGTGCGGCCGCCTTGATGAAAGGTACTTCCTGCCATACAAGATTCTGACAGTCCCGCACATGCCAGGGTCGCAGTGCAATATTCCAGTTCCACCGTCCACAATAGATGAAGTCATGCACATCATTAAGGAGAAAATCACATTGGGCATATATGAGCCCTCAACGGCCACATATCGCTCACACTGGTTTTGTGTAGTCAGGAAAGATGGCAAATCGCTCCGCCTAGTTCACAACTTGCAGCCACTCAACGCGGTGACAATTCACAACACATCAGTACCCCTATTCGTTGAACACCTCGCAGAATCCTTTGCGGGTTACGTGATATATGGCATGATGGACTTATACTCCGGATATGACCAGCGCGCGCTTCATGAAGAGTCGCGCAATCTAACTATGTTTGGCACGCCTTTAGGCCCGCATAGGTTGATCACCTTACCACAGGGTCATACTAATGCAGCACAGATTTTCCAAGGCGACGTAGCCTTTATTTTACAGGATGAGATTCCGAAACATACACTCCTGTTCATTGACGATATCACGGTCAAGTCCATCAAGACGTGATATGAACTCGCAGACAGTACTTATGAGACCATACCCGAAAATCCCAGAATGCATCACTTCATCTGGGAGCACCTAATCGTCATGCATCACATCTTACAGCAGCTCGAAAATGTTGGTGTTACAGTCAGTGCAACAAAGTTTGTTCTCGCCACGCCGAGCACAGTCATTGTTGGACATAAGTGTACTTTCGAGGGTCGTGTACCCAAAGACACTAAAGTCCAGAAGATACGAGATTGGCCAGAACCTACCAACCAGTCGCAAGTCCATGGTTTCTTGGGAACCTGCAGTGTTCTTCGCATTTTCATCTGTGATTTCGTGTGCAAAGCACGCCTGCTAACTAATCTTACCAGGAAAGATATTCTGTTTGTCTTTGGACCTGAAGAACGCGAATTGTATCAGATGCTCAAGGACTCAGTATTAGAGTCTCCCACTCTTTGCCGCCTCAATTATGAGAGCAAGCACAAAGTCATCCTCACTGTGGACGCGTCCAACATCACGATCGGGTTCATTCTGCTGCAAGTAGGCGCAGATGGCAAGGAATATCCTAATCGTTTTGGCAGCATAGTGCTGAACGAGGTGGAAAGCTGATACTCGCAAGCAAAGCTAGAGCTCTATGGACTCTTTTGCGCGCTTTGCACAGTTTGCGTATTCATTTTTGGAGTCAAGAATCTCACCGTTGAAGTCAATGCAAAATATATCAAAGGTATGATCAATAATCCGGATTTGCAGCCTAACACAACCATTAATCAATGGATTGCAGGCATTCTATTATTTTCGTTCAAACTCATTCACATCTCTGCAACAAAGCACAAAGGCATTGACGGTCTCTCAAGGAGGCCGCTTGCTGATGAGGATCCTCTCAAGGAGGATGATGACCATGAAGATTGGATAGATCGCGCGTACTCATTTGGAGTTGCGATACTCAATGATAGAATGCAACGTGTCATGAGCAGTTGCACGGAACTCGTCCACCATGCGCATCAGAACGTGCACACATCTTTTGACTCGCGCGCACCGGTACATCGCATCTTTCTAGACATTGCACTAGAAGAAGAACCAGAACCAATCATCCCTTGCTCAGAGGCCGTGCAAGCATTAGACGTGTTGCTTGTCTTAACCAAAGAGTTCCTTATTTCGCGCAAAAGACCCGCTGACCTTTCAGATCACGAATTCGCAGCATTTGTCAACTACACCGTGCTGAAGGTGAATCAACTCAGCTGTTGGTCAAATGGTAAATGCAAGGGGAGGGACACAAGAAGCTGATATAGTGATCAGTGCGATGCCTAGTCTGCTATGCTTGCAGGGACAAGCACATTCGATCCAAGGGAAAGCAAAGAAGACAAATCCACAGTCGCGCAGCGGCTGTGTGAAGTGAGTGACATGCGCACGAGGCACGGGAACACGAAATGTGAAATAGCAAAAATGCGAAAATACGAAATGCAATGAGCAATAAATGAGGGCTCAATGAAAACAAAAGACTGCTAATAAATTCTCAATCTGGCTATGGACATCATGAGGGAACTCCACTAAGGTAAGGAGTGGTGTAATTTTCTAAAGGGTGAAAAATGCGGACCTATATATGTGTCTCGCTAAGTGAGTCAAGTGTGAGATAATGTATGTAATAAGGTATGTAAGTCAGGGTCCATGCTCTAATATGGTGCCATATTGAATAAAAGCAAAAATACATACCAGGGAGACTTGCTGGACAGTGGGTAGATGCTCCTGGATGACAGGGCGATGAAATCGCAGGAAAGCGTCGCCTGATATGGATATAGCTTGGGAAAGGTCAGGGAGTGATGCTGTGAGTTGGTGCTGCGAACCTGGATGGTATGGACTGAAGTATTATGCGTTGCAAGCCTGTAATTATGTGAATCTCTACAGTGCACTTCTTCGTTATCGAGGGCAATCTCTGGCAAAGAGAACCCCATGGAAAACACCAGCTAGTGTTACGACTTGGGTGGTATCTGTTGGCGACGCTCAAACAGAGCGTGTGTCAGTCAACTGGTCGAGGACGTCCTTGGGCTAGCCCAAGGTTAGGGGTCTTACTTGGCGAGGCTTCGGCAAGTAAGGTTTGATGCCTATGTCCAAATCGGGTAGCTTATGTCAAGCGGGTGCGAGACAATAAGCTATATCGGCCTAGGCTTACGACACCCAAAGGTTAATCGTAAGATCGTCATTAATTAGAAGGACAGAAGTCCGACTAATTAACAGGGGCTTTTGCTCGTCGACGAAGTCGATGAGTAAAGATCGAGACTATAGGCTTATCCGCGAAGAGCAGATAAGAAGATAGAATATAGACTGCTGGCGAGGCAGAAAGGATCACTCTGGTGAGAGTAGGAGGTCAAGAACCAAGTAGATTCAAGTTAGGGAATATAGTACATGGTAGCGAGTTTATATAGAGGACAGGAGAGGTATTAGTTGGATGATAACTCGTACTACCAAGATAAGCAATCAGTAAAGGGGATAACCATAAAAGGGAAGCATGTTCGCATTGAGACACAGGCGAGGCAGAACGTGCTGGATAAGAGAATGAGTCAAAGGTCGAAAATAAGAAGTGAAACGCGCAGAGGCACGATCGTGCAACTGCGGAGTTATCTATAGGTCGCATGTGCGACTGCGCACTGAGTCAGAGATCAAGAAAGGAAAAGGGCAACGGGGATGCGTCGTGCATCGTATCATAGGTTACCGTCCTGACGGTAAGGGTAAGGGGACTGTCCACAGGATCAGTTAGGTGGCAGGAATGGAGCATGGGTATGCTTTGTCAGCGAAAGGATCTGGCCAGATGTACTGGCTTTGCTGAAGCGACAGGTAGAGAGCGAAAGGGAATGCGAGGATGACAAGGATAACAAGGGTAAGGTCGGGGTAAGGGTATGACGCGAGGGCTGATACGAGGAGGATTAGGAGAAAAATGGTAGGGGCCCAAGCGTCTAGATGTTCTTGTAACATCAGTGGGAACAGCAGAATTGTTATTGATATACTTGTTGAATCTGCCATGGATCTTCTTCTCAACGAGATAGATAGCATTGAGGCTGCCATCAAGACTGTCGGGGATAGCCAGTGCAGCATGAACAACACAAAGACGTGGTATATTATCCACAACATCCTGGCTCACTTTACCAGTCTTCAGCATCTCATCAACAAACATATATGCCATCCCAACCAAGGATCCACCCCAGTACAAGCAGTTTACTTCATCGAGCATCTTACTAAGTTCATCCTTTCTTCCAAACCACCAACGGCACCCTTTCACTTGGTTGTCCTGGAAGAAGACTCTTTTAGTGATGAGCTGCGTGGCTGACAGGATAGAGAGTGAGGATGAACTAGAAGAACCTATGACAGAGACCATGGTAGGATGACAGGTTTTGAAACTTTCTGCTGTGGTGATCATTGACCTTGTATTAGTGTCTACAGCAAGGGCAGCTATGGTATGCTGGTGATGATTGATGCTAAAAGGTATGGCGATGAGATCTGTAAAGCTGATACAAGGAATATCATAGAAGTGAAAGCTTGCAGAGATGTATTCTGTACTTAGATTGATGAGCCGTGGTTGATGAACAAAAAGAAATGCTACTCGCTGATAGTAGATGCTTGTTTGTAAATATTTCCTTGTGCTTGCATCGCTTCCTGCACCTGAGATTGGCCAGGCAAACAGAATTGCGATGTTATGATATATGAGGATTCTAGCTTGGTGGGGCTAATGCTGCGGTTTCTTGTAGTCTTAGACTTGACTTGGGTAGCACCTCTCTGCAACATCTCATTGACAATAACAGACAAGGACCTTACAGAGGGGGACTGTGGCGAGTGCTGTAAATGATTAACAGTCAGCAGTGTTAGTATGTATAAGGCCTTGGCAACTCACAACTGTCCTGGTACATTTTTGAGCTGGGTGTGGAGGTGAAGGACTGCTTCCATTCTCAGCATGCATCAACTTCTTCTTGTGTTTTTTTGATAGTCAGAGGTAAATGCTGATACTACCTTACTTGTGTTAGTCGCAGCATTGGTGACTCTCTGTGAATTTTACAGTTTGTACATGGTGGACGGTGTGGGAACTTAAAAAGACCTATATTGCTATATGCCTCTTGCCAGAGCAGTGCATCTTGAAACTGCGTGTATGACATGATGAGAAGGATAGCAACATATGCATTTGCATGAAACTTGGGTATCAGATCTTTTGCTATTGAATAGATGAAGAATTCTTGAAGAATCAGCTTTTTCAGATGGTCATCTTGGGTCATATAAAATCAGTGTGGGAGACTTATGCATCTCTAAAGTGTGTAACGACAGACTATAGTTGTATGACCATTCAGCCCACAATGGATTAAGCTGATCAATTACAATCAAACAGAGCTGAGCTCGAGTGATATTGAGTGGAACACAGACATCACATTCAATGTTCTGCAGATCTTGTGAGAAAGCACCTTACAATGGTAGACATATGTGATGCACCCTAACTAACTCTGTACCTGACTTACTCTTAGGCTTGAGGTGATGGAGAGCAATGTAAATCACCACTTGGTGTACATGCCCTGAGGAGGCAGCAAGAGTCATCTTGTTATGATGCAGTTGATGTACTGCATGGTTGGGTGTATAGCCTACAGTGCCAAGTGTTTGAAGACCTATAAAGTTGGACCCATCCAAGTCATTGAGCTGCTCGTGCGATGGACTTTTAGACATAAAACTTAATACTAACCTGGGCCTCATACATGTGGATATGGAACAGGAGGAGGTGGCATATCTTGATTGACCTGACCAAAGGCTGCCAATGAATTGCTAAAGCATTGACTAGCAAAAAGATTCTCTGTAACAAATTCAAATTTGTCAATTCAATGTGCTATATCTATCCTCCATATATTTGCACCTCCTCATTGGGCTCCTGATGTTGCCTTGACAAGCTCACACTGCCTCACAGGGCCTGCTGCACTTGCAGCCATAAAATCTGCCACAAATTACTAAATGTGACTCAGACAAGCACCATGTATCGACTCACCAATATTCCCTAGACCACTATTTTGTGCCTCTTCTATGGCTTTGCACTGCTCATAGTGTTGTGCACAACCAGGACAGCACATACAACCAGAGCCACCTTTCCCGTGTACATAGGTAAATGGGATGGTTGAGTCAAATTGAATGTTGCAGTGCTGACAGAGCCGCCACACAGTTGGATTAATGGGCATAAATTTAGCCATTGATATCAAGGATTTAGATAGTAGGCAGGGGACTTGACAGCAGGCAGGGAACATCAACCACAAACTAAATAATACTCACTCAACTATACCATGATTCTCATTTACAGCTGAAGATGTCACATACAACTCTCATTGTGGTCCGCTGCCATCAGCAGAGATATGGGGCAAATCCACAACACAATGTTATTTTTGATTAGCGTATTGCAGTGATAGAGTATCTAACAGTCCTCCTCATCAGTCCAGACAAAATCATAGAAGTCAGAGTCCTCGTAGATGACTTGTTACCAGCTGCAGTTTCATCAACAACCACCCTACATCCCGCTCCCTCAATATATGGTGGCAGATCTACAACATCCATCTTCTCACTCCCAATTTGTTCCTCTGTCGATAGCAGGGCTTATGCTGTCGATGGTGTGTGCCTGACCACGAGAAGACTTAAGTCCCCATTGTGAATGATATTTTTTCAGAAGGCTGGTTCTGATGTGGCATTCATCAAAGTCAGAAGGTTTTCCTGCATACATAATTGACTCGATGCGATGCACGATATGACAAGATTGTGTTCTTGAAGATGAGAGATGATTTCTGGGTTAGTGTAGCCACTAGTAACAAATTGTTCCACTAGTGGTTGTATAGCTTCATCCGAAGCTGCAACTTAGGTGTTAAACTTGCGAGAACTGCTAGCATTGGCACCAATGTACTTACAAGCAACAGCATACCCATTTTTTCCTTGAGGGTTGGGCATCTGGCAAGGGACATGATAAGGCTGTGTAAATGGGGATGCAAGTGAACGAGTTGGCAGCATTGAATGAATACCACTAGATGCTTACATATAAACCTGAAGTGGACCACAGATGAAGGACTGGTCACTCATTCAAAGAAGCATATCAAGTTGTGTTCTTGCATTCTTCAAGTTCTAACTGGCTTACCGATGAGGCTCCATATTTGAACCATAACTTCATTCCATCAGTGTCGTCTCTAAGTCCATTAGTCAGGTCAGGGTCACTCCGTGCTCAAATCTTGAAACAGTCAAACTATATCCATTGTAAGTATACAACCGCATGTGACCTCTTGTGACACTATGTTGCATTCAACTTGAGGTGTACTGTAACAAATGGTTCAAAAGCCTGGACAAACATTGATCGGACTTCAAAATAAGTTATGGCAAATCAGCAAATCGAACCATAACCTATCGTCCACTATATAGTTCAGCCTGATTCAGTTGTTCAAGCAGCTGATTGCACATGGAGAGATGAGGCATCTTGGGGGATCAGTAGAAACAACCCTTATCACCTGCATCAATAGGGGACACTGTTGCCGGAAATGGCAACATCTTCAAGCGGAGATTTAATTTCAGTTGGCAGCTCTTCTGCTCAACACTGAGCACAGCGACAACACTCTACACACCTGACATTGTCCACATGACCAACTTCACCACCTGCACCTTCGACCTGCACCCCTCATATGAAAAACTTCATTTTCCTCCCATCTTCAGGACTTTATTCGGCCTAACTGCTCTACTCTACTCTGCCCCCACCCTATCTAACCCTTCATTCAGCCCAACTGCTCTACTCTACTCTACCTCCACCCTATCTAACTCCATGAGCTATGGGGAAGGTGTCAGCACAGGCTGTATCTACTCCCTGTTTCCAGTCCCACAAGTTCCTTCTCACTCACATACTCATGTTCAATCACACCCAGATACTTGTGGCAAGGACCATTCCAGCAAGACACCCATAAACTGTCCCATACTAACTGTACAAATGCCTGCCACTAAGAAGACTGATAAAGTTGGGCGGCATGCTTCTCAGAGTGTGAAGAGTCCCTCGTCTGCTGCTCCCTCAGCATCTGCTCTCAAGCACTCTGCTGCTGCAACTGCAACAGCACCTGCTTCCACTACCACAACAAGCCTTAATCCACTTCTCACCTTCATCCTGCACCTTTGTACTGCACCCTTCGTCTTGTCTCGCACCTTCATCCTCGCACCCTTCATCCTGTGCCCTTCATCCTTGCACCCTTAATCCCACTCCTTTGTCCTGTGCCCTTTGTCTTGTCTCGCACCTTCATCTTCACACCTTCGTCTCACACCTTCATCCTGCAACCTCATCATGTTGAATAGCTTTTGTGTATGCTTAGATTCATGAAATTCTTGTAGTCATATTATCTACATATGCATGTATATAACTATTGTTATTTCATCATGATGTTTGACCGCATTTTTTACCACTAAGTCTCGTTCTGAAGTCCGACTGTGATGCTGACCTATGCCACACTTATGTCAGGATTTTCAGGACATTTCTTTGAACTCTTAAGCGAACTTTGCCAAGATTTTATGGAGCTAGCCGAATTTTTAGGAATTACTTTGAACACCATTATAATATGTTCAGTACGAGCATCAAGTTCCGGTTCGAAAAATTTTCGGACTAACGGAGCCCCTCGATACCTCCATTGGCCTCCCCTTTCTCACTGCACACTACAACCAGGTGACCGCATCCTGCGTTCCCATGATCGTCACTCGCAATTAGTTGGGACTGCTTGGATGGCAACACCTTCCATAATCCCAGCCCGCCTTCATAACCAAACCAGTGATTCCCGGGACAATGGGGACCTCTAAGGATAAGGACAGCGAGCTGGAAGACAATCATGACCATGAAAAGCGCAGAATTTGCACGCCAGCCATATCCAACAAAAATATCAGTCCCGGCGGACGTTCCCGTAACTTGACCCAGAAAAACCTGCAAGTCCATCGACTATCTGATAAGCCAGCTCATAACGGAAAATGAGAATTGACGCACTGATATGATCATCAGTGCATTCAAACGCGAGCGCGCAGTCTCCGAAATGCTATTTATTATCGATTAGTATGGCAGAACTGCGAAACACACTGGCATGATATTATACCTAAACATGAGTGTAGAGAGTGATATGGATTGAACTTGACGGAACATGTCTAATCCAAAGCAAGCGATGATGACCGCGGCAATGTTTATGCCTCCCGCCCCAGTTTGTACTGCTTGGAACACTAAAAGAAGCATAGTTGAAACAACTGCGGACCACCATGGCGCAAGCCGATCGAGCAGACGACCAAAGAATGGTACGATAATTACACCCAACATTCCAATGAGGCCAAATAAGCCGATGATCATGCTGACACGACGGCATCAGCGAATGAGTGATAATAAGACAGTGTTACTTACGTGGAGTAGGAATATGACGGTTCACCGAGTAGGAACGTGAGGGTCACCCACCAATTGGTGTAGCATGCGCTGCCAGCCCAGTTCGTTAACATGATCTGTCCGACGAGAGGTTCTGTGACGACATATTTCGCCATGGAACGAAATATCCCAAGATAGGACAAATCACGGTTCTTTACTGGATAGTCCGGAAGTAACATGTATGCACCACCCAGGACAATGCTCTGAATGCCGATAGACATACAGTACACTAATCGCCAACTCGTGAAATTGGCCACTATGCCAGACAGCACGCGTGCGATGAGAACGCCAAGCATAAGACCTGACTGGACAATCGAGATAGCTGATCCACGACGGGCGGGAGGAGCAAGATCAGCGGCTAGTGGCACGAGAACTTGAGGAGTGACAGACGTCAGCCCAATCAGAAACGAGATGATCTCAAACACTACGAGGTTTTTTGTAACTGCGAGTCCTATTGTTAAGGTAGTTGAAAGCACAACCAAGAGCAACATCAACTGGCGCCGACGAAGGATGTCACCGAGTGGTGTGATGAATAGGAGGCCGATGCCAAACCTAATCCACTGTCAAGAGTAGCCATTGGGAAGAACTGCGGAACCTTACCCAGCTTGAACTAGCGATGGTATTCTGTGCGAATGTTAGACTCGCTGTTCTCATCTAGACTTGTGGCCATCCACACCTTGCCACCTCGTCATATGTGACGTGGAAAGAGGCCGATAGTTGAACTTTGAGGCATATAGGTTAAGGCAATACATAGAAAATTCGAGGCCAACGTACTTAGAATTGGCTGACAATAATATAGGTTGGCAAAGACTGCGTTGAAATTAAACACTCATTCATGACTGTCCTGGTGTCAGGGCTTACCTAAAGTACTGCCTATTCCGAAAGATACATTGAGCAACATTCCGAAGTAGAAAGGCTTATCAGGGTCGTAACGAAGTCGTCTCGGAATAGGAAGGCATCCGAAGTCTTTCGAGAATGTCCGATCCGTCTGCGCTGGGACAAGCGACAACGGGGTAGGCTGAGTTACTGTTGAACTAACAGTTGTTTCAGCGGGAGAGGTCATAGCTCGCGCAGCAGGGAGAACGTACCAGCATTCTGTAAGACCTGACCACTAACATATATATGATGTTCGAGAAAAAACCACGAGTCACGGTGTAGATATTTGAGTAATAAATCAAAACGTGTTGATAGTTCCATTATCAGGCGCAACATGGGACCGCCGAAATCTCATGAACATGCGTCATGGGGGACAAGCAGCAGTGAGCCTCATGACTTGAACATACGAAAACTAGAAGAACCAGACTTGTCAACACAGCCACACGTGATGTTATATTACTACAAGCGGGCGGCAGACTGCAGTGCTACATATATAGTAGTTCGAATATTTTTGTATACTTTCTATTTCGTGCGTCATTCTCACTTCAGGTCGACCATTTTAAATTTGTGAAAGACGAAAATATAACCGAAAAAGTGGTCCCGTGTACTCTGACACACTTCCTATTCCGATGTCCCGGACTCCCGGCAAAAAGCACTGAGGCTAAAGTAGAAGATTCAACCCTGAGCCGCCTGTCACTGACATGTGCAGCAGTGCATACTAATGAATCAATCCGGCAATGAGTATGTGCCCTATCAAGATTCGAGAGTATGACGAACAGGCTCAACATATTCGAGACTTGTGTCGAGAACACTTGGCTTCGTTCCACCTACATAGTATGGTTGTGTTCGGGCTAGCTTCAATCTGCTTGGATCGGAAATATGACCGATAAACAGGGACAATTGAGAAGCTTCGAACACGGATGGAGCATTGTAGTCCGATGGATATATAATGAATGCCCCGATTACTTCTGAAGCAACACGTGTCAGAAAATGCTCAAAATGAGGCTGAATTATACAACTGAAACCGTTATCGTGCTATTCTCAGCGGCGTAGAATATGATGTGAAGTAGATGAGAATCTGAATTTTATGTCTCGGATGAGAAATCGACTCACTGATATCGTCGACGGTTGTAAACTGCCTACGTCGAAATAAAACCGACACGATTTAACCATACCTCAAGGCAGCCAGACAAAATTGAGAAAACACAAAGGACCTCGAGTAAAGTCACTGAGAATTTTCAACACAGCATATAATTGTGGCAGCCAGTGCGGAACACATTTCCAATGCGTCGAGATAGTTTGACGGTAACTTTGACTTGAACCCGAAGGAACTGCGATAGTAAAAATGTAGTATAAGCGTCACGTTCGAACAAAGAGATATGTTGGACCGCTCACCGTCCAACGTTAACGTCCAACCACCACGATCATGGTACATAATGTTCACTTCAAATCTCTGGATGAATCCATGTCTGAGATATGTATCACATCTGTTTACAGAACCGTTCCGGGTCAGTGATTTCCCATGGAGCAACTGTATGAAGTCGGTGAACTGCTAATATGCATGATCAAACCCATCAAGTATTGCATTTTGCAGCCTCTATGCTTCTAGCAGTATCGTATAATATGTTCAGTACGAGCATCAAGTTTTGGTTCGAGAATTTTCAGATCAACGGAGCCCCTGAGCTCCCCTTTTGACCTCCTTCTCATCGCACACTGCAACCAAGTGACCACATCCTGCGTTCCCAGGATCTTCACTCGCGATTAGTTGGGACTGCTTGAATGGCAACATCTTCCAGAATCCCAGCCCGCCTTCATAACCAAACCAGCGATTCCCGGGACAATGAGGACCTCTAAGGGAAAGCACAGCGAGCTGGAAGACAAACATGACCATGAAAAGCGCAGAATTTGCACGCCAGCCATATCCAACAAAAACGTCAGTCCCGACGGACGTTCCCGTAATTTGACCCAGAAAAACCTGCGACAGTCATTGACTCATCTGATAAGCCATCTGATAACGGAAAATGGGAATTGACGCACTGATATGATCATCAGTGCGTTCAAACGCGAGCGCGCTGTCTCCGAAATGCTGGGTTATTGTCGATCAGCATGACAGAACTGCAAAACACACTGGCATGATATTGTACCTGAATATCGATGCACAGAGTGATATGGATTGAATTTGGCGGAACATGTCTAATCCAAAGCAAGCGATGATGACCGCGGCGATGTTTACACCTCCCGCCCCAGTTTGTACTGCTTGGAACACCAAAGACAACATAGTCGAAACAACAGTGGACCACCATGGCGCAAGCCGATCGAGCAGACGGCCAAAGAATGGTACGATAATTACACCCAACATTCCAACGAGGCCAAATATGCCAATGATCACGCTGACACGACGGCTTCAGCGAATGAGTGATAATAAAATAGTGTTACTTACGTGGAGTAGGAATATGGCGGTTCACCGAGTAGGAACGTGAGGGTCACCCACCAATTGGTGTAGCATGCGCTGCCAGCCCAGTTCGTTAACATGATCTGTCCGACGAGAGGTTCGGTGACGACATATTTTGCCATTGAACGAAATATCCCGAGGTAGGACAAATCACGGTTCTTTACTGGATAGTCCGGAAGTAACATGTATGCACCACCCAGGACAATGCTCTGGACGCCGATAGACATACAGTACACAAATCGCCAACTCGTGAAATTGGCCACTATGCCAGACAGCACGCGTGCGATGAGGATGCCAAGCAGATAACCTGACTGAACAATTGAAATAGCTGATCCACGACGGGCAGGAGGAGCGAGATCAGCGGCTAGTGGCATGAGAATTTGAGGAGCGACAGACGTCAACCCGATCAGAAACGAGATGATCTCGAACACTACGAGGTTTTTTGTGACGGCAAGTCCTATTGTTAAGGTAGTTGAAAGCACAACCAAGAGCAATATCAACTGGCGCCGACGAAGGATGTCACCGAGTGGTGTTATGAACAGAAGACCCATACCGAACCTTATTCACTGTTAACAGTAGCCATTGGGGAGTATTGTGGAACCTTACCCAGCTTGAACCAGCGATGGTATCCTGTGCGAATGTTAGATTCGCCGATCTCGGTTAGACTTGTGGCTATTCACACCTTGCCACCTCATCATACGTGACATGGAAAGAGGCCGATAGTTGAACTTTGAGGAATACACGTTAATACAACACATAGAAGATGGTGCGAAGCTACCGTACTTAGAATTGGCTGACAATAATATAGGTTGGCAATAACTGCGTCGAAGTTAAGCATGTATCTGAACGTCCTGCATATGGCATGGCTTACCTAAAGTACTGCTTATGCCAAAAAATACATTGAGAAACATTCCGAAGTGGAAAGGCTCATCAGGGTCATAACGGAGTCGTCTCGGAATAGGAAGGCATCCGAAGTCTTTCGAGAATGTCAGATCCGTCTGCGCTGGGACAAGCGACGACGGAGTAGGCTGAGTTTCTGCTGAACTGACAATTGTTTCAGCGGGAGAGGTCATCGCTCGCGCAGCAGGAAGAACGTACTAGTATCCTGTAAGACCTGACCACTAATATATATATATATATATAATTCAGTCTGTTCGAAAAAAAACCATAAGTCACGGTGTAGGTATTTGAGTACTAACTCAAAACGTGTTGATAGTGCTATTATCAGGCGGAACATGGGACCGCCGAAATCTCATGAATATGCATCATGGGGACAAACTGAGCCCCATGACTTGAACATACAAAAACTACGACGAGATGATCATGATGGTGTCAGCACAACCGTCAACACAGCCACATGCGACACTTACATTACTGAAAGCGGGGCGGCAGTGCTACTACTAGTAGTTTGATATTTCTGTAAACTTTCTATTTCGTGCATTATTCTCACTGTAGGTTGACCGTTTTGTGAAGGACAAAGTCATAGCCGAAAAGTGGTCCGATCCGAAGCCTGAAGCAAATACTGATAGTGCATGGAAGACACATCCCATGTACTCACAATTACTACTCCGATGCGCCTGGCATGAAAGCACCGAGGCTAAAGTGGAAGATTCAACTTTGGGCTGCCTGTCACTGACATGCGGAGCAGTGCGTACTAATAAATCAATCCGTCAATGCGCTGTCAAGACTCGAGAGTATGACGGAGAGGCTTAACATATTCGAGGCTTGTGTCGAGAACCACCTACATAGTATGATTTTGTTAGGGCCGGCTTGGATCGGAAATATGACCGATAAGCAGGGACAATTGAGAAGCTTCGAACACGGATGGAGCATTGTAGTCCGATGGATATATAATGAATGCCCCGATTACTTCTAAAGCAACACGTGTCAGAAAATGCTCAACATGAGGCTGAATTATACAACTGAAACCGTTATCGTGCTATTCTCAGCGGCGCAGAATATGATGTAAAGTATATGAGAATCTGAATGTTATGTTTCGGATGAGAAATTGACTCACACTAATATCGTCGACAGTTGTAAGCTGCCTACGCCGAAATGAAACCAACACGATTTAATCATACCTCAAGGCAGCCCGACAAAGTTGAGAAAACACAAAGGACCTCGAATAAAGTCATGGAGAGTTTTCAACACAGTATATAATTGTGGCAGCCAGTGCGGATGGTAATGAACACATCTCCGATGACATGTCGAGATAGTTTGACAATGACTTTGATTTGGAGCCGAAGGAACTGCGATAGTAAAAATGTATAAGCGTCATGTTGATATCGTTGGAGCAAGAAACTCACCTGAGAGACTTCGGACCGGACTTTGCATTGAGGATACTCCCTCAAATTCTGTCCGTCCGCGGAAATCGATTGTGTGTCTGGGACTCATCAGCATAAAGTCCAATCAAACAGGACAACCCGGCTGCCGTAGGAACGTTCACCACATCTTGTGGTTTAGGCACTCGTAAAACAGCAATGCAGATGTGGGCATAATGGTGAAAGCCACTTACATGGTCCTGATGGACCAAAGACTAGATGGAAATAATTTGCTGAATGGACATGGCTTATGCAAGAGTGAAAGATTACACTGATATGAAGACCTGTGCTCATCCTGTGTCTTCATCGATGACCATTAGTATACTGAGCAGATGCACAGCAAACGAAAAGCACGAGATGAGCCAACGCCAAGAGGATTCTTGACTTTACGGTGGTGCACCTGGTGTGGTGCTATTGGTATCAGTCATGGACATCCAGGAGGCGGTAGGTTGAGTTTGTGGTGTTGATGAATACTCAACCATCAGTGGACGGATGAAGAGGCTTCATGCACATGCATGATGGGCGGTGCGGGAAAGATTTTTTTACCTAATGCAGACGACTTGAACTTGAACTCAGTTGAAACTCGCACTCATAATGGAGACACCATACACTTGCCGACAAACACTGAAAACACCTGCACCGATCTCATGTCTGACTGAAGGACCATCGGGTCATTTCTTTGCAGGCTCAGGTGTGGGCTTTCAATCAAATCTCATACCGATGGATCATGTAGACTTACTCTTTACATACTACAGATGACGGATCCGTTCGCGTATATAATCAAGAGACTTTGAAGGTCGTGAAAGCTATCAGAGGTTTGGGAGAAGTATCGTCTATTGTATGCATGGCGCATAGTGCAGGTGGCCTCGGGGACATATGGGTCGCGTCCGATCGACATGTACGTCTCGACAAGTCGGGAATCTATTGCATGTGTCTGAGTCTGACACACCGTGTTTTCAATTTATGCAGGCTCTACGTTTTACTATGGACACAGAAAAGATGATCCTTGCAAAGGCTGATGCGACCTTGACGTTGGAACTTGGTGCCAAAAATGACGACGTGCTGAACGAGGTAGAGGGCGTAACATCATTCTGCATATTTCCGACTGATCATGACCAGCTAGCTCTCGCTCAACCAAAAAAACAGTCAACTGGCATTTTGCCTGGACTCTGGTACAGTCGGCGTCGCTGATCTTTCCACGAAACAAATAACACACATGAAAACAAGTCATGACAATGTTTGTATCTTTCGTGTTTCAGGTGCATACCTCGCTCATAGTGATGCAGATCTGTGGAACGGTGAAGTTCATTCCTGATCGTCCGAGTGAACTTGTCAGCGGTGGATACGACTCTAGGCTGCTACATCACGATTTTCATCAAAGGACCATATCGTCGCGATTCGATCTAGGTAGTTTGAATTTTTGGTGATTTGGATGTCACTCATTTTTTAATATTTCTCATGTCAGGAATGTCTCACCTGTCCGAGTCCTCAGGCGTTTTAATGTCTCCGCCATTCATATTATCGTCTGCCATGTCACCATCTGGTGTTTTGGCTGTGGGAACCGCCGATGGACGGGTATGGATTGGCACCAGCGGAGAGAAAATGTCGCGAGTCTCATCTGGCACATCTGTCAATAAGAAACGACGGAAGTGGGAAGGATTGAAGCAAGATGGAGCATTCACAGCGGATGTCGGACATGGTCCTATCACTGCTCTGTACGTTAATTACTGCTGTACTGTGATATCCGAACTGAGACAACAACAGGGCATTCATCGGGCCTCGCACACTTTTCACATCCACATTGATGGGAAAAGTCACCCTCCACGAAGTTGGTGGCCCAACTGCGGATGGAAAGTTGGATTTATCTGCAAAATGGATGAAGGCGACAACTGATGTGAACAAGGTTAATGGGATCATTGCTACGGGAGACTTGATTATCATCGGTGGCTTGAGTGAGAGGGGAGAAGGCATGATAGAGGTTTGGGAGAAGGAGCCAAAATCAGGTGATGTATGAGTACTTTATTAAGTCATTGCAAGCTCACTGTCGACTAACTATCGTTTGTGTGTTGTTATGTAGGTGTCACTATAGCGCTGCCAGACTCCACTGCCCAGTGCCAGGACCAGGAGCTAACTAGCCCTTCCCGCACGTGATTTTGATACGACGTAGCTGTGGCACTTACCGGTCTAGTGAACCACCAGAAGTCTCGATGACGAAGGATCCCTCTATAAATGGGACTTCAGCCGAGAATGCCCTATTGTCTCATGTTGCCAACCTGTTCTTGAACCCTTTAACGGAGCAAGTCAATCCGGAAGACGACAAGCAATGAGGGTCCACCTCCTCACAATCAGCACGACAGAACAGCACCTGCCGATGGGAAAAGAGAGCGTCGTGAATTTGTTGCGAACAACCATCTCCCTAATCCTCCGCATCTTGAAAGCCTCTGCTGAGGCATCTCCAGCTGTTTACCATTTCTAGAGAAGCCTTCTCTCTACGAGCTCGATTGCATCTAAGCTATCCCTGCAATCATGCAAGCTGAGAACGGTACCAGTTTATGCAAGGGTGCTAATCCCTAGACCGTACTTGAATGTCTATGAAGAATTCAGAGGTGGAACTGTCTGTGACGACGACGGGCGACCAATCCAGATATTTGTTCGTGAATCTTTTGATTTGTCTTGGAGAATGGGCTTGAGTTCTATCCAAGCACCGAATTTCACTTATGTACGTCCGCTACAGTATAGGACCGGTCGTTTACCCACCCCCATTCGTTTACCCACCTCAGGTAAAACTTTTGATTTCTTCATTTTTTTGTATCGACATATAGAAAGTAATTAAAGATGAGGCCTCAATGGATATTGCTATAGTATATGATGGATGTGCAATGTCTGCGATGTTGTGCACGACACAAATTAGTTGTTTTTTTCTTCCTCAGTGAATTCTATTCAGAGCAATAGTAGATCAATAAATTTTTTAAAGAAAAAGTGGCTGGTATGATACAAAGTATATACTTCAAACATCATTTTCACCTGCAACAGATTTGTGCAAGTCTCCTTTGTTCCTTCTACAGAGTGGATATATTGAACACAGGTAGTTTTTGAAGGTCTTATCTTAGCGAGTGTGTCACACGTAGCTGTCACGCTTCCCAACTCTAAACTCGTAAAGCAATATATTGTAATTTGTGTCACTAAAAACCATGGTAGGACGAGCAAAATCTCATACAAAAAAAAGGCAGATTCTACGAGAAGAAAATGACATGATCATGGCTCGGGCAGTGGCTATTTACCAGGCCGAGCTTGCAAAGGAACCCACAGAGGACAAAAAAGGACGACGAACAGTTTGCCGTGAAGTCGAAAAGGAATATCTTGTGGAGACAGGAAGAGTCATCAAACTCAATGACAGCACACTTGCGAATCTGGCAAAAGGTGGTAGGAGGCTTAGTGACTTCAATGCAGAGAAAGGTTGGCTCACCCCAGAGGAGACGGAGAGAGCAACAAGAGCAAATTTCGAGGCACAGAAGGTTGAGTGGGAGGCAGAGCGAGATTTGGCGAAGTTGGAGAAACGGAGGCCACGGTGGAACAAACCAAAGATGGGAGAGATTGAGAAACCTGTGTCGAGGCCAGAGCGAGTTCAGCCAGAGGTTTATGACAGCGAGCAAGAAGATGATGATGGAGAAGAAGAAGGTTGACGAGCGTGTGTTTTTGTTTAATCTCGCATCAATGTCGCATCATCTTATCATTGCCTTATTGAATTACAAATTTACGGCGCGCTGTGTGATGTGACATCAAAAATTACTAAAACGAGGTGGGTAAAGGACTTGTGAAGTCAAAGATAAGGTTGTTTTCAATGATTTTGCTGCGACACACCAGCATCGTCACCGATAGCTCTAAATTTCGAATCACAGTATTTACATGTATGTTAGAGAATTACTGTCTATTACAATTTTCCAAAAAGAAAGCCAGTGTAAAGTGACATGCATTTCAATTTGTTGTGGGTAAACGACCGGTCCTATACTGTATGTGATGGAAGCAAATCGAATTTTAATTTAACGATGTCGTACTATCATTCGACGGGAAATGCACAATTTACACTTATTGCTGAATAGCAACACAACAACAACACATATTCGTATCGGATCTACTGTAGTGTATACTTTAGGTCTCTGTGCATTAGGCCCAACAAGAATTTTTTAATTTTGTTGCGAGCTTGTTGCAGCGGCAGCACTGGAAGTTGAGGTGTCGAAAACACAATAGAAATGCACAATTTCGTCACACTATGTCACGCGCGGCACCTCGGCCAATACACAATGATATTCACAGTCCGACAGCGTGCAAAGCGAATGAAAGTCCAGTGTTCCGCACCGTTCATAACTTCAAGCTTCAATAACGAGCTCCAAATCAAATTTCATTGAGGGAATAATATCTAGTAATAAACACTAGGATGTGCTGAGTGATCATTATTTGCTGAAACTCTATTTAATGGTGCAGGAAGGCCATGCAGGGGGTAAGGCATGTATCTGCCAGTGGACGGCCCAGCATGTAGCTGTGGTGGGAGGTCTTGTGAAGTTCGAAGAGGACGAGCCCCTTCTGGGGCTGGCATGTCATAGACATAGGGGCGCACAGTCTCCTTTGAAATAGGACGTCCAGTTGCACCCAAGAACTTCATCCAATCAATGAGAACCTCCTCTTGGGCTGGTGTAAGGTGCCGTTGTTTTGCATGCGCCTCGTCTCGTGGCAGAGTCAACCCTTCACATCTCCTACGCACTGTGGAATATATGTGCTCGACACCATGCATCTTGGCTGCTTGTAGGAGGCTTTTAGTTTCACCCCCACGCCATGTATCGATTGCATCCTTGATACGTTTTTCACGATCCTCGCGTGTGAGAGGAGGTTGTGAATGTGGTGAAGGGCGGTTGCGAAAAACTCGAGCTGTCCTTGGCATTGGTCGACTGTCCTTGTAATGTAACAATGTCCTCTGGTGTCTTCAAAGGAACAGATGCTGGTATGTGCCGATTCTGCCGAATGCAAAGAAAGCGGAGACTCAACCAAGCCGAGAGTGTGATTTCCCAATCTAGCCTGACCGTCACGCTTTGCTCATGAATCGCGAATAGCATGCTGTGGTGGTGTCCTATTGACATAGAAACACCTGGAGTAGATTCAGGATGGTGCATTTCACATATTTTGAACTTTCTGTGTTGATAGGTTAATGGGATCTGGGTGGATCTTGGATTTAGTGTCCAAAAATCACTCATTTTGGGCACACTCGCACAATGTTTCATCTCGGGAAGGCTTCACAGCACCGATTTTAAAATTTTGAATTGGTAGTATTATTGAATGTATGCTAATAATTGTCCACCAGCTGTTCCGAATGAAATATATGTAGAGTGGTGAGCTCTGGAGTGCATTGTGCATTATCCATCGATTGTGCATTCCGAATCAGGTGATAGTACAGGATTGCGAGTAACGAAACTTGAAGTCACGACTTGTCGATCGAGTACCGCAACTCTAATTCGAACTCGGAGACCCTACCACCTTGTCAGCTCGTACGGTATCTCTTTTGAAAATAAGACTTAGTGAAAGCTACATAGAAAAGACACTCACCGATGAACCACATCAACGTAAGCTAATTTTTAGGCCCACTTTATTTTCTCTATGAAAGAACTATGGGTGAGAGTTTCGTTGCCAGAAAGCAGTGGCAATATTAATTAGAGAGCTGGCAGCTGCGTGCGCAGGCACTGCGCTTACGGCTTGGCAGGGCCTGTGAATTGAACACACCGCCACACCTTAACAGCCTTGCACGCACAGTACTTAGAACTTCAATATTCTAGACCACTTACCAGCGTTTTTCTTCACGTTCTTTCATTTAGTCTCTCATATAGGAGACAACTTACCTGCACGCGATGTCAAGGTACCACGAGGTGTGTTTTTTTTTGCTTTTATCATCGTTCAAGGTGCATAATAAGACTGGTGATAAACAGGCTGACGAGGCACAACGAGGACACTACAATGACGGGTACAACCCTCACCCATCTCAGACACCTAATCCTTATGAGGAGCAATTATATGACCCGTATGACCCAAATCGCTACAATCCTCAATTTGAACACCGACCCTACGATCCGAACCAGCAATATCACCTCCCGGACCCATTCCTTACCCCGCAAGTTCAATCCACCCCATTTCCTCCATCCCAATCACAAGATTTGTATCAACAACAACAACATTTGCCGCAGCCACCAACGGACTACATCACACCGCATGCCCACTATAGCCCTTTCGACAACGCACCGCCCGCTCCACGTCCGCAGTCGCAGTTTGGTATGGATTATGAGATGGTAGAGCGTGAGGACAATGATTTGGGCGATATGCCACTGCTGCAACACAATGGTCCCTATGCAGCAACATCAATGCCTGGGAGTTACCAAGAGGCCGTTTCTGATGATCGCTCGGAAACTAACATTCGCTACGGACACATACCACAGCGCGTACCCCGACGGTACAAGACCATCAAGAGGGTAGAGTGAGTGTTCCTTGTTCAATATAATCCCTCTCCCCTCACAGCGCACAGACTCTTCCATGGTAACCTCGTGCTCGACTCTGCAGTACCAACAAAACTGCTGGATATGTGCGCGAATCGCAATGAACGCGAGTTCACCCACATGCGCTACTCCGCAGCTACATGCGACCCGAATGACTTTGAGAAATCCGGGTTCAACCTTCGCCAGGTGCACTACGATCCTCCACGGAAGACGGAACTTTTCATCGTGATGACAATGTACAATGAAGATGAGGAGCTATTTTGTCGTTCAATGCATGGTGTCATCAAGAATATCGCTCATTTGTGCAAACGAGATCGGAGCAAAACATGGGGGAAAGATGGTTGGAAAAAGGTTGTAGTCTGTATCGTTAGTGATGGGCGGTCAAAGATCAACTCTCGGACGCTGAGTGTCATTGCTGCCATGGGTGCATATCAAGACGGCATTGCGAAGGTACGTTTTAATTTTGGCAAATGGCCATCTTATTGATGATAGAGAAGAATATCGTCAATGGGAAACCTGTCACAGCACACATATACGAGTACACCACGCAAAGTTTGTCTCTCATCGTCATTTGTCTATCTAATCTTAACGCAATCACAGTATCGGTATCTCCTTCAATGAAAATCGAAGGCGCCGAGAAAGGGGTTGTTCCCGTACAGATCATCTTCTGCCTTAAGGAGAAGAACCAAAAGAAGATCAATTCCCATCGCTGGTTCTTCAACGCCTTCGGTCCAATATTGGATCCCAATGTGTGCGTTCTCCTTGACGTTGGTACAATGCCCGGCCCCACTTCAATCTACCATCTGTGGAAAGCCTTCGATATCAATTCGAATGTTGGCGGTGCATGCGGCGAAATCGTCGCTCTGAAGGGCAAGTACGGACAATATCTTCTCAACCCACTCGTTGCAGCGCAGAACTTCGAATATAAAATGTCCAATATTTTGGATAAGCCGCTAGAAAGTGTGTTCGGGTATATCACCGTGCTGCCTGGCGCGTTTAGCGCATATAGGTATATTGCCTTGCAGAATGACAAGATGGGGGAGGGCCCACTGCAGAAATACTTTTTGGGTGAGAAGATGCATGGTGCAGGTGCAGATATCTTCACAGCAAACATGTATCTTGCCGAGGATCGAGTAGGTGCTAAGTGGAAAAGATGATGTTTCGACTGACACTCGTTCAGATATTATGCTGGGAGCTTGTCTCAAAGCGCGGGGGATCGTGGATTCTGCACTACGTCAAGTCTGCCTACGCCGTGACTGATGTTCCCGACCAGGTCAATCTGACTGTTCAAGTCATGATGTGGTGCACACTGACCCTTTCCAACAGGTTCCGGAATTAATTTCTCAAAGACGCCGCTGGCTTAACGGCTCTTTCTTTGCCGCTATACACTCTACCGTTCATTTCCACTACCTGTATCGCTCCTCGCATTCACTCATGCGCAAGTTTTGGATTCACATCGAGATGTTTTATCAGCTGTACAACCTCATATTTGCCTGGTTTGCCCTTGTAAGCTTCCTTCTGTACCATTCTTTACACCATTGTGACTCTCATGCGCATTAGGGTAACTACTATATTGCCTTCATTATTCTCACCCAAGCACTCGAATCCTACATTCCTCAAATCCACATCCTTAACGTCGTCCTCAACTACTTCTACCTCGGGTTACTCATCATGTGCTTCCTTCTCTCGCTCGGCAATCGACCGCAAGGCTCGAAATGGGGCTACACCCTCGCTTTCATTGGGTTTGCCATAATCACGGTTTATATGACTGTCTCGGCGTTACTACTCGCTTACAAGGCCATTGAAGGCGTCGCGCAGAGCGAAGGACGAGCGATCCAGGCTAGCGATCTACTGTCGAATTCGATCTTTAGAGACGTCGTGATCTCGTTGGCGGCGACGCTGGGGCTGTATTTCATTGCTTCGTTGATCTTCGTGAGTCCTTGTTTGTTCTGTGTCTTTTTATGTATTGATGACCTTCGAAGTTTGAGCCATGGCATATGATTACGTCCTTCATCCAATACCTCCTCATGGCGCCGTCGTATATTGCAGTCTTGAACGTCTACGCGGTACGTCCTTCTTTTTCAGTACAGCTCCCAGTCGTTCACAAAATCTCAGTTTGCCAATGTCCATGATGTCTCATGGGGAACAAAGGGCGACAACAAGGTTTCCACTGATCTCGGTGTCGTCAGCGCGGGCAAGGGAGACAACAAGAATGAAGTCGAGGTAGCAGTACCCACGGCTGAGACTGACATAAATGCAGCATATGAAGATGCTATGCATGTTCTGTCCTCAAAACCACCCAAAGCGGATTCCAAGCCTGATCCGGCAACGCAGCAAGAAGATTATTATAAGACCTTCCGGACAAACGTATTGCTGGTTTGGACTTTGAGTAACGTGAGTAACCATTGAATAGGTTCGTATTAGGGACACTTTCATTGACGTCATGGGTCTGCAGGCTCTTCTGGCTGCTGTTATAATGTGAGTGTTGAGAGGTCGCAGGTGTGGCCACTCACTAACGCTTTCTAATTGCAGATCAACCACGAGCGGTGTGACTGGGTACATGTCGTTCATTCTCTTCTCAGTTGCTGGACTTGCATGTAAGGACAAGCTTCTGACGCCACATCATTGCTTGAACTGATGACTTCCGTTTTTTAGTCATTCGATTCCTGGGCTCGACAACGTACATGATCGTGCGCTTGTTTGCAGGGGAGTGATGATTTTTTGAAGCCCGATATGACACGACATGATATGATATGGACTTGCATGAAGACAATTTATGTCTCGTTGATATTAAAATATTGCTGTATTTTGTATCTTTGTGTCGTGGTAGAAATACTTGTGTAAGTGGGTCAGGCTGCCGCACGGGTATAAGTGTTGTTATATCAAAGGTGGGGGATACTGAAAGCTTAGCTTTCAGTATCATTGACAGCATACACTGTTCGTTTCTGAATATCTGAGAGTAGATCCGATATCCGAATTCAACAGAGCTGGTGTTCTTTCCATCGATCATGTGTGAAGAACCCATGTACTTTTCTTTTACGCCCACCATCACATCACTCATACCGACTTCGCCTTGACATGATTTTAAATCGTATCGCACCCGGTCGGGCCACCGTCACCCACAACTGGATCCTTTGGTACACGCCAAGCTACATCCCGACCTTTCCGAAACCAACATATGAGTGACGTGACCACTGAATCATGCTCACGGCATTTGGACAAAATGACAGCTTCTTTAAGCGCTGTCGTACTACGACTCGTAGTCAACCCTCATTTGGATATATACGAGCGAGTGTTATCATTGATATAATTTAGAATCGCTCACTGACATGTTTGTTTTTCTAGGGCCCTTTGACCAGCGGATTTCAGATACAAACACAAAGCTCAGCATCAATGTATGCTACTCACTGCACTATCGTGCCAGCCTCAGGAAGTGCTCCTACTTAGTGTTTTCCTTTGATGCCTCTATGCGTTTTTGGGACCCTAAATCGCTTTCACAATACATGTTACGTTACAGCCGCCATGATGCAGTCTGACGTTCTTTAACTGGCCAAAATGGATAGATCATTTACCCACAATTCAATTCGACTTCGAAGGTGTGTTCGTGAAAGTTCGCGTCTCCAAGATGTTATTGAAAATAATTTATTTAGAAATCCCGAGTCCGCGGCTGAAAAGTAGTTTCCTCAAATGTAAACCCAGGAAGCCATCGAACAAGAGTTTGAAGTTTAACATAGGTATCGAAGGGAATAGTTCTTCATTGTAACAGCAATGAAAGTTGAGTCTTGTGCAGACACTCAAACAGGTTTCAGGTGTCCTCGAGACTGTACACTAAGTCATAGGTCGACCATGAGGATGGTGCAACGCTTATTTCTTGATGGGAACTGGGCATACTACGTTGTGGTGAAACCATGGGGGAATGTGAATCAAAATTTACCCTCATTAAAATCTCATCATAATGGTCATTTTGCGTCAGATACCAGGTATGCATCTCTTCTGACTCTAGCCCGTCCATGCACACATATCCAGAGATCGGACCGTCGTAATGCATGCTCAGTTTTAGATGCGCCCAAAGGGCGAGCGAATGCAGCGTCCGAGGTCATGAGATAGTACCTACTAGTTAGGGCTTTTTTCCGCTTGTCGTCCGGAGAAGATAGACGGGTGACCCGTCCAGGAAAGCGTGCATGAGGTGAGGCTCAAACTCTATCAGTCAGATAGGACAGGTTTATCACGATTGATTTTTTTTTTTCCGTCCCACAGTGGATGACTTCTCATAGGCAAAAATAATACAACATACAACATAATCTCACCCTATAGGAAGGTGTACCATGCTGGGTGTCATTCTTAAGCGCCGTTTCATACTACCGCTCCTGCACTTCACAAACTTCCTTGTATACTTTCGCATCCTTACCTTATTTACATAGGGGCTAGTTTCGAGCTTTTTGAGGAGCCGAATCTTTGAGCCTGAAGCCGGCGCTTGCCACAGGGACAGCACCAGTAGTAGCCGTTTGAAGTCTAATATCGTTGTGATAATTTATCTCTCCGTAAGTTACGTATAACTTCCCTGACTACAGGCTTCAAGGCTTCAAGCTCGGAAATTATAATCTTACTTCCGTAGAGTTACGCGAGTAAGTGACCTCTAGCCGGAGATTTCAAATGTCTAGAATAACAAGCACACAGTAAACAAAACATCATTACGTCCCAACACGTTTTTCAAAGTTCTCAGCGCTTCTGGGCGAATACTATTGGTAGGACCTACAGGGCTCAGTTTGATTGTAACAACTTTATACATAGAATGTCAGCATACATAGAGTAATCCCACTGTTACATGCGCACTACTTTCCTACAGCTGATGGACATGTGAGCAGACTTGCATCCGAGTCGAACTATAACTTACTTACATAATTACGGATATCATTTGGGAAGCTTGAGAATGACGACCGTGCCATCATCTCTTTCGATGTGGCAGCAGGCGAGTCGTGGTTGTTCATCATGGAGTCAGGGAGGGAAAAGTCCCCTAGTCTGACGTCCGGGATGCATTGTCTATACAGCTGGCTTTGCATGTTGTTTTCGTACGGCTGGGGGCCGTCTTGACCCAAGAGGTTTAGAGGCATGTGATTGCGTGGACAGTTAGGCTCGAGTGAATTGGGATGAGCACAATTAACGTTCGCGGTGAAAGACGAATTGACATGATATGGGATGTGTGGTGTCAGGGAAGATGGGGGCGTGGATACATGGACTGGGTACCGGAAGTGGTATCTAGCAGAGAAGATAAGAACAGAGCGCGGACGACCTAAAGAGCTTCCGAGGAGTGTTGAATCTCGACGATACACATCCTGAATGATAGTGTACATAGTGGGATCTTGTGGGACTAATCATACATCTGTAGCACATCAAAGTGGGAAAGTACGTACCTGGGGATCTGCACAAGATTTCCCAGAATTTAGGAACTAAGGTCGTGCTGTAGAGCAATGGACCGTCACCGGACAGGGTTAGAGGACTGGTCAAATATGGTCCAACACATTCGAGCTTCGTGTCCTCGCTGTGTATGGGCGCACCATCCAATACAATTATATAGGATGACTTGCCAATGAAAACAGAGGACGAGACAAAGGTTACTGTGGGATCGATGTCCCTCATGCGACGCGGCATGTTCAAGGAGGGGTGAAATGGAGTAACAACTTGGGGAGACTTCGATGGAAAAGATGGCAGGGCAGATGAACCTGAGGATGAGCTCGGGCTCCTCGACCATGAGCTAGACTCTGGTAAAATGTCGATGTATACTGGAGTACGTGTGTCTGGAAGCTGATTGCGTTTAGATAGTGACATAACTTGATTATGTTTCTTGTTAAGAGGATTTACGAACGAGCCAGCAGATGAGCTGTTGAGTTGTATAAACATGCACACAGATGTTTATCCCCCCACCTTTAAAAACATCGTGATGAGGAAAAACCTCCACGACCCGGCTTCCCTCTGCGAACAATAACATACGCGTGATGGCCTTAATTACTTCCTAAGTTCATTGGCGCTCTTTCAATACAGGCACAAACGGCACCCATCGGAAGACGAGTCGGAGATAACATCGTACTCACATTTGGTTGTGTCCCTGAGTTGTTCCAGACCACCAACTTTTGTCTTCGATCTGGGCTTGGTTGCCTAGCAGAAAATGCACTCGCGTTAAGATAATCTCCTAAACCCTGAAGTTGATCTCGAACTGGGTACAACGACCGGCATATGACTTACTAAGCATTACTTGTCCCGTGGAAGTTTCGACTCGGTTATTTTGGTGCAACGGTCTTGTGGTGTTCTTTAAAGTACTAAACTGGTCAATTTCCCTCATTCTTGTCTTCTGGAAGTTTTCTGGAATCCTTTGGGGCGTCTATACAACCCGGATTGCCTTATAAGTTAAACCTTGGCAATTAAGTACGTGCCTCGTCAGCTATGTTTATGCCGCTTACTTGCGTTAAAGCTCACCAGCATTAAATACTGCGCCCGGAAAAATAAGAAAAATACAAGCTCGCACATTCCATCATCGAGTCCATTTGTATGAAGTTGGAACACATTTTGTGTTGCGGTGATGCTTTTATGGCTAGAATGATTGTTCATGATAGACCAGAGGTGCAAATTAGTCCATGACAAAATCCGAAGTTCCTGAAACGATCCCATAAGCTTCATAGTACGACAGATTCTTCAAGTTTAGATTTCATTACAAATGCAAAATAACTGATATCAATCTGTCTGGCAGACGAATTCCGTCTTGCCTCAGGTGTTAAACGCAATCCATATCTGTGTATACGCATGGTGTGATGCCACTCCTCTAGTGGTGCCCAGAAGATTTATTCCACAAAGCCCCCAAAGTCCGTCAGCCATTCGAGTTCCGGACGTGAGCAATGGAGATATGTAATTCATACATTGCTTTCATCATAAGGGAGTCATGGGTATGTTGCATGATGCAAACTGTAAATTAGAAGGGGACACGCATGAGGTGAATCGAAATTCTTCTTCTTCAAACCGGTCTGCATCGCGCAAATCAAAAAGAATGCGCGAGGCCATAACACCATGGAGGACACCTTGAAACCTGGTTATGATGGTTGAGCACTTAGCATTGGACACGAAGGGCAGCCACTTACACATCGATGATGCCGCTCTGCCCGACTGAGACCTGCACCAATAGTTCATATCTAATCATGACAGAGTAGACGAAAAGTACGTACCGGTAAAGAAAAAGAAACAATATTTGCGATAGAGATCGCTGAGAGCACGATTAGAAGAGACAAAACAGAATAAATAAACTTCAGAACGACATACCAAAAAGCGACAATGCATATAGTAAACTTCCCTTCCACAAGTTCGACACCAATCCATTGACGGTACGTATGCCAACAGAGCGACATGTTAAAGAGTGATATATTGTAACAATAACCACCGCTGCACGGATTTCGTCAGTAGAATCAAAGGAAGGCAGCATCGCCAGTCACTCACTGAATTCAAACAGCGCTGCGCTAGCGAACATGCCCATAATGAAGTGTTCCACTTTGGAAGCCTCCTCTATGGAGCTCTTATTTGATGCCGGTGCACACACACTTTCGAGTTTCGGAGACAGCGCCAGGATATCGCAGATGAGCATTGAGATAGCAACAACCTTCATACCCTGATATTACTATGCAAGTAACAGAATTGCCGAATCACTTACTATGTAGCTCGCCAATAGAAATCGTTTGATATTCTGCTTATCGTGCCACAAGGCAAGTGTGCGCATAAGAAGCAGACCTGAAACATGTGAAGGGAGGAATTACTTGATTAACACGATCGCAGACCTTCGGTAGCCAACATGATAAGAATCAGGGCACCTGGGAAACGTCAGGGGACATGTAACTAGTGAGCATGAGGTACCTACACCCAGCAGTCCGATATGTTGTCATGCACTGTGTTAGCGTTAGCGTGATGTATGGTTCAGAGACAATTATTTACGGTTTCCACTGATTGTGGCCCTAGAGTGACTGAAAAGCAATAAGAACATTTACCTCAATAATGAAGTGCCACTCACCATATATGTCACTTATAAACCATGCTATGGGAACGTATCTTGTTATGATAAACATGACAGACGCGATGTTCCAAGGGCCCATGCTGCTGATCAGACGAACTTCATGTTCAAATGTCAAACAATAATCGAATACCTAACGAAGGGGATAAGGTCTCGAGCGGACTTGCGAAAAAAGTGCACGTCGAACTAACCCAAACAGTGGCCGGTGCAACTTTGCCAGCACTTAAGTACAGGATATCGCGAGCAAGGGAAACTAACCACGAACCTCGAAAGTACTATAAGCAAAGCACGAGGGTCAGTTAAAAAAGCTGGATGGTGAAGTTGTCACCTGCTCATACCTTGACAATCTGCTCAGTGTGAAGTAAAACCATAGATGATGTATGTTCGATGCTGCGTGGATCTGACTTGAGCCACTGAGTGGGCTTGTTTTCTTCAATGCGCCAGGACACTTCTTCACCATTTGGTGAGCGATATGGTCGCAAGCCGGGTGAAGAATGATTGAAGGGGGAACTTCAATCTTGATAAGTTCGGAGGGAATGCTGAGACCCGGCTGCAATTGAGAAGCCGCCGTGACGGTGACACGGGAAAACATGTCAAACCCACGTTATCGATAACTTAGACCAAATGGCTCTCTTCTCGCATGACCAATCTTGCTTAGAGATGTGTTCAAGTTGTGTGTACACGTCTCTAGATAGCATGAGGCAAGGAGCGCCGTTTGAGCCGAACGACGGAAGTCCTTTGAACAGGTGATGCGTTCTGCACGAACAGCATCGATGACTGGACGTTGCAGCTATTGGAACGTCTGCTACTTCCGCAACGTGCTCAGATAGTGCCAGTCAAACTGTGTGAAGGAAAGCATGTGTCTACGTACGTAATTTCGGAAGGTTCTATTCAGAGTACGTATTGCTGACAAGTCGTCGGTAGCTATACTAGCAACATCAACCCAGGTTATAGTTTCGAGTTTCAAGCAATCATCTCACTGGTATGATGATTGATCTCCCTCCGGGTCCTATTCCACTGCAGCAAGTCCCTGCAAGCCGTCATATGTAGTAAGACTGGTTCGGGATTTACCATACTCCTCAGATCTGTGCTCTTGGCATCGGACTGGGACTTAACTGCCGAATCCAGGCTGTCACCGGCGCAGCTTGAACTGGTACCGGTGAGTACAATTTGCTCTGACTACTATGTACACTGCAGGTGAACCAAGGGCCTCGTTGCAAATATTCGCAGAGGTGCATACAAAGGGACCCGAACTATTTGGATTGTTAACACATCATTCTTCAAATGATCGCGGTCAACGACCATCATAGCCGACTCGTGGGTGTCAACGCAGGGAACCTCAGTCCCGACACAGCGGAAAAACCGACATTTTACCACCTTTTTCCGAAATTACATTCGAAAGGTATTTTAGAGTGCTCTGGAACGCTCTAGCCAGGCTGTCCAGATCTACTTTTGATTGAAATTTTGCAAGGTAAATTGTTGAAACCCCAATGTGCGACAACCATGGGCTCACAGGCACCGTGACAACACGGCAGCCTTCACAAGGGCAGCTCGCTTTCAGGTGGCAGCGTGAAACGTACTATTAATGACACGATGCGAATATGTTTGTCCTTTTCGTTCAGCAGAGCTGCTAGCTCCCATGGAAAAGTACTACATTTCCTTACAATCAATCTCGTACCCTCAGCGAGGGTGATTGGTGATTGCTCCCTGATGGCATATTCAAGAAAGAGTTAATAAAAGTAAATACTTCTCATCATATTCTGACTACACCCTGACACATCCTTCCCCTGCTGCCGAACAGTCACCGGCGATTTTAGCATCAGGTCCACAGCTGAGCCCGCGATTAGAAATATGTTACACGATCTACTCCTTGTAACACTGAGCTACCGGGATGTCTGCAACTTCGGCATAAGGGACGAGATGGAAACAACCATGACTACAGCGCCACTGATAAGAGATCCGTCTACGTTGAATTCCTCCACGTTTTTGTTAATTTGATGGGCCTGCTGACTGGAAACACAGTTGTCTTCATCGATGAATCCACAAGCCTAGGCACTCGTAATTTCCTGCAGCGAATACGTGAGTTCAGTCCTTGAGAACGAACCAACAATTACGACATCGGCGTTTTGCGTTCTTCCAGTTTTATTTTCAGCACATCATGATGAAACTAAGTCGGACATGACATCGTCGTCGAGAATGACACGCGTGAATCTGCGAGGCGGACATGATGAGATTCTCGAATGGGAAAGGGCCCCTGAGTGTGAAAAGGTCGAGGTCATGGTTGTATAAGGCTGACGTTGAGTTCGAGGAGGGAATCGCTGAGAGAGGACGTTCTTTAAGGAGGGACGACTGTTTTTAGTTTTGGGGGGACGAAGACTTATCTTTTCATGCAATCTACAAGGTGTGTTTAAGAATGTGAGGCGCTAAGGGTCCTCGGGTATACCTAAGCCGAATGATTAGGTGAAAATGTTGACGGAAAGTGAGTGGCGGCGATCCTGACAGGGTAGAACCAGCGGGAGCGAAGGAGAGTACGAAAGTATAGTATGAGTGGTGGTTTTAGACAGTGCGGTTAGCACAGAAATGACGAGAAGTTTGACTGTTCTTGGTACGGCGAAGTAGAACGAGGGATGGTGACGAAAGAAAGGTGTCAGAATGTTGGTAATGGCAAGGGTATCGTGTGGCGACAACTGAATGGTCGTGCTGAATGTCGTCAAGTAGTGAGATAATGAAGGTAAGAAGAAAAGATTGTATCCGCGTGACTCGGATGGGAAGCGTGGTGCTTCTTCGCATCAGTACGTCACGTGGCTGACGGGACATGTGTCCGTGTGTCTCATTGTAAAGTTATAGTCGGGGCGTAAAGGATATGAATCCTTACATCCCCTCCTTACTTTGAATATCGACCGCCCTCGGTCGATCTCCCAACAATATAGCTAAAATATGCGTAATAAGATAGAATAATTTGAGTGAAACGAGAGAGGAAGAGAAGAAAGGAAAAAAAATGAATAGAACGCATCTAGGATTGCTCATCGTTAATTCCTGCGAGAGCTTGCGGGTCGAAGAATTGTGTGACTTCGATGGAGGTGGAGGAGCGCGGGTGGTAAGGGATAATGCGAAAGGCTGCAAACTTCAGCTTGGAAAGTGTGCCGTCAATTTCTGCGAGGCGGTAAGAGCCTCCTTGAGAGCGGGAGACAACAACCATTGGTCCGAAATATCTGGGCTTGCATTTAGCATTAGACGCTGCCTCAATTTTCTTGTTGAGCACTAGAACGAGTGCGCCAGGGTGGAAGTCGTAGTCGTTGATGACGTTTGCGAATTGTTTCTCGAATTGACGGATAGATGAGAAGCGGCTGTGGAGGATCCTTTGGTGCATGAGTGCAAGGTCCTCGTCCCGTTTTGCGAGCTGGCGAGTGCGATAAGCGATGAGGTCTGATGTTGAGGTCAGATTGGAGATGTCGGGCAAAAGGAAGGTGGAATGAGTGATATCGAAGGGAAGAAGCGGCTCAACACCGTGTGCCATGAAAAACGGCGTGTGTCCCGTAGCTTTCGTGTAGTAACGCGATCTGCCCAGAAGGTATGGGGCGCTAGAGATGGCCATTGGGTGATGTCTCCGTTACAAGCTTTTACGAGAGAATCGCGTATAGTGCGATGCGATCATTCAACTATTCCGTTGGCTCTCGAATTGTAGGCAGAGATGCGAATGTGCCGGATACCGTATTTTGCTGCTAACCACTCCAAAGCTGCGACGAAGGGCGTTCCATTATCAGTGACTATTTCCTCGACTCCTCCCCATCTGCACAAGACTTCTTCGAACAAGAAAGCACCCAAAGTGCGGGCCGTTTTTCCTTTCTCAACATCCTCCATTCTGGCCATCCAGATAGGGAGCAGCGCGCCTGTACGATGTAGGAGAAGCCTTGTGCCGTGGGCATGTGCATAGTATCAGTGTAGGCTTTGCGGAATAGTGGCGCGGGAATAGAGACAGTAGGGGGAATAACAACTTTTTCGACCGATCGAAGCTGACATTGATGGCAAGTTTGGATGTACCAAGCGACGTGCTTGTCAGCGAAGGCCACCAAAATCTGTCCATGATGGTGCGTCGTGTGGCGTAGATGCCTTTATGACCGAGCTTATCGTGGGTATCCATCAGAATGTGAGCGCGGTTCGAGCCGAAGAGAACGAGCTGATGGGCGTCCAGTAGATTGCTTGCGCCAGAGACAGTCTCCTTTGGCGAAAAAACTGTGGGCCCGTTTGATGAGGCGAGTGCGATCAGCAGTCGATATTGTCGAAGGGAATGAGAGCGATTGGAGGTAGGAAAGGATGATGAGGAGATCCTGGTCACGCTGACGTGTGGTGTCATCTGTAGGAAGGTTGAAGTCAGCACTGTTCCATAGCGCTGCGAGATTGAAAACAAGTCGGCTGTCGTCCTTTGTTCCTCCAAAATTTCTTCTAAGTCTCCTTCAGCCCAAATAGCGCATCCCAGAACCTCATCTAACCAATCCTCTATCTCCTCGGATGTCTCCTGGAGTCCGTCGTCATCTTCTGGCGTTGGTCGTCGTCGAGAAAGACCGTCAGGCCCGAGGTGTTTGGTTCCTGGTACGTGGCGTAGTTTGAAATGAAAAAGAGAGATTCCAGCTAACCAGCGGTTCATGGCCGCATTCGGCTGAATGTCCGGATTACTAATCATCCCCTTGATGTACTTGGCGTCTACTTCAACAGTGAACAGTTTTGAGGCCGATAAGCCATACTTTGGCTGCGCGAAGTGCGCGAAAAAGGCCGTAGAGCTCGATTTTCGCTTGGGAGTAACGAGCTTCGCGTTCATTCCAAGTGATGGACCCATATCGCGATGGGTAACGTTTTCCGTTAGTGACCTGCGATAAGATCCAACCGCAGGCTATGTAGGATGAGTCGACAGATAGGATGACTTCGTCTTGTGAGGAGTAATTGATCAGGGCGGATAGCGGAAGAGGTAGAAACAGCATGCTTGACCGTTTCCATGGCTTCTTGGGTGACGGAATCCCAGATGAAAGGTACATTAGCGCGAGTAAGATTAGTGAGTGGACGGGTGATGTGGGCATAGTCTCTAATCCAATTGCGGACGGTACCTGCGGTTCCGAGAAAGCCTCGTACTTCGGTTTTCGTCGTGCAGGGAGGCCAGTGCATGATTTTTGAGACCTTCGTCTCGTCGGGAATACGTCCTTCATATGTGCAACACTGTCCAACTACAACAACCTCGGGAACGCAAAGAAATAATTTCTTTGCGGATACTGTGGCTCCTGCGTGTCGAAGACGATGCAAAACCCTGTTGACGTCCACACAGTGTTCCCAAACGAATCGTCTGATACCGGAGTTCTCAGAAATGAACTCGTAAGACCCATCAGGTAACTCGTAATGTGTGCAGGGTCCAAGGACGTTAACGTCGTCCTGAAAATTCGGTGCTAGCTCAATCTCATCTTGTAAGATAAAGGCAACGTCGTTCTGAAATACCGCTGGTGAGTCAGTCCAGCCTTGAGGAAGGACGGTGAGTCGATAAGTGCCGAGGGGGGTTTGAAACGTCGTGATGTCGCGTGATTCCTCTGCTAGGGCTCGATGATCAAACCCTACAAATAAATCCATCATTGAGTAAATTGAACGGCCGGCGCATTGTTCAGCAAAGAGCTCGATGTACGGCATCGTTGCAGCGTCCTTAACCGTGATGGAGTTTAGCTGCTGGAGGTCGTGGACGATTCTGACTGCTCCGCTCTTCTTTGCGACGCAAAACCAGCGAGACTGATAGGATGAGTTGGATGGCTCATAGACACCGGAGGCTATTTTTGACTTGATGAGCGTGATTACTTCCTTCTTAATACCTGGCGGAATAGGTGGCTGACGGTGTACCCATGGTACGTGCTCGATGGTAGGAATGACAACGGGAGGGAAGTAATCGTCCCGGAAGCGTCCCTTTTCCGTCTCGTCCCAAGCGAGAGCAAGCTCGTTGTTCATTAGGACGTGGGCCGCGAGTTTCCGTTCTTCGAGAAGGAGAAACTCGTTCTTGAAAATTCCGAGCTCGTCCATGCGTTCTTGAGTGAGACGAGTGCCAGGTGTGAATGCTGGAGGGATAGGGAAAAGGATGGGAAGTGAAAGGAGCGGGTCTTCTGGAAACTTGCGGATGATTCGCGCATGCTCAGGCATCGTGGTAGCGACGGGTTTGACTTTATTGGCGACCTTCTTGTAGGCAAAAGTGCGACGGACTGGGTCGATATCGAAATGCGCCTGGAGAAGAAACTCAGCGAAGGAGGAAAAGACGAGACGAGATTTGGGGGTAGCATGGTATATATCCGTCGAGCTGGTAGATTTGATAGCATGGTAAATGTTCGTCGAGCTGGTTGGCTGGATGTGCGGGACAGGTAGAGTTAAGGAAGGCGACTGATGAAGGAGGGGAGGTGCGAATACCGAGGCCGTTAAGGCGAGAGAAGGATGAGCCCAAGGGCGAGGTGTCGTTGCAACGATTCGGACCTTGCTGGAATCTGTGGGGTCATGCACCGTGATGTGTACTCCGTTGATATCTTCAGTTTTTGACAGCCGTACCAGCCGCTGCCAAGGCCGTCCTAGAAGTAAGCGATAGGGCGCGTCGGGAACCACATACGCGTGAGCCCAAGTCTTAATTCCCTCGACATCAATTTCTAACATCTCTAGACATCCTGCTAATTCCTGTGATCCTCCATTGGCAGTTTGCATGCGCATTCGTACGTCTGGATTGATTGGGGCGTTGGTCTTCCTCCATACGTCCTCCCGAATAACGACAATTTCCGATCCCTCATCCAACAATCCTAGCTCTGAGTGCGTCCCGTTTAGCGTTATTCGTATTTCTCGCAGAGGTGTGGCATGCTCGACCGATATTGGAGAGGGTGCAGCTAACGTGTTGGTGGATAGTGTGGAGGCTGGTGTGGGAACTCGATGTGTACGTGAGTGTTCGACGGCTTCTTTCCTTAAGTCCGGACTAATCGACAATAGGTCCGATATTGTTAGTTGCGGAATGGGCGTACTTAGGATGGTCTCGTAGATGCGTCGAGCTGCGTCAGGTGAGGCTGCCTTGGACTCATACTTGTACGCTGGCCCTTTCTTCGTGTCCGTATCATTCGTTTTTGCAGGATCCGGGGAGGCGGGTTTTGAGAGAGGCGAAGGAAGGGTAGTTCTCGGAACGGAGGTGCTGTCCACGACAGACGCGGCTCTGGACTTGGACCTGGTTATGGCCAGTACGTTTGCCTCTTCGTTCTCTTCTTCGACCGTCACTATTACTGCGTGATTGCCAGCGACTGGTTCGCACTGGATAAAATACGAGTCGGATATGAAGGCAGAGGAGGGAATTTCCGTGGAGGCTGGCGGAGTGGTCTCGACTCGGTTTGTTTGGACGGGAATGGAATTAGCTCCTGTAGCAGGTGTCGCGTTTGGTGTCGCCGAATACCTTGAATCAATAGCTTGCTTGAACGTTTCATTTCCGAATCGTCGTAAACGGGACCTATCCGGGAAGGCAAAGTACTGGCCGTCTCTAATGATCCGTCCTGCCCGTAAGTATTCTCCCGCTACCGAACACGTTCGCATGACATGAGCTCCTCCGCAGAAGAAGCAAGTGGCGTTGGAAGGGTAGGTGGGAGATGACGAAAGTGACGGAAGGGGGAGGTATGATAGTGGCGTTTGAGTTGATACGGCGTTGACAAGCTGCCGTGACTTAGGGGATGCCCATCCGTGAATAGCTGCAGGGGCTAAGCATGCGAGACGCGTATAGCACCCAGAGTATGCTGCGTCGCCTATATCCAGTCCGTGCATTTTACGAGCCAGGGCTTCGACCTCGTCGAAGTTGTCTTTGGGAGGGATGGGTGGTGTGAATGCTACGCGCCTTGTGTGGACTTCCTTTCTAACATCTTTTCTCTCCTCTTCCTCGTCTGAATCCCAGGTTTGTCGCAATGGTCGAACCTTCTGCGTGCGCCCGTCTCTCATCAGCTTGATGCGAGAGGCGATAGGTTCGTTCAAATCTGCATCGAACGCGTCATCAGAGAGCACAAACCGTCCTGCTTCGACGACCTTCTCGAAGTTAGTAGCTTCGTTGCGGGTATAGTTTGCCTCAGTGTGTTGCAGTCGTTGCGCTATTGCTATTCGAGCGGAATGGGGAAGACCTTGCCAAAAGTAACGATCTCGCTCGCGTTCCGAGATTTTGGAGTTAGCTACTAGCCACACTGCTATAGGACGGAATTGACGATAGTACTGCACTAGTTCCGTTTCGGTAGAAACGTCTGATTCCGCCGTATTGAGAATGACTCGTTCGAGATCTCGAATGGTGTATCTTGCACCTTTGGCCGCTCCCGGATATTGTCCGATAATGTTCGCTTTGAAGATGCTGAAATCCCTGCTCTCATACCCCGTGAGCGTGACCCAGAACCTCTTGGTCTCGAGGTTGACGTATCGAACTATCATTTTGCATTTGTCGGTATCGGTGAGTCCGCAGGACGAGGCTAAGTCTTCGAACAGTTCTAAAAACTCTAGTAAGTCGGACGTCTCCCCACTAAAGGACGGGGCTTTGCTAGAGCCTGGTCCTGGCATTGCGGATATTCCCTTCATGTTTGTCGACATGGTGGACGTAGGTTTCGACGAAAGTGGTTTTTGGATATGATGAGAAGTAGTAGGGTGTTGGACTACCGTGGGTGCTGGTTGAGCTGGTGCGGGTAGCAACTCGTTTGAAATGAACTGAGGTTTCGGAATGAGGGGAACGGCTGTAGGGAGGGCGGCCGTCGGGGTGTTATGGAGTTGCGGAGGTACAGAAGGATGTTTTGGGGTTTCGGGGTCAAAGGTCGCGGGTCTAAGAACGAATGTGGTTTGAGAAGGAAGGGGCGGAAATAGAACGTTAAAATATGGTAACTGGCTTATGGTATCGTCTTCGGAGATAGAGGATTCGGATGGAACGTCTGATGTATCTATGTTCTGCCTTGAGTTGTTGATACGGGTTGGAGTTCGATAAGCGTCGATTTGATTGGGGGGAGTCTGAGCGGTCGTTGCTTGGAGATAGTAATGCGGGTAGGCGGTGGTGATGGTATTGGCGCGGGTTCTGGTCTTCTTTGGGGCAGAGGTGTTTTTCAGGAGAGCCAGCGCAGTTGGCTGTTGGAGACGGATCTGCGCGTTTGGATGATAATACTTAGTAATTGTGAAGGGTTTTTTTTTTGGTCAAAAGAGTGAGAGTTCGATAAATCGAACAAGGGGTGCAAGGGCAGCTCGAAAGCAATTCCCTCGCGGTGGGCTCCAAATATATAAGGCTGACGTTGAGTTCGAGGAGGGAATCGCTGAGAGAGGACGTTCTTTAAGGAGGGACGACTGTTTTTAGTTTTGGGGGGACGAAGACTTATCTTTTCATGCAATCTACAAGGTGTGTTTAAGAATGTGAGGCGCTAAGGGTCCTCGGGTATACCTAAGCCGAATGATTAGGTGAAAATGTTGACGGAAAGTGAGTGGCGGCGATCCTGACAGGGTAGAACCAGCGGGAGCGAAGGAGAGTACGAAAGTATAGTATGAGTGGTGGTTTTAGACAGTGCGGTTAGCACAGAAATGACGAGAAGTTTGACTGTTCTTGGTACGGCGAAGTAGAACGAGGGATGGTGACGAAAGAAAGGTGTCAGAATGTTGGTAATGGCAAGGGTATCGTGTGGCGACAACTGAATGGTCGTGCTGAATGTCGTCAAGTAGTGAGATAATGAAGGTAAGAAGAAAAGATTGTATCCGCGTGACTCGGATGGGAAGCGTGGTGCTTCTTCGCATCAGTACGTCACGTGGCTGACGGGACATGTGTCCGTGTGTCTCATTGTAAAGTTATAGTCGGGGCGTAAAGGATATGAATCCTTACAGTTGGTCGCTTTTAATGCGACCTGAAGTCTTTCTATATTTGTATTTGGAAAAGTGCTCTGGCGGCTGATCGATGATTGTTAAAGGTCCTCCGAAATGTCTCAATATTCGGTCCTTGCTGAGCACTGAAGTCTTGCTTGAAGATGGGTTGCAGGATGCGGTACGACAACTTCGGCTCTGCTCGATTTGATGACTCTTGAGAAAGACAGGGGATAGGTCATGAATTATTCACATGTTGTTCTCTGCATGTTTCCTCGTGCGATCGCTGTTGCGATATGACTTGGGAGCGACGACGGTCAATTGAATGGATCATGTACTGCTTGTCACACGTATACAAGGGTTCTCATGTATTGAACTTGGTCGGATCCTAATTTTGAAAATTATATGATGTGTAAGTATACAATAATGGTGACGACGCTCTCACAACCTGCGAATAACAGCTGAGTGTCCGCTGCCTCATAATATATTGTAAAAAAAAAGATTCCCTAGCGTGCACAAAGTTCAGATAACAGGGTCTGTAAAACTGAATCGATGATTGACTTGAGATAGTAAAAGATGTATCGCACCTGCCACTGGTTGTGTATTGCCTTGTCCTCCTCGACCACGCGTGTCATAGTCTGCATACCACATGCATTTAGCGTGCCGCGTAGCTAGCATGAATTTCCTCTCACCATCTGGGTTTCGCGAAGCAGCTCCAGCTCGCTTGCCAGCCCCAGGCTCCTTCTGATCACCCTTGGACGTCCGCTCTACTTCTTTCTTCGTGAGTTCATCATCCGGAATCTTCTGTGTGACTTCAGATGGGAAAGAGTCAACTGGCGTGTCTCCGACAAAGTGTTGTGTAGCGGCTGCCATTTTCATAAGATAGGTGCAAAGAGTTCGTGAACAAGATGTGTGTTACATAAAGTGTCCAACGCTTTAGTCGCGCCAGCATGATCGTCATGCAATGATGTCATTTTGACATCCAAGTACCAAATATGGCAATCTCCACTGACAGCCCTTGGCCCCTTGCGACCATGTATGTACCGCAAAGCATATTTTCACCCCAAACCAATATGGACGGGTAATAGTACGGAACGCACCGCGCACATGTTTCTAACATGCGAACTTGAGTACCGAAGCAAATTCGTAACGAGGGCTCACCCTGAGGCCCACTCAAACACTCTGACAGTTTCTATGTAGACTTAATACACTGTGAATTCCGTTCAGTGAATGCTCTTGGACATCGTGTTGTGATGCTGGATGCAGAAATATTAGAGTTGTGCGAGGCACGAAGTGATCTCCGTCAACACCCCCGATTGTGTTTACGGCGCCTTTTCACTTTAAGACCAAAGGTGATGGTCTGCAAGGCGTTCAACACGAGTCCGCATTATGTTATGTCCTTCTTGTAGTTGGAGAACCAGAAATGAGAAACTGAGGGGAAGATATGGACCATATGGTCGAAGCCAACGCAATAGGTAACTGTAAAATTTTCAAACCTTATGCAGCGATGATAGCCGGGTGCCACAAAATCTGGCTAGTAGTCTAGCCAATCGATCGACATGTTTGTGTTATCGGAAATAGAATAGGCCTCATCTTCTGGTTGTTTGATTTCTCTACGTAGACAAGGAAACAAGGGTCAGATGAGATAATTGAATGACAGTTGCAAGGCGACTCACCGCGGCTGCATCAATCCAGACGCGAGGTACCATATTCCACCTTGTCGATCAGCTTAAATTCGTAGGGAAAGAACCATACTCAGCAAATGATAGAAGTGTATCTCAGTGCTCATCCAGCGAACCTATCATCCAAACTTTGCGGCAGGCGACTTTGCTATATTCCTATATGCACGGACAAATCATCTACTCATGCGTGGAAAGGGCCCAATGGTGGAACTAAAACGGCCATTGATCCCATGTCTTGCCAATGTCAATTTGAACGTTGAGTTCGATCGAGAACTCTGAGCTTCCAAACTGCAATGATTCATGATTATTTTGAATGCTGAGGGCGCATGGTCTTTTCATGCCACAGACGGAGATGAGGATAGGTAGCATATGGTACAAGCAGAACGTTGAAGATTTGGCCGAGGGTCTCCAAGGGAATGATCCCTGATTCTGGCCTTTTGTAGATGTCCAAACATGGATAGTGGTCCCGCTTTAGCCTCATTGGTATTACAGTTTGTATAAGAACAAAAGCAGTTTAGTGAATGGACGGTCCAAACCTGCCCAAGTATTTCAGGATTTGAGACGCTCACTATTTTCATCTTTCTCTCTCATACCGTTGTCGTCTTTCCTTTCTCTCGCGTTGCACGCGAATTTGGCCTCCACGTACACCACTCTCTTTCCTGTCAATCCTTTTCGGTACCAACGCAATGACTCTAAAATCGCTTGTACTATCGTCTCTCGCTCTACTAACTAACGCGCATATGGCCGCGTATCACAAGGCCATGTATTGCTTTAATGTCAGTCAAACGCTTCATGTCGCATGATTCAACTCTGACAGTAGCACTCTCTCTACAGGGAACTGTGGCAGGCCAGGTCAATTATAACAACGACGACCCTGTCAGCCCCTTGTGGATGTTGCAGAAGAATGATTACTGGTTTCATCATTTCAACGGGGTGAGTTTATATTTTTTGGGTCCAAGAATTTTGCTTATATCATCTAGTGTGATGAGTTTCCTCCTGCGCCAGGAGATTTCCTTGAACTGTGTGTTTTGCCTTTGTGTTCTAATCGTGTAGATCTCATTATGTCCCAGACCCGCCGGAGGTTCCTTTACTGTCGAAGTAGCCGCTAACCGCGGTGTGACGTCTCTGTCATTCAATGGTCAATTCGCGACTGAGTGGGGTGATGGTCAAAATCATCCCGAGGACTACTCCATCACAAATTTGGCAGGCGCCCCTCTTACTGATAGTAATTGCATAGGTAGTCCCAACAGTGAGTACAAAATAGATGTGGTCAAACGGTCGCGCTGACGATGGGTAGTGCATACACAGAATCAGTCTATGGCTGCTGGATCTGCATTCGCAATCTCATACCAGGTTTGCTCCTGTTTGCTGTCTGATTGAACACAAAGCTTACTAATCAAACAGTCAGAACTCAGTGAGGTGACAATTGACAACCTCGTCGTGTTTACGGTCCGCTATAAGTGCGTTCATATCCGATGACCCTGCGAATTCCCCTGACCCTCATTATAGCACCCCCTGGAAACGTCTCACAAGCTATGATGTTCCAAAGGACATGCCTGCTTGTCCCGCAGATGGTTGCACTTGTGCTGTAAGTTATTAATGGTTTCCTTCCACAAAGCTGACTTTTCATTTATCTTCAACAGTGGGTTTGGGTTCGTTGTCTCTCGGTTGCGTTTCATTACCGTTAATTAACTTATCTTCTAGATTCCGAATGGATGCGGCGAGCCTAACATCTATATGCAGGGATTCAAGTGCATGGTCACCAACCCGACTTCCACTACCCCTCTTGCCACCCCCAAGCCTCCCGTCTGGTGCGAGGAGGACCAGAGTAAATGTACTCAGGGCGCAAAGCAAATCCTGATCTGGAATCAGGCTGAGGGAAATAACATCGTTGTCAACGGCGCTGACCTGAGCGGCAGTCCCAAGAGCCCGGCGTACAATAGCAAGTGCGGGTTCCAGGATGGTGAGGGTTTCCATGCTTTGGTTTCCATTGGAAACATTGTATCTGATATATTCACACAGGAGCACAAAATGATATCTTTGCGACCTCTTCCGGCGCGATGCCTGCAGCAATTGCTTCAGCACCCTCATCAGTTGCTTCATCCTCATCAATTATTACATCATCCTCACCAGCTATCTCACCTTACTCGTCATCCACTTCATTGCCCATGACCTCTTCCACTGCCAGAGCCCCGTCAGCTGTTTCATCATACCCGTCCCCTTCGTCCCCTTCTTCATCACCTATCTCATCATCTATGATTTCTTCCAGTGCCGCAGCTTCTACGGACTCAGCTCCACCATGCGAGACTTATACTAGCACTACCCATATCCTCTTCCAGTGCCGGAACCTCGTCATCTATTTCATTATACCCATCACCTTTGTCACCATCTTCATCGCCTGTTTCATCATCCATGATTTCTTCCAGTGCCGGATCCTCCGCACCCTTAAGTCCATCGTGCGAGACCTCTACTAGCACAATGTTTATCACATCTACGGTTGAGCCACCTCAGGTTGCAACCACCCCTACATCAAGTAGTCTGGCAACCTCACAATCGGCCAACAATCTTGTAGCCACTGCTGTTTCGAGCACATCGAGTGTCACCCCGAGTCACGCGACCTGCCGCAAACGGATGGTTCACAAGCCCGTTCGTCGTCGGTTTCTTTTCAAGTAGTTGATCTACGCTGCTATCCTGTCGACAACCATCTCTTACTGTTGAGCGGGCTCAACTATTTTTTGTTAGCTCGTCTGTAGATTGTGAGTTTCGCATTTCATCGACTTCGTTTTTCTGTCATTATATTTTTCATGTTCGGTTATTGTTCGTGCCCTGCATATTGTCGTCGTTACCATGCTTGTCGTTACCGTCTCGGCGTTGGCACTCATTGCATGAGGCTCAATGTATTTTACTCTGCATGCATCTACTAGATACCGGATACCACATGATCACTATGTACTAGTCTTCCCCATACCGAAAGACAGCAAATTTGTGAGATTCCATACAAATATTGTTTCTACTCGGGGATTCTTGATCGCAAGGAACAATCTATTAGTACTGCTCACGTGTCAAGGTCCCAACTCCGTTCGGGTAACGTTTGGTCAACGTTCAGCGCTTTCAGTTGAAAATTTCTTGATTAATGAGGTTTTCAACCTCGAAACTGTTTGATCGTAACTCTCCTCACGCGCCAAGCCCGAGCCTTATTATCGCAGGAGCGCACCTCGATATTTCTTATCTCTGAAATTCACCACAAGAGGCCACAACCGGTGTCTTCCATAGATTGTTGAACCACACGGATTTCCACGTGCCCTAAGACGGGAATGCAACCCTTTCTGTTCCAAGCGACACTATCACCAACTCTTTGCGGAGGGAGCACCTTATCCTACGGGACTCTGGCTGAGTTTGGACACTGCACTGGATGAACGGGCTTCATGGCGTAGTGGCAATCGGAAACCTCTCGAGTCTCGTCTAGCGTTCAAGTCCATGTACTTGTGAGCATGCACGATGTCTACCTCACGTCGAGCTTCACTTACAATGCATTGCCACCTCCAACACTACAGGCAGCTCATTTTGACGATCTAGTTTCGTCGAAAAATACAGCTCTTTGTAAACCATGTGTACCAGCGCAGCAGCCTATGTGGAAGGGTTTTACCTTCAGAAGAAGCCCGCCCCACAAATCTTCAAAGTTTAACAAGAACGCTCAAATTTCACAATCAATTGTCTCGTTGGGATCAACATTAAAGCTATAGAAGTTCGACCGCGACCGTCCAGTTGGTGCTATGAAGATCTGGTGCACGAGCCTTACCTGCCTTAGCCCCCTCGCTTTGATCCGCTGCACCCGACATGATTGTTCGTTATCCTGTGCCAAAGACTTGTAAACATGAAATCCGCTCATCGTCCTGTACTAGTCATAAGTGGAGACACTTTTTGGTCCGCCAGTGTACAGACTCTGGTATCACACGGTGCTTGTGCTTGCGGCGAGTCTCACAGATGCTACCCTGATCTTGGGCGCGCTGGAAGCATACGATAAGAACGTTTCGCGATCGGCAGTTGTTTTGCCTTCAACCGCACCAGTCACGGTGACACTCGTTGTATGCGATCGCCTACTAACCTTGTTCTTGTTAATCAGGACGGCTTTGCTTACCTTGTGGAATCTGGCTAGATTAAGGTATTTGTGGTGTGCTCGGACGGAGAGATTAGAGCGATCATACATGGTGCAGGAGGCATAAAGAAGTTGTTCTTGAGAATATTTTTGGGCGTGTTGTGGTATGTTCTATATCCTTTGCACCACAACTCATCCACATATACCCCGATCGATGTATGCAGTTGCTGCTGATGTAGTCATGGACGTTGGCGACGCCAGCAGTCCTCGACCCCAATTTGAATCATCTTAGACTTGCTAGACTTGGCATGCAGCCGTATCAATGTTCTGTGGCATTTTCCTACTGGTCTGCACAGCGGTACTAGTATTGAAAGTCACTGAATGTCAAGTATTATGACCGCATCTGATGCCCCTGAGGGATTGAGATCTATTGGCCAGACTCGGAAACCTTCTAACATATTGGCATGCACTCTATGGCCATGGTAGTCACTAGATACGAGTTCGACGAGGAGTCAGGTCAGTTTGACAGATCACTTAGTAGAACCGAACCTCGTGACAACTTGAACGTAGAGCAGATGTCGCCTGCCATCATGGAAACCAAACGAGTACTTGGTTTGGATACCTGCCGTAGTATCCTTATATCTACGGCATATAAATGGGGCACTTTGTCGGCACATAAATCTTTTGCCATTATACTCAACCATGCCACCACACCGCATGAGTCTGGGACGAATTTGCTATAGTTCAACATTCTGCCAGATTCCGCCATCTGCTGGCAGGCAGAAGCTTAAGTGACTTGGCAGAACCGGCTTGCAACCTGCTAATAATATAATATATGCAAATTGCGATAAGGGAGCAACATTCAAGACAAATAATATGAGATATCAATATCGACCTAGTACAACTTGAAAGTATTGACAGGAATGAGCTTCAACTATCGTGTCATCATGACTCCACAACGGCGAATGTGCTCCTTCACGTTCTACCAATTCATACCATTTGACAGCAATAACAATTCTGCCAAATCGATCAGGACTGCCGATCATAATATGCAGGGTATAAAAGCTGGTCGTCGAACTACAGTCTTTTCCCATCCTCAGAAATATCATTCAAGAACCCCCTCATAATACTCCATATCACCTCGCGAAGAATGCGATTACTAGTATCCATCTTCGCTGTTGTTATTGCTTTGACAGCATCCACATTTGGGGCTGCGCCAAAATGCCTGTCCGAAGGAAAGTCTTGCGACAAAAAAAGCGAGTGCTGCAATAAATTGGATTGTAAACCCCTTTCCCCGAGTGTAAGCAGGTTGCTGTGTAACCAGGATTCAACTATGACTCACCTGCTTGCCTTAGGGTGGAGATAAGGCGTGCCTCTCATGGTGAAGATCGAGCCCTCAGTCGGCAGCTCAAGCAGTGTCGCGACAGTGAGTCATGCTTCTGCTTTCATTTTAGTATAGTTAATGGTGCAATACCTAGTCCAGAGCCAATCGATACAGTTGTTTTTGGACAAATGTTCGTACCGCTCGACCACGTGGATGTTTGAATTTATCTGAAAATGATCAACCGTGTCTAGTATTGCTCGTGGTCCACTAAGCTTGAGTTCGAGACACTGTCGAAGCGCGATCATTGCTGTTGGTGATTAAAATTGGGAGGCTATACGAAGATGGGATGCACTGCACAGGTTGAATTTGTTCGTCTAACGTTGACCTCCAAGTCGCCGATCTGGGGTGCACGCGCTCTCGATCTCGCAGCACATGCAGCAGACGTCTGGGCCACCTGAATGGGCATGTGGGCGCTTGAGTCAGAGGATCCTGATATCACCGCTGCGCTTCTTCTCCCGGCTTCAGGACAAGGACAAGGGAACGTACTGCCCGAAACACGTCTCACGCTCCTGAAGGCCCCGTCGCTCGTGTTAAACCACCAGCGTGAGAGAGGTGGAAAAATGTTTACCGCGAAGCCATTCCTGCGTTCCTAGATGGTCTGCCCACTGAAGAGCGCAAAGCCTGGATCGCAATGGAGATGATCGAGACGACATACGGGGTAAGTGATTACCTCGTATGCGCATAGTTCGGCTATAGACAACGGGAATGGCATAGAGACGAAAGTTGTACGAGCAGAGGTTATCTCTGAACTAGGTATCTTCGGGTATGCATCGTTTGGAGAGGGAGAGGTAATAGGATGGCTTGTTAGGACCAAGGGTACTAGTACAGAAAGCAACGAGGGCGGGGTTGCAGCTGTGTTTCAGTGTTGGACAGCGTGGTTCTTGTTTGATGCACTCGGTTGTCGAAATAATTTGTCGCTGGATATGACAGTGACTCGACCTACACGGAAGGATCAGCCTAAGGATGCACTGCTCAGTTGTTAATTCACCTATATTATCATGCATTCGCTCTCGGTTCATATCCTACAGTCGAGTCTTGAACGCGCTTTGCAAACTACCGAGGTAGGCAATACAATTATTGCATGACTTTTGATGAAGATGTTGACCATGCTTCGAGTCCGAGTCGGTGTTGACGTCTCGAAGAGGTAAAAGCACTCCAGCATAACCAGCTTTATATGCCCCATTCTGATTTAGAACAAGAAATTTTGACTGGTCTTGGAAAAGCGATGTCCTGCGCTTGAAGTTGGTGGACAAGTGTTCCCTTGATCTCATCAAGCGATATGGATTCGGGACTGCAAGATCATCATCGATGTTCTGAGTTTGAGGTAAATTTGCCATAGTTCGACATTCTGCCGGATTCTACCATCTGCCGGGCAGTAGTAATTTGGCAGAACCGGCTGGTAGCACGTTCTGCCTACAACGACCTGCAAATGATATATGCGAATTGCAATAAGGGAGTACCAAACGAGAAAAATGGTATGAAATATTGACCGAGCACCAATCAAAATATCGGCAGGAATGAGTTCAACTCTCGTGTTATGATGCAAGTAACATAATAATCCATCGACGAGTTGCAGGGACGCTCCTGCAGGTTCTACCAGATTTATTGCATCTGATAGCAATAACAATTCTGCCAAATCGATCAGAACTGACAATAATGACATGGAGGGTATAAAAACTGGTCGTCGACCTACAGTGTTTTCCCATCCTCAGAGATATCATTTGAGAACCCCCTCATAAGATTCCATATCACCTAGAATGCGTTTATCCATTCTCTCCATTGTCATTACTTTGACAGCATCTATGTTTGTGGGTGCATGCACGCCCGAAGGAATATTTTGCACGCCAGGCGCTGGCGAATGCTGCGATAAACTGATTTGTTTTGATGGTCACGTGAGGTTTCCGAGTTTCTGTAACCAGGATCAACCACGACTCACCTGCGCGCATTAGGATGGTAATCCACCGAATTGCCGATTTCCCGGTAATACTAAAAATTGAGCCAGCAGCATGTCGCGACAGTGAGTCATGCTTCTGCTTTCATTTTAGTATAGTTAATGGTGCAATACCTAGTCCAGAGCCAATCGATACAGTTGTTTTTGGACAAATGTTCGTACCGCTCGACCATGTGGATGTTTGAATTTATCTGAAATTGATCAACCGTGTCTATAGCTTGCTCGTGGTCCACTAAGTTTGAGTTCGAGACACTGTCGAAGCGCGATCATCGCTGTTGATGATTAATATTGGGAGGCCATACGAAGATGGGGCGCACTGCGCAGATTGAACGTGTCCATATAACGTTAACCTCGAAGTTTGACTCATGGATCTCTCCACTGATGGAATCAACGAGACGCCGATCGTGATTCGTAACAGACGTGGTATGTCAACCACCTACCGTAGAGACTCGAGAGTCTCACAAACTCGTGGAACTTAGCAAATTTCGCATACCCCTAGGGCGTGGGAACTTCCCACGGGAGGGGAGGTCTTAACGGCGTAGTATTACAAGTGGCCAGGCTCATGTACATTTTTTCCCGAGCGGGTTCCTTTTGAGTGCCGCACATAGTCCGGTGGAAATTGAGGCAGCAGCCCAAGCAGCATGTCGCGACTGTGAGTCATGCTTCTGCTTTCGTTTTGGTATCCCATTTAATGGTGCAATACCTAGTTCGGAGCCAATCGGTACAGTTGTTTTTGGACAAATGGGGTCATGGGCGCCAAGACCATTGAAGCTTGAGGTTTGTAGCAGGCCGCAACCGGGGCATTTTATGCATATAAATTTCATCTTATGCAATATTTGATGAAGTTGGTGGACAAGTGCTCCCTTGATCTCATCAAGCGATATGGATTCGGGACTGCAAGATCATCATCGATGCTCTGAGTTTCAGGTAAATTTGCTGTAGTTCGACATTCTGCCGGATTCTACCATCTGCCGGGCAGTAGTAATCTGGCAGAACCGGCTGGTAGCACGTTCTGCCTACAACGACCTGCAAATGATATATGCGAATTGCAATAAGGGAGTACCAAACGAGAAAAATGGTATGAGATATTGACCGAGCACCAATCAAAATATCGGCAGGAATGAGCTTCAACTCTCGTGTTATGATGCAAGTAACATAATAATTCATTGACGAGTAGCAGGGACGCTCCTGCAGGTTTTACCAGGTTTATTGCATCTGATAGCAATAACAATTCTGCCAAATCGATCAGAACTGACAATAATGACATGGAGGGTATAAAAACTGGTCGTCGACCTACAGTGTTTTCCCATCCTCAGAGATATCATTTGAGAACCCCCTCATAAGATTCCATATCACCTAGAATGCGTTTATCCATTCTCTCCATTGTCATTACTTTGACAGCATCTATGTTTGTGGTTGCATATCCATGTTCGGCCGAAGGAATATATTGCTCGCCAGGGCGGAAAGGCGAATGCTGCGATAAGATGATTTGTTTTAATCCTCACGTGAGGTTTCCAAGTCTCTGTAACCAGGATTCAACCATGACTCACCTGCGCGCATTAGGATGGTAGTCCACCGAATTGCCGACACCACAGTAAAAATTGAGCCAGCAGCATGTCGCGACAGTGAGTCATGCTTTCATTTTGGTATCCTAGTTAATGGTGCAATACCTAGCCCAGAGCCAATCGATACAGTTGTTTTTGGACAAATGTTCGTACCCCTCGACAATGTGGATGTTTGAATTTATCTGAAAAAAATTGATCAACCGTGTCTAATCTTGCTCGTGGTCCACTAAGTTTGAGTTCGAGACAATGTCGAAGCGCGATCATCGCTGTTGATGATTAATATTGGGGGCCCTATGCTAATAGTTATTCCTAGTTTCCCCTTTGGCTCGACAGCGTTTCATTTCTTTGAAGGCTTAAATTTCATGCCTTGAGTTTTAAATCAGCCTTGAGCTTGAACGGTTAAGATGGTGTGCTCAATTGTCCTCGCTTTCACTGCTTTTGTATCACTTACTTTGGCAACTCCTGTAATTTATGATGGCCGCGCCCCCTTCGACTATACTATTGAAGACCTGGACAATTCCCTGAGCCCCTACTTGTCGTGAGTATCGTCTCATTTGCCACCGAGCTAAACGCGAGCTAACCTTACCTCAGAGTAGTGAAAGGTAGTATGAAGGCCTCATATGTGTGGTTATATCCTACTTGGTGATATAGGTTGCTAAATAGCCGATTCACAGTATACTCAGCCCCTTAGGCATGCGCTCAATGCTACCCCATTGTGGTCACCCAATCTGTCGTCTCCAATAGAGCAGCCGATAAGGATTTCGATTGACAATACTTCCGTCTTCGTCCCTGGAGGTGGCATGCCTCAAAACGGTTTCCGCAGGACGGAGCTCATCGCGCAAAAAGATGGGAACCACACCGCCTTGGACACTGTCGCTGATGTAGGAACCACCGTGTTCCATGTATCCATTCTGGAGGAGTTGGAGAAACCTTTGAATATGAGCCATGAGTACCAGATCGTCTGGATTGAGCCTAATGATGGAACCCACGTCTTCGAGATCCAGCTCGGTCAGTGCCACATGATGCTAAAGTTTTTATATCTTCCTCTCCCTGACACTCCTTGATATAGGTTCGCCTTTCACCATCCCCACAGGCACTGCACCTGTCTCTGACGCTCGATTTCTGAAAGTCCGCAACCATGCGCTTGACCTTCTGTTTGAGACACCATTTACCTCCCACGACTGGCATAACTTCGCGGTCCAGATCGACTGGACAAGTCTTACCCTTGGCGTCTTTTATTCAATTAATGGAGAACCGCTGAAAGCTGTCACTGGCCTTGTGGAGAATTCGAGCGCTTCACCCGGTGCAGCTGGCCAAGGCGACTATCATTTCGGTGTACTAAAGGTAAGCACATCACTGTATGACTCAATAAAGGGTTGTCGAATTGCGAAGTAGCTTCCGCTCGCGAATCCCGACGAAACAACTGCGCAGCAGGGTGATGTTGTGCATTTCGGCATCCAGGAGGGTGATACCGAGGTGCTGATATATTCGGGTGTCTTCATTGAGAGTATCACTGGAGGTGTCAGTGCAGGATATGGGAAGACTATCGCTCCAATATCTTGACAGGCCACTGCCCAGTTGATGTTGCAGAGGTGAATACTCAAGGCGGATGGCTAGTATGAGCGAATTAATTCACACTATAGCAGCAGTGGGTAACTGGTTTCATAGAGTCGAAAGACCTCATCTTTCAATTTTTCTAAATTCCGGCCCTAAGGTTGTCATGTCTGATTTGTTCTCACGGCACTGAATGGAGGAACGAGTTTGCTGAGGCGCACGCTTGTCCAATTACCCTGGTATAAACTCGATTAAACTCGATTTAACTGAGTTATGGTGTCTGCAGCGTGCTTGCTGGGTACCGATTTAATTTGTAAGTCTTCAACTACCATGTCACCTTATAAAGTCCTCAAATCTTTCTCTAATATTCCTGCTGTTATTCGTGTCGATGATGCTAGTCCTGATTCGACTGTATCGTCGTTTTTTCTGCAGGTTGTAGAGTCCACAGTGTCCACTTGTAGGCTGGCGAGCGTTCCTACCATTGACAGTTGGTACAATTCTTGACAGACCTTTCGACTCGTCTATGAATTGGTTATGCAATTGGTCTCAATTTTTTGGCCTTCAGAAATGGATGTCCGACTGAGCGAGTCGGAGGCTAGCTTTCTGCTGGTCATAGTTATAATTTTAAGCCTGGAGGTGCATGTATTCGTCGAATCATTTCCATGTGGCTGAATGATCACTTGTAGGGCCAGCAATCTATCTTCGCCTTTGCCTGATGTCACAGAAAGGAGAAGAAATTTTAGCTACTCAAGCGGGTTTATCTTCATCATCTCCGTCATGTTCATCTGTACTTCGGCAAAATGAACATGTTATGGACAATTTTTTGGTGGTTATGAAGGCTTATCCAGACCAGCCCTAAGTGAATTGGCAGTTACCTTATGGCCTTCTGGTAGATCTACTCGACGAACAAAGCGAAAGATCGCGAATGAAGACAACATGGTAGGACAGCAGACCATAGCCATCATGTCCTCAAGTTCTACGGGCCTATGGCGAGCTTGAGCGCGAGCACAAGCATCCCCATTGCGAATTAAGGTATTTATGATCTTCACACATCTTCAGAAACTCGCTGACCCTGCTCAAGTAACTCAATACGACCCGAGAATCCCCCCTGACTACGGAACATATTTTCAGCTGAGGCAGAACAGGCTCAAGCAACTAAATACCTACGACACGGCAGAAAACGGATTCAGACTAATCTCGATGCATGACACTCACTCAAAATTAAGACCTGGCACGTTTGTTCTTGCCATCCGGTGCGACACTCACGTGTAACAACATGGTAGAAAACACCCAGTCGACTAGCGTGCGTATCACAATAGTTGAGTAAAACATAAACTAACATCGGACAGGCCCTTTCAGACTTATCAGCTCGCTGTGCGAGCCATGAAGGTCATGCAACCGTCTTATGAACTTGTGAAAGAACATTTTATCCCCACATTGTCGATGTTGCGGTCAACCCTACCAAGAAAACCAAACAGGCAGAAGAACAGGGAGAGAAAGGAATGGACAGACCCATGACGCACTCAAGAACACCAGCCTGTACCAACCGCCTCCCGGGCCGTTTCGCGACCGTGGCATTACATAACACCGGCACATTAAACAAGATAAAAATCATTTCAAATTCGCCAGAATTCACTCGTATTTGTAGCACTTTCTCCTCATGACTCGTCTGTGTGGGATACTTGTATCTGTAACACCAATCGATTGGCATTAAGACTCCAAAAAAAGACCGTAGCGGGCTCCTCACATTATGATCTCTACGAGTCACTACCGCATCTATACATGCACTCTGAGCTGCTGACACAAATAAGCGGCTACCGACGTATCAAGGAAGAAAGGAGACCTATATTTCTTAACTCACTACAGGCGTACTTCTTGTATGCACAATGCTGTGTTACAACTGTATTGAGTAATAGAAATAGCTAGATGTCTTAAGAAGATAAAAAAAAATGATGGCATATGTGTACCGGAGTGGTCATGCTTCATCGGAAGGACGGTTCATTTCTCAGGTGCTGGCATGCCTGGCTAGCAGCCCCGTCCTGAGCACCCCCTCTGGTATTTGATGAAGCGACGCCGTGATTTTGATCATTAACTGCATGACGGGTCGGTTAGTGCACATATCTTTGACTAGAAGTCAACCTTACTGTAGACGGTCGCATACCACGTTAAAGCATTTGGGGGACCTTGCGAATAAATATCCCACGTGACACGGGTAGACGCAGAAGGACCATAAATCCTCTGTAATTCGTTGTTTAACCTCATGCGGGGGTCTGGAGGTCAATGAGCGAATACATCTTGCATGTCGAACAAATGAGTAGAGGAGAGGACGTACGGTCATTGCCAGACATTGCTGCTAGGATTTGGTAAGAGTGTTGCAGATGACAAAAAGTTTGTAGGAGTTGTTGGATAATGAGCTGAACCGACGTCCCCCTCTTTATATCTGCAGAATGTGCATAGCTCATCAATCTGGGGCTGTAAACGCAAGTAGATGTGACTGGCAGCCAGACTCGGGACAAATTTGATCATTGGCAAGGTCATTGGCAAGGCCATCGCGGTCTCATAAATCCCCGGTTCCGGCGACGACGGCTGTGGAGGTGGAAGAAATGATGTATTAACAAGCAAGCGCTCGATCCTGTTGATCATATCCAGATAAAAAAAGTGACAGATCTGGAAGCTTGCTCATTCTCATAGGCAGAGGCTGGCCAATGCTGGCTGTTTGCGCCTTCGGGATTTCGTAGTTTTGGCGCTAGAATACCTGCCAACCTGCCAAGCTGTATAGATAAAAACAAGTTTCACGCACTAGCTACGCTTTTCCTATCTGGGGTTTATGAAAGGCCCTATGGTGGAAGGTTGCAACAACTTCTCACAAAATATTAATTGCCGGCTGCCAGTCCGCAGGTGGATTGAGCTAATGGCAGGCGTAGAAGGATGTATCGCGCGCGGAGCGCCTTGATATCACGTTGTTAAGTGATGCAACATGTCATTTTTATTTAAACAGCTGAGGGAATGTCAATATGATATCAGGGCAATACGACGTACAAGAATGTACTCATGTGACGGCGGTGTTCTCACTCATACCTACCTGCCAATGCTTTCCAGTAGCCTGGTTGTTGTTCATGAAAGAATATCAGTTTTTAGGTGTAGTACGCAGTAGAATTCGAAGTTTGATGGTGCACGTGTGAGTCCAGACAAGTCAGATGGGCCGCGAGCGGAGATACGGTTATCTAATAAGCTGGCCCTAAGTTGCTAGGCATCCTGATGTACAGCCACAAGTACGCAGTGCGAGTTCCTTCAACCTCAATGTGATGTGGCAAAAAAAGCTCAGACTTCGCCCTTTCGTCGTCCCTCACCGGTTTTCTTGGTGTTTCGCCGGCACTTCCTCGTACAAGACAGTCATATTATCTGAAGTCGTCAATACCTCGCGAGACCTGCGCATTTGAGCCAGCGAACAGGTCTTTGTGCAAGTGGAACAAAGATGATACAATTCCTGGAATTAAAACTGTTGCTGAAGACTACACAGATGAGACACGTGGCCGTCGACATATATATTGGATACTTGCCCAAGACCCAACTCCAAATTCCAAATCAACTTTCGCCAGTTGTCCACGGGCGAGGAACACCGTTTAGCTCACGGATCCCAGCTAGTCACTGTCACTAGACCTCGTAGCAAACGACTTTTATTGCGGGTAAATGTGCATCAATAATGTGTTGGTCGATGTCTTCGGAGCCCACGTTGCTCTCTGTGGCGTGGCTATCGTTAATACTGGTCGCTTTATGTATGGAAATGGCGTGAAGGTCGGCAAGCTGATATAGGCATCTCCTTTCGCGCGCGTTTAGTACATTCGCCTTTTGAACCAATAAAACAATAGACTATGTCAAATTTACCATGTTTGAATTTGTCCTACAATATTCATGTTCCTGAGTCTTAGGTTCATTCGTATATCAACCATCTAAGGAGAGACGAACACAGTAAGAGAATGCAAAAAAAAATTGAATGATACTCATGCTCTTATCTCAATTCCCTAGGAGTGTTCACCGCCTTCACTGCATTCTCAAAGTTAGAGTCACAAGCCAAGAGCACATCGAATCCTCTAACATAAATTATGGTAGGCCGCAATTGTACATGTACACCTAGTGATTAAATAAAAACTAAATGCTGATACTTTGTGGACGTGATAGTACATATTTACACATAAACATTGGGCGCCTGGACTACTTGTTCTATCAGAGTGGTTTTAGGACGAGAACCTGAGCGAAGGACTTCACTTTACTCCCTTTCTCAAGTCGGAACATCACACGACGCAGGGATCCATCTCGTGCTGCTCCAATATCGGTGGCGAAGTCCAGCAGACGCAATCCTCGAATGTCGTACTGACATGTACACAGTTATCCTTCGCATGCGTCTCCCAAATGCTGATGATAAGACGTGGCACGATAATATATGGTGCGGTATCGTAGAACACAAACATGAGATTTATCGCCACCGTCTGCGCATTCCTGCATTAGAGCAGATATCTCTAGAATCACAGGAGGTCATACCGAAAGGTTGGCCCATAATACCGTCATGATGATTTGAATTGCCAAATTCCTAGTGTGACTTAATGAATGCTTTTAGGGAACACAATGAGTGAAGGAGAGCTTACAGGACAAAGTATACGACATGATATCGGATGATCACGACTACAAAGGTGTTAGGCTTCAATTTAAGTCCCTTCCGGTCTTTCAGGTGCTTCCTGAGGACGACGATGGCGAGAACGACCAGTAAAATATCATAGCATATGATGGGAATGGAAGTGTATATCGCTAGCATAGGCCCGGTGTGGAAGAAAGCCGTGCAGTACTTGATGTTTGGAGTTATTACTATCACTTGCACTACACACCAAGGCATCAATCAGCTTGCACAAAATTCGATCAAAGTGGAAATTCACTTGAAATCGCTGAGGATCGACTCCATAACAATATATCCACCGTTATGTAAAGTGCGACGACAGGGAGGAATAACCCCAGTAGAACATAAAGTACGGGCTTGGATTGGTTGTACAGAGCGTAAAGACGCCAGATGAGAATGACTGTAAATACCAAATTAGTGCGCGCAAAGGTATGCATCAAACCGTGAATTACCTTTCGTCAAGCAAGAATAGAAAGAGATACCCCATTGCATAAACAGAAATATACCTCTACCTATTTCAATTTCACGGTGAGCAAAACTAGATTCAGTTGAATATGACGTACTCACAACTAAACAAGAAATCAATAGTACATCAGGCCTAGCTATAAAACGAAATTCTGACGCACGGCTGAATATGGGTCAACCTAGAGTTCTTTGAGGGAAGACAAACTCACTGCTTCAGGCATATAAAATAGACCTCCCCCTAACGCTGGTCAGTTAATGACGGCTCAGTTGGCACCACTTTACGTACAGCAAGCGCAAATGCTATAAGTCAGTGTCAACATACAATGTACCATCTGAAGGATACAGCCACGTACATTGCAAGCGAAATGCCAAAATATCGAACCTGACATAACAACAAAAATAGGAAACCATGAAGCACTTTGGCAGGGTGGAACTCACAGCGAGGTATAGATAGGTCATCACCGACCACTGTCTTGCCTGCATATCCAGTCAGTTTCGGAACATGATTTCGTTGGGGTCAAGCTCTAACCCAAACATATGTGACCTTGTGATCATATGATTATGAGTAATTGACAAAGATAAAATGAGCTTCTCGGTACCTCTTTTTCGAACTGAAGTACTAGATAGATAGATAACATCACGCTCAACCGCACTGCAAGGTTCACGAAAGTTACTGACTGTACTCGTAGCATATCATGGTAATGATCACAACTGTAAAACAACGAAATTCAGCACAATGATTCATTTCCAACAAGGTTGACCAACCTGATATGCTGTTATTCCAGTTAAGAGCATAGAGAGCCTCTTCTAGTTCCGACATGACACTGTGCAGATCAAATGGTGAATTCAAAGAATGAGAGATGGGGCGATGATCACCAACGTACAATACTTATAGGGCAGCCCAAATCTCGTTAATTTGAAAGGGTCGTGAACTTGTGGTGTCTTAATGAAAATTGTACGACATCTTGTAGCGCCGCACTTTTCCGTTTGATGTCGCGGATCACTGTCCTAAATAATTCGCCACGAACGAAAAGATCCAATGTATGAAAAAGTCAAACGGAAAGGTCGTAAGTATATTGATGGTCCCACGACTGACAACTTGAAGGGTCACCCTGCGTCACCGGAGACTATATAAGCCTATAACTATTTCTTGGGCTGTCCGATCCTCTTGCGTAGGTGGCAAGGGCGGTGCTTATCTACCCCGACATGTGCTGGAAAACATCAAATGAAGTCCCACCATCATCCACATAACTTTGACAAGCAAGTGCATGGACTAAGATCGAACCTCGAAATAAGCGAAGCATTTGAAGGCCCTTAATATGTTGACGTCCGTACGACAAAGTGATCTTTTGGATAGACATGGTTACGATGCTTTCGAAGAAGACAACCGTGTTAGGGAAAGTACCCCATCTGACGTCCATGAGAATGAGTAATTTGACTGTTTCTTAACAGAACTGAGGGCCTGGCCCTCAAGGTGGGAGCGGAGAGCAGGGTCTATGGGAGCGGCAGTGGGAAGGGAGAAGGTAGAGTCACGAGCCATGAGTGTTTTTAGTCCTCTCAAGGTAGGCTAGGGGAATCGGAAATCCTACTCTAGGGAAAGTCAGACAACCGGCTCACTTTGAATGACTGAATACTTTATTTGGTCATATACCCTCACATAAGTTCATGTACTAATAGCACACGATCAAAATGTTCGTTCAAATCTCTAGATAGATGTCAGAAACAAGCATCACGGACATGGACTTGAATAACTTACAGTACATGCGAATGGAACGGCGAATTCACTCGCAGGATAACTAACATGGAATGAGCTAGTGCACACGACCACTAACAGTATTGAAGATACTTACGAGAATGGCGGCATCCAGAAGTGACCCGAGTGACAACTCCGATTGCTTCACGTTAATACTGATTACCAGCATATATACACTGCTACACGATAATATTAGTAACATCATGATGTACAGAGAATAAGAATGGATAATTGTGTACCAGCAGTTAATCACGATTCACGACAGCGAGCTGCAACGATTGCTCCCTGTGTATCTCTGAGACTCTGTAGTCCGGACGGAATCCAAAGATAATAGACTCGAGAAAGATGGCCTCTTCATCACTAAGTTGTAGCACTGCTCAATCACAGGCGTGCGGTACTGAACTGCTCATTCGAGGATCCAACTTCAAGAGTCCAGGCTGCCTAGCATTAGCATCGTCGTAGTGATGTCGCTGTCAAAGGCGGGCTACATCTGTGAAAATATTGTGGTTGAAGACAGGGTTGGGCACAGGGTAGCATTTTGGTTGACGTTGACGCGTTGATGGCTCGTGATGAGATGATTGAGATGGGCCTAATGAATAGAATAGAATATTCGTTGATTACATGATTTCTCAAAAATCTCACCTTTATTTCAGTGGTAAAAATAGCAATAATTAATAAGCAACACTTTGTCACGGTCGGACAACGAGCCCCCAGTGGGATATGCAATCAACAGTCCCCAGACGTGCGTCGACGCTAAATTCTACGGTACCGTCGTCTCTCGTAGGTTATACAGCAGACCTCTACTCGGACTCGCGCAATTACGGATACCAGGGACCAGTGAGAAATGTTCGTTTACACCGTGCAACAACCAACGGTGGAGGGACCATAGCGAAGAGTGATGATGGATTAAGATGCGTTGTTGCAGGGCGAGAATGTGGGCCACCTCTCAATATTTCGTATAGCATGAGATTGACACGTTGAAACGTATCGTTAGCCTTGCGCATATTGCGTCTGTCTGATCCAGAAGATGTCATAAATAATGACCACAAAGCCTCTGTTGGTCGCGGTGGGCATCGTATCGAAGCGTCGCGAAATATATGGGATGGTAGTGGCTTGAAGATTGACAGTGCAAGTACTGATGTTGCCTGGTGCCATGGCAGTAAGCAGCTGCAAATACTACGATGTTCAGCGCTTCATTTCCATTCCCTCCTTTGAAGGTTATAACAACAAGATTCTCACAAGCGCACGGAATGGGGATCTCATCATGTGGGACATTAACAGGATCGGCAATGCCAAGTACGGTGCGTAGAACTGGTCTGATTGTCAAATTCTTCATCTCAAATATCGTTAGAAAGGAAGACGAGGTTTCATATTCGTTCGATTCACAAGTTATCCTGCTCCACTATAGTTCCGTACTATTGTGTTACAGGTTCCGCTGATGGTGATATGCGTGTCTGGGTTTGTACCTGTCGTGTACTGGCCTCTTCGGTGACTCACCCTTGGTGCAGGATCTTCGGGACATGTCGAAGTGCATCATGAAGATCCACCATCCAACCTCTGTTCGCTCTCTTGTCTTCTCACCATGTCTGTCCCATCCCCTTCAAGCTGTTGTAGGTCTTGACAACGGATCAATCTATCGGTGGGATCTTCAAATGGGCCAGAGGGGTCAGCTCGATAGGTTACCTGTCGCACATGCAGGCCCAATTCTCGCATTGGACTGGTGTAGTACTCCGGGTTCCAATAATGTCGGTGATACTACTGGTACCGATAGGAGCTGGATAGTTAGCGGAGGTTTGGATCACACTGTTAAAGCACGTTTTTTTTTGCTTTACTGCGCCATGTTTACTTATGGCCATCAGGTCTGGGACCTTGCGACATCCGGCACGTCTGTTCATATTGCACATCAGCCTACATATACCCTACATCCGTCATTTCCTGTACGCCGAGTACTCTGGCGTCCTGAGTTCCCCTGCGAGATCGCACTTGTGTCCAATGAGGACTTTGGCGGAGGGAGTGGCAGCGAGCTATTAGCCAGTCCTCGACTACAGTCCGCAACTCCAGCGTTCGTTAATGTATCTAGTTCTGTCACTAAAGACAAAGATCCCAAGGGTAACGGTGCAGATGCTGTAGAGATATGGGATGTAAGACGTGGCTGGATTGCTAAATGGACTGTTGAAGTAAGCTCTTTGGAGGGCGGAGTGACCGGTACGTATCCAAATCATGTCAAGTCATATTCAAATAGTCACATGTGTGCCCCACATTTGCAGATGCCATATTCCGTGACTCACATGCGCTTTGGGTTCAGCATGCATCTGGAACATTTGCTCAAGTTGACTTACGTAGGTCTGTACGCCCTATTGATGCCGTTCCGCGCGTGGCACTCTCTTGGAATGTTGGTGTCGATGGAGATACAAACGGAACATTAGCTTTTGTCTCTGACAGGAGAGCTAGGTGGGAAGTGCCCTATGATGATATGTCCGTACCCTCCGCTTTATGTCGCAGTTATTTTCTTATTTGTAATGCAGTCACCCTGACAAACGACAGGCACTTTCTGAAGGAAAGCTCAAACTGAAATGCCTTGGCAACAAGCCTCGTATGCCCGTACTGCAGACTATGGGTATGTATGTACGCGGAGGGCTTCGTAATACGGAATCTGGGGGGCTATTTGAACATTTGGCTAGAAAGTACCTTGTCGAGTCTGACGGGATGAACAGGGCTGCTGTTTGCAAGGTTAACGCTGAGGTCGGTGTTGTTCCCATATAATGAGGTTTTTGTAAGTGAACAAATGTCTGTAGGCGTCTATTCAAGCAGGAAGTGTGCCCGTAGCACAAATATGGCTGTTACTTGGCTCTCTGCTCACCGATCTCATTCCGGAATGCATTAGACCTTCACCTCATTCGGAGAAGAACCATCAGATGGCCGTGCACCTCACGCATTCTACTTCAGCCCCTGCTGCCATTTCTGTGGTTGGCACAAGATCTGGATCACATGCTTCAGGATCTGCCTCGAAACCTGCCTCATATCGTGCTGCCTCGTCAGATTCAGTCTCCAAGATGGTCCAACAGACACGTCCCACTTCCACTTCCCCTGCTCGGTCATCTATTGCCAATCAAATATACCCTCAACCTCAACCCCAAGATAAACGCTCTACATCGAAAAATAGCAGAGAAACCTCCGCGTCGACAGAACGTGAAGGGGAGCGAGATGCCCTGCCCACGATTAAACCACCACCTAATTCACGAAACTTGACGCCTGCGTCGTCTGCATCCTCATCGCCTCGCCACATACCTACTTCCCTTCCGTCAGCGCCAGCACTCCCGCCTTCGGCAATCATGACGCCTGCTACACCTCGTCGCCCATCAGTTCTTATTTCCCCTGCAGCACAGGTACAAGGACATGTGCGACGGCCGTCTGTGTATAACCGTGCGTCCGCAGCCTACAGTGAGAGCCCTAGCACACCTAGTATCAGTGCGAGCGATCGAAGTCTCCGCCATGTAGGTGACGGCGCCCTAGATGACTCGGATTCTTCAGACGGCAGTGAAAACTGCGCAGTAGTGAGCGCCGACGCTCAGGATAGCCATAGTGAAAACGAGAGAGACGTACCACCTGATATCCCTCGACAAAGCATAATGTTGAAGTCAAGGAGTCTTAGTATGGGCCGCACGGGCCCAGCCCAGCCCAGCCCACTCTCCAGACTCGCTGGGCAACGCTCGATGGAGGATGAGGATGATGGTAATAAGGAGCATGAGGACGACGAAGCCAGTCCGTCACCTGGATCGACTGATACCGACGGCGAAGGACATAGTGGCCGTGACTCGGAGTGCAGTACCAAACCACAGAAGGTAAAGGTAAAGGTAGCTTCTGTGGCGAGGACACGCTACAGAAAGAATTCGACTGCCAAGCGACTGAAGGGTCGCACTCGGGGTGACACTGTCGCTGCTCTTGCTGCACGACTACCATCTCCTACGCAGCCAGCGTCCGACAGTTCTCATTTGGTAAAGCAGGGAAGTCAGAGCAGCATTCGTACGGTTACAGTTGGATCTGTCCGCGAACAGGAGCAAAATACTGGGCTCATACATCATCATGAGGATGCCTCGCAGGTAGACATGGAGTCGGACGATTGTCAAGCCTTGCATGATATGACTGAATCTCGACGTCGCGCTGTGATGCAAGAAGAAGCTCAGCTTCGCGAGGCAGCATGGCACGCACTTAGGGAGGCGGTTGAAGAATTTGCAGAAACAGTAAGGGATAATTTGAAGTGATCTCACATGATATTTGATACAACACAAATTAGGGTGATGTTCAGATGTGCGCTATGCTGGCGCTCATTGCAGCGAAAGAACTAGGTATCAGTCGAGGGAGAGGCTTGCAATTTTTAGAGGCATATATTGGTAAGCTTTAGTGTTGGCCTGTCATGAACGCTTCAACTAACATCCTTAAGAACTGCTCACTCGCCTCCGACTGCACACATGTGCCGCATACTTGCGTAAATGTAGCAATTTCGAGGATATTTCAAATACCACTAAGGTAGATCCTGTTCAGCTGATGGGCGGGATGGTGTTGAAGATAAGTTTTAGCTCGAAACCATCATTTACACTGCCTGTGGACGTTGTCGAAAACCTATTCTTCTTTCACGCGCTCGAACAGTGACTGGAGCTCACGCATTATGTACGACATGCAAAAGTGCAGTTGTGAAGTGTTCGATATGGTCAGTCAAAGCACTCTATGTCACTCTCCACGCTTATCAAATCATCAGTCATCTTCCCGTCCGCACACTGCTTTTCCAATGTTCTGTTTGCACGCATGGTGGTCACCAGGAGTGCTATAGGCGATATCACATGGGGCGTCCGATAGTCGATATCCCACCCTCTTTATCGGCGCGAGGGCGTTCGCTTCTCAGAGAACGAGATAATGATGGGGAGGAGGGAGAGGAGGTTACCTACTCTGAGGGCCGGGGGGAGAGGACATTGGCAGGCCATTTGTGTGCAGCCGGATGCGGGCATTACTGTTGGGCAACTGTGGGCGGGCACCTAGGTGCAGAGGAAGCTTCATAACCAGTCGCTCTAGAAATTGGTTTGTTATATCTTAGTCTGTTGCAACCACAATCTAAAATTTTCCAAGTGGCAAATGCTGAACGCAGCGAACTGTGTGCGCTGTTCTGTGAATTAGCATTACCCAAAGACTTGCTCTAGATCCACTCACGTGAGCCGGCCCTCATGCTGCAGGATTATCCATTCAGGCGATGAGCTATCCTCTTGCATCGGCTGATGATCGGCACTTGCTATCAATTTCCCATCTCGTAATACCGCCAACGGATCCAGCGCAGTGTCTTGTCTTTCAATGCAATTATCATACGCCGCATCTGATAAAGCTGCTACCGCGTTTATGTTGTCTGCGTGGTCTTCAAACACTCTAACGGCTGTGATGCTTGGAATAAGCTGCTTCATTTTACATGGGTTTTATGCGCTGACTCGAAATTGCAGAGGTGCAGCACAGTTGTCGGGAAAAGGTTCCCATCCTTACGATACTATGTCAGGCACTCGGGATACGGATAATCTTCTAACAAGCATTGACTAAGGCATTTGTAAGTCGGGGGCTAACTGAACTTAGTAGACCAGCATTATAATTTAATATGTCCTTCCTCCGATGGCTACTAGTATGACTGCGCGGAAACATTTCAGGGCAGAGTCAACGCCGTGATTTCTTCTGACGGTCATCACGTTTCCCTGACAGAAGCTGCACGGGCCTGCAACTTAAACTTTGTTATTATCAACGCATCAGTAAAGCGGCATCGGCCTAGTACGCCCTGTGACTTATTTCTTGGTATGTAATACGATTCCTTTCTCGTCAACTATGCTTAAAGGGTAGGGTGGCCTCATACATGTGTGAGTGCACCAGGGCTGAGTGTTGTATCGTTAAATCATACCTGATCAAGGTGTCCTGCAAGACACGGCCCATTGCATTTATCCATTCGTTGTATTCAGGCTGTACAGACAATCCATGTGATCATCTTACACGATCACCCATGCATCACGGAGTTTAACGTGTTCTAGTCCAAAATATGCACTGCTCTGCTCGAGGCGTACAACGTGTATTTGTTTATGCTTGCATTTGTTGAACAACTGACCTCGGTCCATTCTGAGTGTTTCCCTCCATTCGGAGCGGTTTCCTTGAAGGTAACCTCGTGGTTCTTTGCGGACACAGCATGTCAGTATAAAGTATGACCGTGACATTACACATTTCAGGATCCCTGCGGTTTCCATCCTCTCGCTTTAGAGGGCTGTGTCTTGTTCTTGGCTGCAGGTGAGTACCTATCAAATGATTCGGAAGGATCTAAAGGGTACGTTTCTTCTTCTCTCGGACGGCTCTTACCAGACTTCTGTCATTCTGCCCTACTAGTAGCGTCAACAACGTTCGACAAGTCAGGAACGTGTGCAGCTCTCAATTGGGTTTCTAATACTAGCCTTGTTGGAGCAACAACGTAGCAACGTAGCTCCATAGCCTAGATCGTGCTGCTACGTGGCAGCAGACATTTGAACTGCGAAACACCAGTCCAGAGCACTCCGGTCTTTTCTGTAGATCGGAGCATATCGGCCAATGATATAGACGACGATCTTCTCATCAATTACCTGGTGTTGCACCTGGTGCTAAGTTATCATGTCAACATTTTGATCTAAGCAGATATGGCAGTGTAGATCAATCACATTCCTCTCGGTTCCTTGTTGTAGGGTCAGTGACTATTGAAAATAAGCAGCATCACTTTGAAAATTTCCAACTTACGTGACATTACAGTACTGATTCAGTAATTTTTCGGTGGTGTCGGTCCTTAGACGGGCAATAGCAGCAGCAGCTGTTGCTGCTGCACATGAACGTTTGAACCGTGACCTATAGGCAGGCAGTGCTTGGCCGGAGCTGCTGAAATGTTACTCACCGTGGCGTTTCCACTTGGAGTTTGGTTGATCCCAGGCCCGGGCTAGCGCCACACTTCATAAAAGCCCGGCCGAAGAACGCATGCATGGCCCATCATTGATCCCTTAGTACTATCCGTACAGCACAATGTCTGGTCAAGCAGGAGGCAACGAAACTCGCCAAAGAACTGCCCTCGAGGAGTTTGAGCAATCTGACAAGGGCAGGCCTCCTTTCATTCTAACATATGCCGAGGTCAAACTCCTGGGTATCGCTGGGGTGAGTGCTATCAGTCCCGTGTCTGTCTGAGTCTACATAAACGTATCTGTCGTCTAGGTTGGCTTTTTCTTGGACGGTAGGCATATGGCCCTGCTCGAATGCAAAACCTCATATTTTTATGGATAGCTTATGACTTGTTCATCATCAATGTGAGTGCGTTATTTCATATGGCGGCGTGTGAGACTAAATCCATCTGTGCAGCCCGTATCTAGTATGTTGCAGGATAGGCTTTACCCACAGGGAAACATGCCTGCCAACCTGCAAGGATTACTGAAAGCTTCCGCCAATATCGGAAGTGTGATCGGTCAGTTTTTGTTCGGTGAGCTGCGTAATACATCATGAGCTACCCCGCTTCATACTAAATTCGTGATGATTAAGGATACTGTGCTGATGCTTTAGGGAGAAAGGCAGTTTGTCAGTTCTTTACATCTTATCGCTAGCACCCACATTCATATGCGTTGACAGACGGAAAAGAGCTTATGCTCATCATCCTTGCGACTATCCTCTGCATTTCTACACCTACAGGTGTGTTTTTCAATTCTTCATTCGTATTCCCGAGCGCTCAGCTATTGCCAAGGCACGCTCTCCCCCAACGGATCCCTAATTTACTTGACTATGTTCCGTATCTTACTTGGTGTCGGTGTCGGTGGCGATTACCCTATGTCGGCCTCTGTGACAAGTGACCGTGCCGCAATTCGTAAACGTGGAACCATGCTCGCATATATCTTCGCGAATCAAGGATGGGGAAGCTTCATGGGGGCACTGATGACCATCATCGTTCTGGCATGCTACAAGCATGTCATGAATGATGAAGGTGAGACATCCAAGGTCGACGGAGGTGCGCGTCGTGTACTAGTTGCATGATGTTGCTGATCGACAATTTACCTCAGTGTGGAGGATCATTGTTGGAGTGTCGCTCATTCCGGCTTTCGGGACGCTCTACCAGCGTTTGACCCTCCCGGAGTCCACGCGTTACCAGAAGGCGCATGAAGCAGAACTGACTGAACAGAGTGATTTAGAGACGAAGAAGATGGGGGTTGAAGCTGGTGTTCATACTCCTGAACCTGAGTCGAGCACCGATAATGAACCTTCTGTGTCTGCACCAAATAAGGGTCATTTCCTAGGTATGTTTCATCACGGTGTCGAATGCCTTCCTTGGTCTCACGAATATTTTAGAGGTCATCAAGTACTTCTCCGAATGGAGACACCTGAAGATACTCATCGGAACTTGTTCATGCTGGTTTCTACTAGACATTGCGTATGTTGGGTGCTGACTATCGAATAAGTTTCCTTCTGACGTGGTGGTGCTAGCTTCTATGGGATCAACTTGAACACAAATGTAGTACTGACTGCAATAGGTTATGGCGGATCAACAGGCACGCCCTGGGAGAGGCTATTCAATGTCGCCACGGGAAACATCATCATCACCGCACTAGGATTCGTGCCAGGTACCCGTATAGTTCCATCTCTCTTGACATAATCCCTCACGGCCACAAAGGCTATTATGTGACTGTGCTCACCATCGAAAAATTGGGCCGCAAAAACATTCAGCTCATGGGATTTCTGATGGAGGCTCTGTTCTGTGGGTCGTTAGAAATGCTCTAAAGGAATATCTGCTGACGGCGTGCTGCAGTGGGCATTTTGGCTGGGAAATTCCATACCCTGAGTAATGCAGCATTCATAGTAAATTTCACGTTGCTCCAGGTGCGTCACAGGGTTTGATAGAAAATCTCTACTTACTCAAATTTTATTCAGTTCTTTTTCAACTTCGGAGCCAATGCGTGAGTTCTTCGCCTGACTAGAACATGCCTCGTTCTGACTTGACCGTTGCATAGCACTACCTACGTGCGTTGTCATGCATGTTTGCACACTACATACAGCTAATGGAACTCACAGTGTTATCCCGCTGAGGTGTTCCCCACTCGATACCGAGCGTTTGCACACGGCATGTCTGCGGCATGCGGGAAAACAGGAGCAATCATATCTGCTCTCGTATTCAACACCCTCACGAACAAGATTGGCATACCTTCAGTGCTTTGGAGTATGTCCTTGATTAACTAATGCGTGCCAGCAAGTCAATTTTTCCCCCTATAGTCTTCGTCGGCTGTTCGATTCTTGGTGCCGGTATTGAAAACCATTATGTTATTTTGCCACAGCATTGACTGACAAGTTCTTTCACAGCTTTCACTTTCCTTTTACCCGAGGTCGCTGGTCGTGATCCAGATGCGATCCTCGAACAGGAGCAGAGGGAGCGCAGTAGTCTCTGATATTGCCAATATCAAGTAATTCGCATTTGTTTTCTTGATTTTTGCTTTTAGGATGTCACTCACGCTATGCAAGCTACATTCAAGGCTGCTTCTCTTCTTATCTGTCGTCTACCAGCAGGAGGATTCATCTGCAAAAAAGTCACTCGAAGGATGACAGCTGGTATCTAATCCAATTAGTAGCCATAGTTCCGGGGGACACAGGTGTTCCCCTTTTCCTGGATAGATATGTTACTCCAACTGCACAAAAACTAGATTTTAAAAAGCTATAGTTCCATAGAGCAACAGCTTGCTAGTACTTTACGAAATATCAGGTCCGGATCCGGTTTTCCCAAATATCTGAAATATGCTGCATATCTCCAATGAATCAGGTTGTCGTCAGCTTTTGATCTTTGATTTTCGAAAAGCACCAAACGTACGAGGTCGAACGGACACGCCCGGGACAGTCCCAGACGCTGACTAAGCCATTTCCACTCAATTTTGTCAACAGCGGTAAACACATATCGTTCCGAACTCGAAGTCTTGGCTTGGTTCAGACTCGTCACCGCCGACGACAGCGACGGGCTCAAATAATATGCTCAAAGCCTCAAAATCGGTCGCTGGAATCCAGCGGAAAGCAAATATTTCAATCAGGCGTAGTCTTGCAACTGTTGCTGACACGCCTGTTCGCCGATACGGCGGTCTCAAAGACCAGGACCGCATTTTCACAAATGCATATTGTAGACATGACCATGGTATCAAGGGCGCCTTGGTGAGTCCAATGTCCTCATGCAATTATTTCGTGTTCATTCGTCTTTGCTGTTTCTGATAGTCTCGTGGTGACTGGCATCGCACGAAAGACATTCTTTTGAAGGGCGACTCTTGGATCATTCAAACAATCAAGGATTCGGGGCTCAGAGGTCGGGGTGGTGCCGGATTCCCAAGTGGTCTCAAATGGTCATTCATGAACAAGCCAGACTGGCAAAAGGACAAACGGTATCTATGTTCTTGATGTGTAACGTTTCGCCCGGTTCGGTACTCACTTGTCATTTTTGCGCAGGCCCCGCTACTTAGTTGTCAACGCCGATGAAGGAGAACCGGGAACTTGTAAGGACCGCGAGATTCTTCGTGGTGACCCACATAAACTGGTGGAAGGCTGTCTGGTTGCCGGCCGCGCCATGAACGCAACCGCAGCTTACATATACATTCGTGGAGAATTTTTCCAGGAGGCCTCTCACCTTCAGCAAGCTATCACTGAGGCGTACAAAGGTGGATTTATCGGCAAGGATGCATGCGGTTCCGGTTATTCATTTGACGTATACCTCCATCGCGGAGCTGGTGCATACATTTGCGGCGAGGAAACTGCGTTGATCGAAAGTCTCGAGGGAAAGCAAGGCAAGCCCCGACTAAAGCCACCTTTCCCTGCAGATGTTGGCTTGTTCGGATGCCCCACCACTGTCGCTAATGTCGAGACGGTGGCGGTGGCGCCTACTATCTGCCGTCGTGGTGGGTCTTGGTTCGCCAGCTTCGGCCGTGAGCGCAATCAGGGCACAAAACTCTTCTGCATCAGTGGTCACGTTAACAACCCTTGTGTTGTCGAAGAGGAGATGAGCATACCGCTGAAAGACCTTATCGAGCGGCATTGTGGAGGTGTCAGAGGTGGCTGGGATAACTTACTTGGTATCATTCCTGGTGGAAGCTCCGTCCCAGTCCTGCCTATCGACAAGTGCTCGGAAGTTCTGATGGACTATGATTCTTTGAAGGACGCACAATCGGGTCTCGGGACGGGTGCCGTCATCGTAATGGACAAAAGTACGGACATTGTATCTGCCATTGCACGGTTCTCTTCAGTACGGGCTTCATCTTTTGTCTATGCCTCTACTATGCTTAACTTTTCACCAGTTCTACAAACATGAGTCTTGTGGGCAGTGTACGCCCTGCCGGGAGGGCACAACGTGGATGATGAACATGATGAATCGTATGGTGGAAGGCCGCGCTCATAGACGTGAAATCGATATGCTCCTTGAGCTCACGTAAGTTATCGCTATACAGCTTTTCTCAACTCACTGTTCTTTGCAGTAAACAAGTAGAGGGCCGGACCATCTGTGCTCTCGGTGATGCTGCTGCCTGGCCCATTCAGGGTCTCATGCGCCATTTCCGCCCAGAAGTGGAAGCCCGTATCGATGCTTTCCGTGCTTCTCATGGTGGTGTGATGTTTGGTGGCCGTATGATACACGACGCAGATCCAAGCCTTGCAATACCCGATAACCTAGGTGCTAACTTAGTTGAGCCCGGTGATAGAGTATGATCTGCGCTTGTTCCTTAGTCCACTATGCCCGTCCAATGTGCGAAATGACACTTAACAGCCAACAGGGATGGGCCACAAGCAACCACGATGTCTTGACTTGTTGACATGTGAATAACGTGTTTACTGAGTTGCTAAAAGTACGTAATTAAGCACTCATGTTTATGACAGTAATCGGTTCTGTCAGATTCCGTTAAGATGATGTTCTCCCTTTGCGGCATTGACAGATTGACAATCAGCCTCCAGGGAACCAACCAGATTATTGAATTAAGACAGCAACGCCCAGCAGTCGTGACGGTTGGCAATGAGCACCTTTTTAAGGCCATGTTCATGCATGCAAGTCTTGCATTTTTGCCAGCGACTCGGTGGCTACTGTGTCGATGCTGATGCGCATTGGTGTTTCCTTTGTGTACCGCTACCTGGGGGCAGATCTAGACTAGCCAGCATCAACCGGAGCTGCAGAAATTTCTTTCCTTGATCTAGACCAACTCAAGGCACCGGAACATTGCGCAGACCTTGATCTGTACAACGACGTGCAAGGTACCACTGATGTGCATCCTGCCTGTCAAAGGGGCTAGGCATCATCAAACGATAAATGACTTTTGCAGTGATGTCGGTACAGATTTACTTTTACGGATTCGAGAATCTCATACCCAGGTGCTGCGTCGATGTGTGACGATGCAAATATTTTTCTCCTTATATCATAGATCATGAGGACCAAAACTTGATTTCAAACGTCTGATAAGGCGTGTTTCTGAGGTAGATACAATTTGCAAACAGGTCAGAATTGTTTCGGTTATGCGTAGCAACTTTTTTAATCACAGGAATGTACAAGACGACCGGATCCCCTAAAATTCCACTACCTGAAGAGAAAACAAAGCTTGATAATACCCAGCCCTAACAAAACAAAGTATGGGGTATGCACGAAGTAGATGGGGGGTATGGCGTACGCCGGGACAGCAGTGCAGGGTTGAAAAAGCAAGGATAGCAAAACGATGGTGATGCGTATTTGTGAAACGATGCTCGTAACGATGGATAGGAACGATGAACACAAGAGGAGGATATGCAAGTAACGAGGAATCTGGGACGTGCAAACATCATGGTGTTTTGCAATCATTTTTGTGGCACCGATTTTGACGGCGCCGATATGGGCTGATCGTAACCATGCCCATGGCGATAGCCACAGAAGATCATGACCCAGATTTGCAGTGACCGCTGAAACTCGTACCCCTGGAGAGATTTGGGACGACCGCGAGCGGTCTGACAAGCGTGGAGGTTGCTGGGGGTGCATAGGAGGTATTGAACCTCCGCAATTGTGGCGGCGGCGGCGGCGGCGCGGACGCTCTCCATTTCTCTTCCCATGCGCGAAGACCAGCAACAAAACCAGGGTTGGGATTAATGCAGGGTCTGCGACGTTTGACTAGAGCGTATGCCTGATCGTATGACATTCCGAGGTCATGGATGAGATAAGCGATGACTATGGCTGGAGAGCGTGAGACGCCCTGTTGGGTACGAGACCGTAGTGCATCAGGCTTGATGTTGGATAAAAATTCGAGCAAAGGGGCATACCTGCTGGCAATGCACTAGAACGTTCCCACCACTCTGCAGCGCGTTAGCGATGTACTGACATGCACCTTCGAGATGCGGACGAAGGTCAGCGGATGGTTTATCAAGAATGTCTATGCGGAGGCACCGAAAGCCGTCCTTTTCTGATATGGGAAGCCAGGGGACATCGAGCACTTGTACGATGTGAGTGATATGATGTTTTGCGAGCAACTCGCGATCCATCGTTGCGGACATGGAACCGAGATATAAGAACCCGGGCTGGGAACTGGAGACGTGAGCCACGGATTGAATCATTGACTGGGATTGAATTTGAAAAGGCAGGATCTGGTGCATGGGCGTGCAAATTGCCTCCATGACGTCTGGGGACATGCCCTCGAAGCGAATCATGATTTGATGATAGGACGGTGAGGGTGGAGATCAGACAGGAAAAGTGATGATCACAGACACTGTTCTGATGAAGATATATAGTACTTTGGCGGGATGTACAGACAAAATATGGTCAGTGGAGCGATGTTAGGAGGATGGTGGAGCTGCATTAATACTTGGATGACGGTACAGATAATCGATGCTGTTTCCTGTTTTGGAGTCCGAATTGTCTTTTTGTAATTCTTGCCTCCAGACCACACAGAACCGGGTGATTGATCCTCGTGATCACATCAACTGGTTCTCCTCAAAAAGGTACTCATGCCATCACTCGAGGCCACCTCGAAACTTTAATGGGGTTCAAACTTAGAGACAAAAACCGTCTATCAGCGTCTAGACACAAGCACTCCGATGTCCAGGATCATTCGGAGGCGACGTGCCGCGGAGCAGGCCACAGGAACCTCATCTCTCCGCGAAAGGTATAAAGTAGAGTAAAGCTGATCCCTCGAGGCTGCCGTTTATGTACCGGCTTCTCGGTATATCTCTGCACTTATATTATGTTATGTAATGCACTCGGAACCTGAAGTGCGATAGCATCAAAGCTCCGACATCATGAGGCAGTTGATGTTTCAAATATCAACACTAGAGTCTCGGAGTACTTGAAACAGATCCGATAAGCACCCCGACCTGCTTGTGGTCCATCCGGTTGTCGGAGCCAGGTCTGCAAGTACTTGTTAGACTGCCGGAGTAGACTTGCATAAAACTCCACCTTGAATGCTTCCCGGAAGCATAGAACGCGTCGGCGGCGTATAGGCGCTTGAGATTTCTTGATTATTTCAATTTCTGATATCTGAGGCATTCGACTTGATCCGGCGGGTGCGTATCTCACGTGTCCGGCAGGAGCTTGGGCTTATCCAGTATACGAACGGTCCACTTCAGCCGAACTGCTATCGGTTCCGATTCTCGCGATGAAGCTAAACCTAGGGCCTGCACTCACACGGCTTGTATAACCCCCCACAGGCTGTTTGATTAGTCACGCAAGATATGGAAACGGTGCAATAAATTCGGTCAGGCAACTAACCTCGTCAGTAGTCGTTCCCTCGATGTCATGGCCACCCCCGACAATCGCAAGAAGCTCGCTCTGCATAGGCAATGTCTGGAAATAAGAAATGAACACGAAGAATACGTACTATTCTATAATGTGCCTCTGCATGCGAATGTACGGACATGACAAAATTAAATTTCATGTCGAAGAAGGCGGACCTCGTACAATTTGCACTTCGCATGCACGGATATGCTGTCCAGTTCTGTCATATCATCAATCCCAGTAGGCGTCTCGCAATACTGGGTCTCCTTGGCGTCGTCTAGAGAGCAAAGACCTCATCAAGGGGAAGCCCGACGTGTGATTCACAATACCTTCAGAATTCAACTCGGCACTTTTGCACTCCTGGAACATCGGAGACAAGGACCGTTGTAGCATGCGACTCAAACTCGAAGCGGAATATGAGGCAGAAGCGTGGATATAGAACCTACTACCAAAGGTCCATGCAATCCTACTTGAATTCATTCAAAACTGAAAAGCAAAGGAAACATCAATGCAGAGTCAAATACTGACAAGGCCGCACACGTGTCCGGTCACGCAAAAATAGAGCGAGAGGGAAAGGACAGATCATGAAGATTGCTAATAACAACTAGTCGTGAAGGGTATGGACTCTTGACAGGGGCAAGGGTGTAGTCAGAGAAGCGGCGTGGTGCGGCGAGGTGGAAAGTAAGACACAATAGTCTACACAACCACGCAGTGGTGTTTCTTGCTATTCTTGGGCCGGCTAAGAAGTGCAGCCCTTGTAGCATATTGGAAGACTTCGCGAACGCCCTCGCCTGTTCTGGCCGAGCACTCGAGATAATGCCTCGCGCCAATCTTGTTCGCTACGGCCATACCCTGAAAAAGTGAACACATCATCCAAAGAAATTGGCGAGCAAGAAAACAAAAACGTACCTCCTCAGGAGTTACCGGTCTCTGGCTCGTCTTCTTGAGCTCGTCAATCACTCGTCGGTCACGTCTGAGGTCGTTCTTGCAGCCAACAAGAATGATGGGAAGACCGGCGCAGAAGTGCATCACCTCAGAAATCCACTGGTTTCGGGAGATGCCGTCAGGACCGAATGAGGCATTGCTCATTGGCCAAACGTACCTTTTCTTGAACATTGTCCAGAGAGTCTGGTGAGTCAACAGCAAAGCAGATAAGAATGACATGGGTGTCTGGGTAACTGAGAGGTCTGAGACGGTCATAGTCTTCTTGCCCTGCCGTATCCCATAGCGCAAGTTCGACGTGCTTTCCATCAACCTCCACATCTGCCACATAGTTCTCGAAGACGGTCGGAACATAGACCTATGTGCACACGAATCAAGCGAATAATTAGCCAGACAAGCGGCTGACGATACTGATGGAAAATACCTCAGGGAACGTTCCTTTAGAGAAAACTATCAACAAACACGTCTGTTAATGATATGAGCTCCTTCCTTGTTTTGTCCCGCGTGCAAGTTAAGGGGCGTACCTTTCCACAAGCACCATCACCGACGATAACAAGCTTCCTCCTGATTTCAGCCATTATTCGAACGTAGAAAGTAGGATTGCGTGGATGTACGGGCGCTCCTGGATGATGGTGTTCAGCGAGACAAGAGTCGCACGATGATACAAGTCGGTCTTTTAATCGCTCTTTCAATGGCCACACAATGGGCTGTGCCACAGGTGTAGGCCTGTGCGTGAGACCTAACTTCCTTTCAAAGCAGCCCTTTCTCGTCGTAAGCCACAGCATTACTGCCACTAGTACTTAAAGTATCTATCATATCATAGCGACCCGCAGTCTAGAGCCGAGCCTCGGCTGTGGGTGCTGAACAATTTTGGCACCACATGTCATAAATCGACCCTATGACACCAACGAACAGCACCCGCAACTCACGTATTCGCCTTCGGGTCCATAACTTCCCATCTTGCATATCTGTATTTCATCAACGCTCCAAGTACCAAACTCCACTTTCACGGGGTCCCGAAAATTATGCGAATCTAGCGGAGTACGAACAAACTCGCGAATAAACGGCGACGTCATAATTGCATTATAGGAGAACGGCTGCCGTGGTTTGCGATACGTAGTGTTGAGAATCGTGCAATGCAGCTGATTCCGGGCCACTAAGGTGAATTTATCTGGGAATATGAGTTACGAACCTTGAGAGGACGACGATCTTGAATAAACCCGGCGTCGCAAAATGCCTTGTTCACAAATTCTGGAAGAGTGTTGATACGCGAATATAATCAACATGGACGAGAATCGACGCACCGCTGACAGATTTGAGGCGCTGCGCGTCTGATGTGTCCATTGAAGGGCCTAACCAAAGAACATGCGCGTTGTCTGCATTCCCGCGATCGGGTTTCATGATGTTCATCTCCGTAAGAGGGATGCAGAGACCATGTCCATCTAATAATTCCATGATGCGAGTTCTCAATGTGGATAGCAATGCCAGTGCATCTTCCAAAGTTCTTCCCGAGGAAACCAGTGGATTTTCAAGAGTCATCACTCCTAGTGTCAAATGCAGACGACGAGGTGCGATAACAATACCGCGATCGACGCCAGGGAACGCAGGCTCACGGTTAAGCAAGCCATCCGTGAACGACTTTACCGATTGCTGCAATTGCACGTGGTGTCCCTAGTTCTACATTGATGTGGATTTCTTATTATCGAAAGATCGGTACTTACGATGGGCAGGGATATGACTTGGAGGTTACACACTGAGCATGTATACTGCATTTAAAAAGTGGAAGCCCACGGACAATGCGTAGGCCGCACTTGAGGATTACGGCTTGTTCCAGAGGAAAACTGTCCACGACGAGAGGTCGAAGCGCTTGCCCTGGTAGCGGTGTATTTCGTAGCCATGCAGGATAACCTAGGCGAAGAAACTGATCAACTAGTAAGGAGTCAAGACTCGACGGGAAATGCCGAATCGTCTCCTAAATTCTGTTGAGCGGTTGTTCGGTCTGTTCGTCCCGTTCCTCCGACAAACCATCATTGATCTGATCCCTGCTCACAAGTAAATTCTGTGATTTTTGAGAAATTCCAAGGTTTCCAGATGTCCAAATTAGGGTCAGTGGGACGTTGAACGGCCGGTCATTTCTAATTTTCCAATTCACCACTTGCAAGGACAAGAAGTCAATTATCAATTTGTCAGGCTGGTGAGCGACTTTATCGCGCCGTTTCTATAGACCCAAACTAAAACAAGAGCGTAGCTTCAGGGTTAGTAGGGCGGCCTACTTGACGCGACGAGCTCTTGATCAACGGTGCTACTACTAGGGAAGTAACTACAGCGATAAGAGCTGTTTGACTGAACGCAGTATTTTTACGCGCGTTCTCCGAGTCGGTCATGATTATCATGCGTGTATGTCACAAACAGATCTGATCATAGCCCAGCCCCTGCTCTCAACGTGTTGAAGATCTATTTCCGAATTGTTCCTGTGGTACCGCCATGAGTCAGTCGTTCTTTGTATCGATGTTTAGTAATGAGGAGAGCAGGATATGGTTCCCATCGAAGGTGAGCGCACCTTACAATCTCCGACTGCTCTATTTCAAAAAAAAAAAAAAACGGACACTTTGACAACGTTGCAATGTCCTTATCGACTTTGCGGATTGGTGGGAGCCGTTTGTATAAGAGTTGTATCTTCATCTGATATAGTGGTGCGTGCATGCCGCTTCCTAAACCAATAGCTGGTAAGTTACCAACCTTGACTTTGGTTCGAGGCGGTGGAGCAGTTCTCGCAAATTACCAGAAATCGACAATTTTGGCATGCTGTTTCGCGGTAAACGCGTTGCTAGGTATCCATGGATTTACAGCACCAAGCCAGCGGTAAGAGGTTGCAGTGCGGTACTCAATCAAGGCCGACCTGTCCTCCGCAATCAATCAATAGGTAGAGCACGGTCATTTGCAGCAATTTAGCCCACCGTGTGCAAAGTTTAATCATCAACGCATCATGATTGGACCCTATGTATCTGTCTGCCACTGATTTCTCGACAAATGCTGTTCAGGTACGACTTGAAGTCTAGATCCGTCCCAACTTTATGTCGAAATAGAACATATCGCGATAAGGGTGACTGGATGCGGAGCACAGCGTGCAGTCTTAATATTGCGTTGCGCGTTGCGCAGCGGCTGTACTTGCTGGCGGTATAAAAAATCTATCCAAGGATCCATTTAAACGAACCAAAGGTTGGAGATGATCGCGGGGTGAGGGAGCCGCTGACAGGCTGACAGCGGTTAGTATCAACTCTGTTTTGATCATCAACTTCTGCACGGCTTTTTCCTGCTCTAGAGCACCATTGCCTTACTTCAAGCTTCAGCTCGAGCTCGATCGATCGATCGACCGGTTTACTAGCAAGTTCCTCGTCGTGAGTCGTCCACAGGTTGCTCCTTACGGGGAGCACGCAAAGCTCGTGGATTTGCGCCAAGTTTAATCCTCTTGACGACATAATAATAATAAGCAGAGGTAAAAGCTGTGTGTGGACGCTGAAGTGTGCGAATAAAGTACCTAAAGTAGATCATGCAGGGTCGCTGCAAAGCGCAACGCTGTCGGGCCCGAAATGCGTCGGGGGGATGGTGAGCGCGCCTTTTAACACGTCTCGACACAATCTCAATAGCAGGAAGTCTGGTTGACTTTTTTTTACGCGTTGGTATGTTCAAAATCGAGTACCAACTTTTGGGCGTCTTTTTCTGACATTGTTACCTATTGACGGATCTTTTATGTACAGTATCCTGAAATCTGCAGTCACTGGCATCGCCTCATTCTTTACCTTGTCCTGTTATCCCCGCTAGTTCTTCCCCATCTCATTCATTCCCTTTCGTGTTGTGTTAAACCTACGTCTCAGCTAAGGACGACTATCAAGCGCACTTATCGGTACCACCAAGCTTGCATGTCCTCATCGGCTTTCATCTAGACATTCAAAATCTCATCCGGGCCTTCCTTTATCCCTCCCTCTCTGCAAATCCACTATATTTCGCGGCTCAGGCTCACCGTCACCCCTGAGCTTTCAGGCCGCTACTTCTATCCTCTTTGTGAACGATGTCCCTACTCAAAGGCGCCCGTGTATCTTCCAGGGCGGAAGGCAAGCAACGTGCTCGAGACGAGGGCACAGGTGGTGCTAATGGCATGGTGTTAAGCCTAGAGATGGTGATCACTAGCTACGATTCAGTGTGAGTATTTGAATTACGAACTTCGGATTATTCTATTCGCCCCGGAGGTCCTCTTTCAAGGGGTTAAATTTTTTACCTTCTGATTTCGTTTTTCACTATACTCATCGCTTGAATATAGTGCCTATACATTGCCCGTGTTAGTAGGCTCAGCACAGCAAAACCTTTCCCTTCAGGTTGATACAGGATCATCAGACCTTGTGAGTCATGCCTCCTTGGCAACACAGCCTTTCTGATCCCTAAAAATACAGTGGATCGCATCAAAGTCGTGTTCAACTGCCTCGTGCTCATCCACAGATGGTCGCCTATACGATCCAACCTCCTCGACGCCAACTGGCGCTAGTTTTACCATCAGTTACCTCTCTGGATCCGTCAGCGGGCCCATAGTATGGGATACAGTCCAGCTTGGAACATACAGCGTGCAGAATCAAGCGCTGGGTTTGTTTTCTGTAATTCCTTAATTGCATTATGCTTATCCATATTCATAGCCGCTGCTAACATGGTATCTAATGAGCCTCTTAGCTCAGATTTTGACGGCATCCTTGGTCTCGCTCTTCCTCTCAATTCGATCATCGAGCAAACAATTCCCCCGACTACGAACAATAACCCAGATGGCGCGTCGTTCTCCTCAAATCTGTTCTCCATGACCCCCGCCTCCACAGCACCCTCGCGGCCGTTTTTCTCCCTCACTTTTGCCCGTCCTGGTTCGAATGCACTTCCATCACTTCTTGGAATTGGTATGCATCCTTCGTCTGTGGTTCCAGATCCTTCAAAAATCCAGTATTCGACGCTTGTGAGCCAGGGCGTTGGCATATTATTCTGGAAAACCAATGTTCGAGCCATTACGGTCTACGTCAATGGTCAGGCACGTCCTGTAGTACTAACCGGGTCTGTCACTGGTGCTGCCTTTCCCACTGCACTGCTCGACTCGGGAGTGCCATTTATCATCACGACATCGTCTATCGCAAACGGAATATATGGCGCACTCGGCATAAGCCCAGCCTCGGATGGTAATTGTGCGTATTTATTCGCCTTAGCTCGTAATTCCTAAGCTGACTGTCTGTTAGACTATGTCCCTTGTACAACACCACTCAACATGACTATCACTCTCGACAGCCAACCCGAGCTACCCATCCACCCACTCGACCTCACCAGCGAGCCATCTGGGCAGGACAACTCACAGTACTGCATTGGTCTTATACAAGCTGACGACTCACAACTTACCCCCACTTCCGATGTCGGGGACATGGTCCTCGGCGTTCCTTTCATGCGCAACGTCTACACCGTGCTTGCGTACGAACCCTCACCATTTAACATGTCTGTTTATACTGGAATCCGCCCAACACTCGGACTCATGGGACTCACGAATATAACTCAAGCGCTCGATGAGTTCAACAACGTGCGTGTCCTCAATCAGCCGCTTGACGGCGCACAGCCACAACAGGTCGTCGTTTCGAACGATACAAAGATGTCAGTGGGCCTCGAAGTTCTTATTGGTCTAATCGGCTTCTTTGCACTATGCGTCGCACTTTTCGGCCTGAAATGGTTCATGACACGGCGGCAGTGGAAGAGACAAGGGATGGTTGACACGGATGTAGGGAAGAAAGGCGAAGGCGAGTATGGGGCATACCGGCTCACGAGGCGGAATTCGCAGTCAAGCGATGATGCCGCTGTTAGTACTCTCAGGACGCTTGCGTATACTGCGAGGAAAGAGAAAGTGTCCCAGTATACTTTTGACTCAAACGGGACCCGTGTTGAGCTCGATCCCGTCGAAGAGTTTGGAGAATGGAAAGCCAAATACGATCACTCGCCTCCGTCAATATTCGACCTGAGCAATCCTTGGGATCCTCATGCTGGAAATCGAGACACGATTGTAGGCACTGATGCGCCCTTGCCCGATACTCCCACTTCCCTCGAGTTTTCGACCCCAAACCATCGACGAACGTCGGATGAAATTGGTGGCCTACCGGAAAGCACATCTGTTCCCTTACTCACAGACCGGCATCGCCGAAGCAGCGGCTCGCAGAGCAGTGATGATGACTTTGGGGAGTCTGGGGTAGGTATGGCAGGCGTTGGCACCGTTGCACGCGGGAGCCAAATTGTTGATGGTCTACGCCATAACCTACCTCAGAGCGACAGCGCCGACAGGAGTTTATCGTCCTTGGATTTGCGTGATGAAGCCGTCACTCCATGGCGATTTCCGACATCACACGAGCATCCTGATACCGTTGATGTCGACATTCGTTGACGGACCTGGATGTGGACTTTATTGACAGCATTGCTGCTCTCCATCTCAGATCTCATTTCATCTCACGCACATCTCTACCGACGCTCTTTGATATTTGGATATATGTGGTATACTAGTGCATGGTTACTCATCTGGACTTTTTTGTATGGGCTCATTACCTGGACGATCGTGCGTGTTCATATAAGTATAATACAGTCAAGCCCATTGGTGCAGATCTACTTGTACATCATTTGTATGTGGAGCGAATATATTATCAAAATCTTTACTTCTCACTCCGCGACTGGTCCTATACTTGGCTTCCTTGGCGAAAGTTGTCGCTTCAACTCAACTGCGCCTTTGGACACGGCACAGCACGTCCAACTAGTACCTCACATTGAACCGACAACGCCTTGGTCTGTATCCTACCTCGAGCTTCCCAAGACATATGACCTGAGGGGACAAATGACCCTAGCAGTTGAAGGGCCAAGTAGTAGAAATTACCTCGAAATGGGACCCCGAAAAAAAACCAACGACAAGCGAGTAAGTCTCTGCGTGTCAGGTTGATGTCCTTTCTCACGTGATGCGCACGACATCTACTCACCGTGAACCCATACGATGAGTACGGCATTTGGTGCGAATCGATTGGTACTACGATGGGAGCCGCAGGTCCCGCCATAGCGCCCACCATGGATAATCCAAAAGTCTTGTAAACATTCTATGAGATGATAATTCAATTCGCCTGTCACCGTAATGTGAAAGAACGACGTACATGGTCTTGGCGGGATCAGCTGTAGGTCCAACTTCTATCTTATCAACCATGTTCATCATTGCTCTGAAGTTTGAACTCTTGGCTGTGCAAGTATCATGGACAAATCACGTTAGGGCGGATGCGATGACGACGAACAAGATAGCCATCACATGATGAGGGTCGTAGAAGTTACACACCGTGCGTGACAGTGATGATGTCAGTGTGAAGCACAGAAAATTCTACATCTTGCAGTTCTCAAACGTTGGGCATGACGCAAGCGCCTTGCAACTTGAATATCCTGCAAGACACGAGGATTTAGATTGCATTCAGTAATTATCAACGCGACACTGGGACAAACTTTTCTTGCCAACCCTGGCGCCGCGTAAGTCGCCATACAAGAATGAAGCAAGCAAGACTCACTCAATGGATACCTTTGTTTTCAGTCCAAAATGTACTCACTGAGTGATCGAGGTCATCACTGCAGTCTCGGGCCCAGAATGCTGGCTGACCCAGTTTTCAGTTATTTGGATCAGGTGTCTCCTTACAGTCTTGTTCGGCTGCCATATTACGCTTCAGAGGTACGCATGAATCTGTCAGAGTATTGGTACACACTAGAGATCGTAGCGTGGGGAATCTTAAGCCCTGAAAATTGTTCTAGAGGTCGAATGCAGGTATACTGCAGCTCGACTTCTTTGGTGAGTTGCTTGATGGCTTCGTCGGTCAGTTCATTGCGAGGTTTCATCCAGAGTTTGCTTCATGCAATCGATGATCATATCGTATTTAGTAAAAACGATGATGACGGGAACTTTGGTTAAGTGCGAGCTCCAACGTAGCAGAGAGATAGTGATTGATTTACTTACAAAGCGTTTCACTACGTCTCAATGTCAGGACATCCTCCATTCCCGTCTCTAGAAAACGTGCGCCTGCACGGAGTATCTCAAAGAAAAGCCTTCCGTGTATATGGTCAGTCCACCATAACGGAGTGGACTATTTGAGGTTGTCTTCTTCTCTTGGTTCAAAACCTTTGCTATCATGAAGAAAGAAACCTGTCGTTCTGATGTAGTAAGATGGACTGATGGTCGATGTTGACTTCGCCTGGCTAATCGACGTCGTGCGAAGCGATCCATGATCAGTATGAGTAGCTGTGCTCCTTGAAGCATCGTGTTCGGCCCCACTCCAAACGCGTGCCAGTTGATCAGCACGAGTGATGACGATGACTTGTCGACGGCAGTCTATTCACATAGACTTGAAAGCACGTCATCAACACTTCAGTTGCCAGATACCTTTAAATCCTATCAGCAGAATTCGGAATCTTGGGAGTGTCGACCTTAAGGATGGCACTTTATGATCATCCTGGCTCACTGAGGACACTTGTTCGCCGGAAGTGGTAGGCTGGAGCTTCAAGGTTCTACCGGAAGCGACTTGCTAATCCACGACTTAGACTTAGCCGGGGTTCGATGCCAGATATGGATCCTTCCTTCGGCTGTGGTAAAGGTCGACGATACTGATTTTTTAGGATCATTGGAGGTTGTGATTAAGATGATGATGCGATAATTCTGGTTTCACGATACGAAACCGTGACCGTTCTTGTAGTACCACTAGCACCATATCGTACAGCATCGCTTTAAAAGACCTGGCTTTTGCCGGGTTCACATGCTAATAAGGCTACACTAAGCTTCTCCGTGAGTCGCATTTGTCTTTCCTCAGTGCCGGTCGTATGCCCCGTACCGTACTAATAGTACCGTCGAGCATATTGAATGCATTGTACATACTGTACGGCACAGGCCGTACCCGTAAGCCCTTGAAGTTGTACGGCCGTGACCGTATACGGTTAGTACGGTGACCAGCCCTAGGCCCCTAGTACTAGGACGAACAAATTCAACCTGCGCAGTGCGTCCCATCTTCCCAATATTAATCATCAACGTTTCAACAACGATGATCGCGCTTCGACAGTGTCTCGAACTCAAGCTTAGTGGACCACGAGCAAGATTAGACACGGTTGATCATTTTCAGATAAATTCAAACATCCACAGTACTTCGAGCAGTATGAACATTTGTCCAAAGACAACTGCATCGATTGACTCCGAACTAGGTAGTATTGCACCATCAAATAGGATACAAAAACGAAAGCAGAAGCATGACTCACTGTCGCGACGTGCTGCTTGGGCTGCTGCCTCAATTTCCACGTGCACCGGACCATGAGAGGCACTTCTTAATTCCAGCAGGCTAAGGCGCGTAGGTGAGTCGTGGTTGAATCCTGGTTACACAGCAACCTGCGTATACTCACGGAATCAGTTGTACAATCATCCGTGTGATTGCAGCAGTCGCTTTTATGTTCGCAAGGCTTTGATGGGGCGATGCATGCACCCACAAACATAGATGCTGTCAAAGCAATAACAACGGAGAGAATGGATAAACGCATTCTATACGAGGTGATATGGAATCTTCTGAGGGGGTTCTCGAATGATCTCTCTGAGGATGGGGAAACACTGTATGTCAACGATCAGCTTTTATACCCTGCACATCATCATTAGCACAGTTCTGATCGATCTGGCAGAATTGTTATTGCTGTCAGATGGTATAAATTTGGTAGAACCTGTAGGAGCGTATTCGCCGTTGTGTCATAACCTGCTGGCAACTTATATTACTCGAAATCCAGATAGTCTGAATATCTGCTACTCGTCGACGGACAACTATGTCACTCGCATCATAACATCGTCGATACTTCCAATTTGTACTCGGTCGATATCTCATACCATTTTTCTCCTTTGTTGCTCCGCAGTAAGGATATATCATTAGCAGCTTGGTCATGTAATGTTGTGGGCAGAACATCCTACCAGCCGGTTCTGCCAAATCGATTCTGCCCGGCAGATGGCTACTACAACTTCACACGAGACAAGCCAGAATATGTGATATATATCTCGAGAAAAATCGTACATATTTCAAACTATTTGTAGGCTATGCATTTCGATGCTTCAGTGACCAGAAAGTGGATTCTATCAGGAGTGATTACGAATTAGTTCCTGGACTCGTCTTAGGGTACAGGTATGAGGATTTTTTTGTCCGCCTCACGATCGTTACAGGCCCTCTCGCGTTCTGTGGCTCCTATTTTGAGGGGCTGGAGGAGAATTTGAAGAAGGTCATCACACATCGGGGTTCTCGATATCTAGGAGACGTTTTTATTGTTGTACAAAATGCAGAAATAAAATTTGAACTTCAAAAACTATCACACTTGTACATTTAGTAAAAACGACGATGACAGGAACTTTGATAAAGTGCGAGCTCCAACGTCGCAGAGAGATAGTGATCGGTTCACTCACCGTTTCCCAGTGTTCTACTACGTTTCAATGGGAATTCCTCCTTTCCCGTCTCTAGAAAACGTGCGCCTGCATGGTGGTATCTCAAAGCAAAGCCTTCCGTGTATTTTGTCGGTCCACCATAACGGAGTGGACTGTTTTGAGGTTGTCTTCTTCTCCTGGTTCAAAACCTCTGCTATCATGAAGAACAAACCTGTCGTTCTGAAGATAAACTGATAGTCGATGCTGGCCTCGCGTGGCTTATCGACGTCGTGCGAAGCAGTCTATGGTCAGTATGAGTAACTGTGCTCCTTGAAGCGTCGTGTTCAGCCCCACTCCAAACGCGTGCCAGTTGATCAGTACGAGTAATGACTTGTCGACAGCAGTCTATTTACATAAAAGCACGTCATCAACACTCGGAAAAAGCCAGATACATACCTTTCCTATCAGCAGAATTCGGAACCTTGGGAGCGTCAACCTCAAGGACAGCACTCTACACGAGTACACTGAAATAACATTATATTTCAACATCGGGAGGCGATAACAGTAGCTTCTGTAAGCAGTAAGTGACGCAAAATCATACCCTACATCCCAACAATATAGACGCAGCGTTCTTGTAATGTCTGCAGCATGTGCCCTTGTCGCTCAATCATCTTCGTCCGTGACCGATGCCAATGCATTGGGATTTGGTTTGCGAGCAGTTAGCTTGCTCGCGAGATCTTGCGCAAACCCACACATTGTCAGAGTGGGATTCCTGAAAATTCGTGAATTCTAGCAGAGGGAGTACGAGAGCTACAACGTACCACGAGCCAGAAGTTGGGAAAATTGCTCCTCCAGTCACGTACTTTGCGGGTAGAGTCATGAAGGATTTAAATTTTGACTCGTCGGAGGATGCTCACCACATTTGAAATGCCCTTGACCCTGTAATCTCTGTCGACGCAGCATTCATCGCCATCACCGAGTGGCAGCACCGATGCTTCATGCACAATCCCCTCCATTCTAACCGACTCTTTGCCTGGAATCTCTCTCTTCCAAACGCCAGGCTTGTCCCAAGGCTTGGGTTGATGCCACCATTCGACTTCATGTTTCTTGTTACCAGCCATCGCCCTGATGGCGTCAACCGTCGCTTTGTCCATCTGGTCCCAGAGCTCATAGTCCTTCTCGTCAAGCATGACTTGTAGGATACAGTTGGATGTTGGGTCCGCACTCAGGGGCTGGTTCGACAAACGGAAGAAGGAATTGCTGTTGTTCTCGCTGAGTTCACCGAGCGTCGCACACACTTAGTAGAGGGATTAAATACAAACACGTGGCATACGGGACACTAAATGCTCACCGAAAACGACATAATCTTCCGATCCACGAAGTTGCTCTTCGCTGGCTGTGCCGGCGAAATCCTATGTACAACTATGAGTTATGAGGATGGACGAGAGAGAGTGGATGTCATACTGGACAGAATCGAGCAGCATCTTCAGCATCTTGCATTGGATCAGGCGACGCGACGGCGGTGATCTGGACGTGATATTGTAGTTTGGAGGTCGGGTGTTGACCAGCCAAGTACTCCGCTCCAATCTCGATGCTCCCCTTGTTAAGGTCATGAAAAGCGCTCCTCTTTACACGAGCGACGACATGTGTCAAAAAATGGCCCGTCACCGTTTTGCCCGCCGACCTTGCGATATACTTATTGTCCCGGAAGCTGTTGAGCAGGAGCGTCGCGTTCGGAAATGCCCCAGCACAAAGGATGACCTTCGTTTTGTTTGCTATCGGCAGATCCCCACGAGACGTACGGAGAAATTTAACAGACTGCTCATCACCTAAACTGGAAGGAGGAAGCGGGAATCCAACGTCGACACCGAGGTATAGCACAGCAGTCTCTGTTGCAAAAAGAAGTGGAGCGCCGGTCCCAGCCTGCACATGCCTCTGCTGCTCCTTGTACAGGGAAAGAAGCGGGCCAGGCGTAGAGAATTTGGTGAAATGAATCGTTGTCGTCTTCGCAATAGATGCGACTGCCATGGGCGCAGGATACACCTCTTGCGCTGAGAATATGTCTCCCCCAGCGACTGCCGGTTGCAATCGTTGATCGATCTGACGTTGAAGCATTCCGTATGGGGGACCAATGTCTGTGGCCTTGGTGACTCGCAAAAGTTTGCTCGCAAGTTGGAAGAACCCTGGCTTCTGTGCGGTGTCGATAAGAGAGTTGGGCCAGTTGCGCATTAGCGCAGCAGTCGGGCTTGGAGACCAGGCAGACCAGAAGGTCGAACGACCACCAAAGAAAGGGCAAGAGCCGTGTACAAATTTGATATCGCTATCATACGTCTGTTTGGACAAAGTGAAAGGGAATGTTTCACTTGGGCCGCCAAGAGTGTATTTAAAAGGGAGCGGCAAGTTTTGGAAGTGATCAGGGAGCCAAAAATCTGCGGTAAGCAGAGAGTGGTCAGCATGCTAGACATGGCAGCAAAAGACTGCCCACCTCCTCGTTCAAGACAAAGAATCTTCTTTCGTGGGTCCCTTTTCAATGTGTTTTCGATAAACGCGAAGGCTGTCAACTGAATGATAGCAAACGTGATATGATTGTGTGCAACCATTGAAGGAGTAACTCAAACAACGACTTACGCCTGAACCTATGACGACGAAGTCGAGGTCGGGAACTCCCATCTGGAGATCTTGCCATGTTGCGTCTGAGATGAGGAAATCTTTTGCCACAACTTGGCGAGCGCTTGGGGACTTTGAAAAGATCAAAGTTCTGCTGAAAGAATAAGGAAAAATATTATGAGTACCTGGATACCTGGCTCCGGAAAGCCATAGTTATTGAAGGGATGAGTATTATCTTCCTCAAAGCGAGGCTGAAAGGATAGCGGACGCTCGCGCTGGCTGTACTGGTTCTCTCTGGTTGGTGGGGCAGGATTGTTTCTGGGGACGGAGTGAATAGGGATGGTGGTAGAAGACATGACTTTGCTAATAAAATTATACCATCCAGTGCGCCCTTTTATCGCCCATGGGGCTATGTAAGGGCGCAACTCTGTGTCCGTCGTTACTATCCTGTCTTGAACCTGGACCTCGACAGCAAAATGTTCCGAGGCACAGCATACGAAACTATTGTTCCTCGGCGCCCTCGCGCTACTTGGCAAAACGGCATTCAAGGAGTCCCTGTAATGGGGGGATCTAGCCCGATTGGTTACCTGTAATTACAATCAGGACATAGTGTTAGTATGCGTATAGTATCATTATGGTCGGTGTACAAACTATTGGCCCTAGTGTTAGGGTCAGATGGACGCAGTCACTGCGCACACGGAAACTCTATCTTCCCACGGTTGAGTTCAACCCTCATACCGATAACTCATACTATCCCCAAGTTCAGATTTTAATGATGACCTTCCATAGCTATATTCAAGTTTAGGAAGAATCTCTGGTAATTATTGAAGTTAGATCTAATGGTTTCATCCCTGACGAACAAACTCAACCTGCGCAGTGCGTCCCATCTTCGTATGGCCTCCCAACATTAATCATCAACAGCGATGATCGCGTTTCGACAGTGTCTCGAACTAAAGCTTTGTGGACCACCAGCAAGGTCAAACACGGTTGATCATTTTCAGATAAATTCAAACATCCACAGTGTCGAGCAGTACGAACATTTGTCCAAAAACAACTGCATCGATTGGCTCCGAACTAGGTATTGCACCATCAAATAGGATATCAAAATGAAAGCAGAAGCATGACTCACTGTCGCGACATGCTGCTTGGGCTGCTGCCTCAATTTCCACGAGACCGTGTGCGGCAACTCTTTTCTCCACGATGCTAAGGCGCGCAGGTGAGTCATGGTTGAATACTAGTTACACAGCAACCTGCGTATACTCACGAAATCAGTTTTACAATTCATGTTATCGCAGAAGTCGTTTTATTTTTCGCAAGGGTGTCCTTCGGGCGTGCATGCACCCACAAATATAGATGCTGTCAAAGCAATAACAACGGAGAGAATGGATAAACGCATTCTATACGAGGTGACATGGAATCTTCTGAGGATGGGGAATCACTGTATGTTGACGATCAGCTTTTATACCCTGCATACCATTATTAGCACAGTTCTGATCGATTTGGCAGAATTGGTATTGCTGTCAGATGGCATACATTTGGTAGAACCTGCTGGCAACTTATATTATTACTCGAAATCCAGACAGTCCGAATCTCTGCTACTCGTCGATGGATGATCATGCCACTCGCATCATAACGCGAGAGTCGAAGGTACTTCCTGTCGATACTTCCAATTTGTACTCGGTCAATACCATTTTTCTCTTTTGTTGCACCGCAGTTTGGATATATCATTAACAGCTTGGTCATGTAATCTTGTGGGCAGAACATCCGAGTCCTACCAGCTGGTTCTGCCAAACCACTCCTGCCCGGCGGAATGTCGAACATAGCAAATGCACCTCAGACTCGAGACATCTTGCGGTCCTGGATCAATATTGCCTGATGAGATCAAGAGAGCACTCGTCCATCAACTTCATCAAAGGTTCCATAAGATGAAATTTACTTAAGAGTTACATTCAATGCTCCTATTGCGGTCTGCTAGGCCCATCAGTGAAGTACATTTTTCCCACAGAGCTTAAAAATTTGTCTCTGGCCGCGGCAGTTTCCACAAGATCACAGCAAACTAGGAGCCCAGAGTATACATTCGCTCCAGCTGCTCACAGTTCTACATGACCTGCAGGCTTCGTGCTAAACTTGAACTATGTTCATGTTATTCTTTCTTAGGCTGGTGCGCCGCTCTCAGTCCTTAGCAGTCACGGTGTACATGCCGCCATGTGAACTTGGGCTTTGACTGCATATCAGAAAATAAAAACGTCTGTCACGAATTGCGATCGGCGTCTCGTTGGTTCCATCAAGGCAGAGATCCATGAGCCAAACTTCGAGGTCAACGTTAGACGAACACATTCAACCTGCTCAGTGCGTCCCATCTTCGTATAGCCTCCCAATATTAATCACCAACAGTAATGATCGCGCTTCGACAGTGTCTCTGATTCAAGCTTAGTGGACCACGAGCAATATTGGACACGGTTGATCATTTTCAGATAAATTCAAATATCCACGTTGTCGAGCAGTATGAACATATGTCTAAAAACAACCGTCTCGATTGGCTCCAACTGAGTATTGCACCATCAACTAGGATATCAAAATGAAAGCAGAAGCATGACTCACTGTCGCGACATGCGACTTGGGCTACCGGTTCAATTTCCACACTTCTTGCCGTTACCCTAAGGCGCGCAGGTGAGTCACGGTTTAATCTTGGTTACACAGCAACCTGGGTATGCTCACATTATCTGCACAATCCATGTTATTGCAGCAATCTTTTTTTGTTACGCAAGTTTTTCCTTCGTGGTAACATGCACCCACAACCATAGATGCTGTTAAAGCAACAACAACAGTGAGGATGGATAAACGCATTCTTCACGAGGTAATATAGAATTTTCTGAGGGGGTTCTCGAATGATATCTTTGGGGATGGAAAAACTGTAGGTCGACGACTGGCTTTTATATCCTGCATATTATTCTTGGCACAGTCCTGGCAGATTTGTTATTGACTTCAAATGGTTTCAATTCAGTAGAACCTGTAAGGCTTCTTATTGAGTTCGACGGGGAATGATTCGGACCATGAGAGAATGTGAGAGGGAGTCTATTCAACGGAGTTACACAAAGTAAGGACCGACTATTTATCTGAGTGAGGACAAAAGGAGTTCCATAAGCAGTACTTCGAACTGGTACAAAGAGAATTCCATAGCCGGTGTCCGTGGCTAGGCTCTTGTAGAGTGACATTCCTTACAAACCTGCAGGAACGTATTCGCTGTTGCATCATAGTGACATAGCCTGCCAGCAAATCTCTTCTCAGGCTTGCTCGAATCTTAGGACTCTCATCCCCATCCGTAACACATCGCTTCATCATCTGAACCTGCACCGAGCCTCACAGCACAGCGACAGAGTTGAGAAGTTTTATCGAGAGGAATACGAATGGGAGACTACAGACGAATGTTGTCGCAAAATAGGATGTACGTCACGTACACATTCTTGACTTACTATTACTTGCAGGCGTTTCCGTCGTGATACAATTGGTTCCTAGGGTATGTAAAAGCTAGAACACGTCAAATTGCTCTATAATTAGCAGCAAAAGTATGCATATGGCTAATTGAAAATCAGCAATAAAGTTTGGCCAGGATCAATGCATAATCCGTCTAATTTGTAATAGTTAGATGCAATTGTATCTAAATTTACATGAGAGGGTTTTCCTGATGGGCTATGAGCGCTTTAAGATCTCACACATCATCGTTTTTGCCCCTTCGAATTCCGTGGTCACGACTGACGCACCTTTAGGGATGATCAGAGCATGGCCCTTGGAGAGAGGGCCAATATCAAGGAATGAGTATCATGACACCAATCACCCACACTCCTTCCGATCTGAATACAATCCATGGTTCGTCACGAATAAGCCAGAGAAAAATCTCTGGTAAAATCTGGTGCAGCATGACCAATTATTTGTATCGATGAACTCTCAAAGGTATTCCAATACCATCTTCTCCAACAACCCGTGGACGAGGTAAAATTCGCGTTACAATTTCAACTGGAGTATCCAGTCCATCTCGCATCTCAAATGTGAAGCTCTTCACCAAAACCGATAAAACCGTCTGTATCGCAGTGAGCAACGTCTAAACTGGCTGATTCACATCACTCACCTTAAATTACATGATCGCAAAATCTTTTCCAAGACACGTCCTCGGGCCATCGATGAATGTCAGCAGATGCCTATGACCTTGAACTTCCTTCGCCTTCCCACCAATGCCTTCTTCAGTCAGCCAATGCTTGAACCACTTTGAGATTTTTCTGCTGGTCAGAAGTACTGCGACTTAGGGTGCATTTTGTAGAGGGATAACAGTGGAATATGATGGCATTAAATTTGATAAGGATTGCTGAAAAATTGAGTGGAGAATAATGATTGTACAAACGAGCAGGGGTGTACAAAGGACCGTGTGATTGCTGTACCATTAATATCAATCAGCTTTAAGAGGTGTTCGAACACCTAAGTACTTAGTCAAAATCTGAAGTTGTCATTTATATCTACAAAAACCTTCTCGCCGGTTTCCTGATGGCTTGTAGTTACTAGTACCAGTGCACACTGGTGACCATATCACACAGCATCACTTTAAAAGACTACTACTTATGCTGCAGCCTGGCTTTTGCTGGGTTCACATAATACTGAGGCTTTCTCCGTAAGTTACATTTGTTTTCCCTCATGGATCCTTCAAGGATAAGAGAAAAAATCCACTGCTTTAGAGTCCTCATTGCAGGAAGAGCGAATGCAGGAAAGACTACTGTTACAAGAACATCTAGACGCTTGGGCCCCTACCATTTTTCTCCTCATCCTCCTCGTATCAGCCCTTGCATCACACCCTTACCCCGACCTCACTCTCGTTATCCTGGTCATCCTCGCATTCCCTTTCGCCCTCTACCTGTTGTTGCAGCAAAGCCAGTACATCTGGCCGGATCCTTTTGCTGACGAAGCATACCCATGCTCCATTTCACCAACTGACTGATCCTGTGGATAGTCCTCTTACCGTCCGGACGGTAACCTATGATACGATGCACGACACATCCCCTTCACCCATTTCCCTTTCTTGATCTATGACTCAATGCGCAGTCACACATGTGCACTTATACTTAGTTCCGCAGCTGCATGATCGTGCCCCTGCGCGTTTCACTTCTTATTCCAATCTGTGACTCATTTTCTTATCTGCATGTTCAGGTTCACTCGTGTCTCACCTCGAACGTGCTTCCCTTTTATGGTCTTACCCTTTACCGCTTACTCTTCTTGGTAGTACGAGTTATCACCCACTAATACGCTTCCTGTCCTCTATATAAACTCGCTACCATGTACCATATTCCTTAACTTGAATCTACTTGGTTCTTGACCTCCTACTCTCACCAGAGTAATCCTTTCTGCCTAGCCAGCAGTCTATATTCTATCTTCTTATTCGCTCTTCGCGGATAAGTCTTTAGTCTCGATCTTTACTCATCGACTTCGTCAATGAGCAAAGCCCCCCTGTTAACTAGTCGGACTTCTGTCCTTCTAAATTAACGACGATCTTACGATTAACCTTCGGGTGTCGTAAGCCTTGGCAGATACCACTTATTGTCTAGCATCTGCTTGACATAAGCTACCTGATTTGGACATAGGCATCAAATCTTACTTGCTGAAGCCTTGCCAAGTAAGACCCCTAACCTTGGGCTAGCCCAAGGACATCCTCGACCGTTGATGACACACGCTCTGTTTGAGCGTCGCCAACAGATACCATCCAAGTCATAACAACTACCATCTTCTGGAGGGTCTGCAACACACGGGACAACCCAGAAATATACAACAGTGCTGGGCAAAAGGTGGGCATCACAACGCTTGTAGGAGGGTGATAGTGACTCATCAATATCAGATTGATCTTGCAGTTTTAATGATAACTAGAGAGGTAAGGTGTGCTCTTATTTGATGAAAATGAACTGACATTCTCTCAGCGTGGAGAGCACGATATCAACAATGAAATGGTTTTTCGAAGCAACCCGGGATTTATCTTTCACAACTCTTGCGGTTTTGAGGCGGGCAGTGAATCAGAATTCAACAAGGTCATGGAATTTATTGCAGACCGTTCTAAGCAAACCAGAATGAGAAATCAACTCCATGCAATCTGGTAGTTGCAACTCATCACTCACGGCATGCGCTAGCTTACAGTTTCAACATAGGTACTGCATCCCAATGGATGAGGCAAGCAGGTCATTCACCGCAGGCGAAGTCAAATTTTTCTCTCAGTGCGATACTGGAAGCAGTAAGATTTCGCATCCGACCCTTGATTTTGACTGATACGCAGAATCATAATTCTCAGTTCCGGTGATCGTATTGTTCACAAAGTTTGATTACCTCTACAACGTTGCATACACACAACTGAAAAGTATGGGAACATCTTGGAAAGACGCTAAAGCACTGGCCCCAAAACATGCTGAAGAGTCATTTGCTAATGGGCCACAATTGAATTTTCTCAAGGATGTCCCAAGGCCTCCAAAAGCTTATGTATGCCTTCCTAGTAAGCAGTTTGATGGTTGATTTCTGAACATGATGACTGTTGATCCATTAGGCATGGATAATGAGGGTGCAGATTGTGGGCCGCTGATTGAACACACAGCTGCAGCTCTGGATAATGAAGTACTGAAGCAATTATTTGTCTCCACCCAGCAAACCATCTTGGAGCTCTGCATGAGATATGCAATTGAGAAGTAAATACTCATTGTCTCGTTTACCTGCTGCAAGTGTTCGTGGCTGATACCGTCTAGAACACTCTTGGAACATCTTGATCCTGCAGAGACAACAACATCCGGAGGTCAAAAGGCAATCATAGCAAAAATGGGCGCCTGGTTTCCACATATTTCTGTAAGATTATCGCAAAGTTTGGAGGTTGTTCTCATTAATGTTGGACATTTACTTGCAAGCAGTATGTCTGTTAATCCTCATTGGAGCTCAAGCTATGCTGATCGATGTCGTTGCTAACTGTTCACAGAGTGTAAGTCTGTTGATCCTCCTTTGAGCTTGAGCTATGTTGAGCATGTCGTCCCCCTGTTCGCAGTATGTGAGTCGAGCCATGCTGATTGATGTTGTTGCCCATCATTCGCAAGCTGTGAGTGTGTTGATCATCCAAGCTTGAACCATGCTGATTGAGGTCGTCACCCACCGTTTGCAGGATGTGAGTGTCTCGGTCCTCATTCAAGCTCAAGCCATACTGATTGATGCTGTTACCCACTGTTTGCAGCTTGTGAGTGTGTTGATCCTCTGTATGAGCCTTCCTGAATCAAGTCATCGTCCTTTGATCGATTGATAGAACATGAGCACATTGATTCTTTGTCAAATTCAAGCATTCTTTACACTATCTGCAGGAGGTTAGTACATTGATCTTCTACTGACCTTGAGCTCTTAACCGAAGGCATCATCGATCCATTGACAGCTTGTGAGTGTGATCGACCTTCTGCATGGTCTTACCGATGCAATTGCTCATTTATTGTCAGGATGTGGGTGTATCGATTCTACGTCGCCCTCACGGCATACTGACCAAACACATTACTGCTCCATTAACAGATTGTGAGTTGGTCGATCCACCATTTAAATTAAGAATTGAGCCATACTGACTGAAGACATCGTCTATCCATTCACAGGGCATAAGCACATCGACCTGTAGTCAAATTGGAGTATCACTGACCAATGAGGTTGTTGATACCCATTGACAGACTGTGAGTATGTTCATCTGCTATGGAGCTCGAGCTTTACTCACCAACGACATCACTGATCTGTTGACAGCGAGTACGTCTCCATCCCCATCCTCATTTGAGCTCTAGCTTTGCTCACCGATGTCATCACCCATTTACTGACAGGAAGTCAGTGTACTGATCCTCTGTCAAGTTTGAGATTTGCTTACTACTGAAATTGCGCATTCTTCATTAGAGAGTGAGTCTAGAGCCTTGCTCGTGAACGACATCGCTGATCCATCAATAGGATGAGCTTCATGATGATCACTGTGTTGAGATACAGTCTAGGTTACTTTCTGTGGTATGTTCAATTGGTCACAGATTGTAACACATTTATCATGTTGCAAATCTGCCAGCCCTCTCATTCATTGCCCTTGGAGAACATCATTCAGCTCATTTCTGGTAAATTTTGAGGCAACATTGCAATGATCCTGCTTATTGTTAATCATTTAGCCGTTGTTGTTATCTTCGAACACTCTTTCTACATTTTTGACAAGTGGCATTATATTTGGGACCAGCAAAAACATGTTCCCTCTTTTTATGTCGCTCTGGAGCAGTACATGGCATCTCTGCATGCAGCTGCTGTTAGGAAAGGTGTGAGCGCTGCCGTTCAGGCTTATGAAGAAGCTGTGGCTACTGCTGCAAAAAGGAGAGAATCTTCATACTGTCGTGCAAAGGTGGAGTTGATCAAAACTGTTCTTGAAGTTGCATTAAATAATCGACTGTGTGTGTTTCTTCACCATCATGTTGTGGCATCAATTCAGCTGATCTGCTTGTTTTCAGCAAGACCTGATAATGCAACATAACATAGATGGTATTCCGGAGTGGAGCTGACATGTCTTAGCAGTAAATGTGTTCTTGAATGGTCTAGTGGGGTAGTATCAGCAGGTGAAATGGTTGCATGATCACACAGGATAGCACTTGCCCCAGTATAGTGTATGTATGTTTGGAGCATGTCAGTTACCATCCCAGTGCTCTGCGCATGTGTGATAGGCTGATCAAAATGTTGTCCCAGGACAAATATGACTTGCAATGTGCATCAGCCTTAGCTTGATCCCATTGTCTGTAAGCACCTTTTTCTTCGATAGGGCTCATCAGAAATGTCTTCTCCCAACAAAGGCGATGGAAAGTGTCACTGCCAGACTTCCAGGTGCACTTATAGAATACACTATATTATACAATACATAGCCATAATTGCCGATCGGTCATAATTCAGTTACATAGTACAAGCGAACACCATCTGCAACCGTGTCAGTACTCAAACACCGCTCATGTGTAAAACACCCACAAAAGAAACAATTGAGTGCAATGAGTTCTCAGTTTACCATTTCCCGTCTGACAACAAATCCACAGGGGGAAGCACTTCTCGAAGTTTGAACACTTCTTCTGCATCGATGCTATAATATTGCATCATCTCAATGATTTTATCCAAGGAATCAGGATCCATGCATTCCAGGATTGTCAGTTGCCTATCATATTCCTGAATCTGAGTAAGAACTTCTCCGCTGATCGGGGAGAGGTGGTAGGAATTGACCACGAGCTTGATGGCCTTACAAGTGAGCTCCTGGCTTTCTGACACGAGATAAAGTGTCTGCAACACAAACATTAAGTGGGCAATGTAGGACATGAAGCGGTGAAGCATTATGTAGTTGGGAAAGAAGGATCAATGTCCTGGTTTACTGATCATATTCATTATCAGTGCCCTGAACTCTTGGCTGAGCAAGTACTGTGGACAAATCACATTAGGGGGAATGCGATGATGACAGATAAGACTGTTACATGATGAGGGTCATTTAGCTTCCACGCATTGATGATGTCATTGTGAAGTTCATCGGTCTTGAATGATGATATAAACACCTTCCATCCTGTGAGAGCATTCCATCCTGCAAGTTATGAAGATTTAGATTGTATTTGGTGACTATCAATGCAAAACTTGGACAGACTTTTCTTGCCAACCCTGACACAGCGTAAATTATGGGATAATAATGAAGCAAACAAGACTCACTCAATTGATGCCTTTATTCTGAGTTCAAGATCCATTCGCTGAATGATGGAGGTCATCACCGTGGCCATGCCAAGCTGATGGACACGGTTTCAGTTAATTTGATAAGGTTGTTGAGTGTCTCCCTATAGTCTATATTGGCTGCGATAGTACACTTCAGAGGCATGTATGAATCTGTCAGAGTGTTGGTATGCACTAGAAACAGTAGCATTGGTGGTGTCAGACTCCACAAATTTCTCTAGAGGTCCGATACAGGAATTCTGCAGCTCAACTTCTGCTATGCGCGTGACGTGTTCCTTGATGTCTTCAGTTGGTCGATTCATCGAGAAAGGTTTCATCTAAATTTCGCACCATACGATCAATGAGCATATTGTATTTAGTGAAAACAATGATAATGGGAACTTTCACAAAGTGTGAGCTCAAACATAACAGAGAGATGGCTATCAGGTTCATTTACTGTTTCCCAATGTTCCATTACATTTCCATTCCAAAAATTCCTCTATTCCTGTCTCTAGCAGACGTCTGCCTGTAGGGGGTATCTCAATGCAAAGCCTTCCATGTATTCAGTCAGTGCACCATAACGGAATGATGGAGATAGAATTCCCACCAAATAACATGCAACTGCTTTTCCAAAGCAGACATGTTCCTCCGACAATTAATGAAATCTCGGACTGTTTTGAGGTTGACTTCTTCCCCTGGTTCAAAACCTTTGCTGTTGTGGATAACCAACCTATTGTTCTGAGGTGATATGAACTCATGATTGATGTCGGCCTCCCCTGTGTTAACGTGCGAAGTGATCTATCAACAGTGTGAGTAGTTAGGCTCGTTGAAATGTTGCATTCAGCCCACCACTGTTTCTACTCCAAATACATGATTGATTAGTGATGACTTGCCTGACACCAGACTATTAAAAGCATGTCATCAACACTGGTCCGAGATTGGCGGAAGCCAGAATCGGATACCTTTCCTACCACCAGAATTCGGGACCTTGGAATTGTCAATGTCAAGAATGGCACTTTATGATCATCCTGACTCACCAAGGAGTCTGTCGAGATATTTTGGCAGTGGTGTCAAGGCCTTCACCAGAGGAGACAGACTGTTCAGCCTACTCATCTATGACTTAGACAGAGGTTCAATGCCAGATGTGGAATCCTTACTTCAGTTGTTGTATTCCTGGAAAGGTTGATAATTATCTTGATTTTTTCATGGAACTTGATGTATTATATGCATGTGAGGTTGGGTAAAAATGTGATTATTTTTGTTTCACCTTTTTTGCTTGCATTATATATGTGGACTATGTCATCTGGGTCAAAATGAATGTGTTTGGTCTTGGACTGCCAAAAATCTGCCTTGTCAAAGTACTTTATACGTAAGGAAAATGTATCCCCATGAGAAAGCACCCTAGGGCAAAAAAAGCAGAGTAGCAACTCAGGTGAGAACATGTGTTGGGGGTCGAGCACTTACATAGGTGGATCAAATGTCTGTCGCAGACCTTTTCTTGATTTGTATTTATCTTTTGGCATACCAGTATGAAATTTGCCAATCCATACTTCAGTGGACACTATGTCTGTCTTGAACTTCCTGAAATCAATGGTTATAACTAAATGACATTTAGCAGGTTTGATGATATGATAAAAATTGAATACCAGAGATGTGGAAAGGGTAGAAAACCATTGAGGTGTGATCAATGGCTATACTAATTCTCGAGCTGTTTTATGTAATGTGGCCATTGCCAAGTCGTCATCAATTATAAAATTAGATGTGCATCTAAACTTTAAAGGCATCTTGTTTTCATGAACATCAGAACAATCAACAGATAAGACCAGCCCAATCTCAGATTAGTACTAACACCCACCCCCAGCAAAATACAAATAGTGAACAGGCCCATGCATACCATACACCCATCCAATGATATGTTTACTCGGTGTCTTCTTCCTAGTCATCCAAGCCGCTGTAAAGAGTAAATCTCCGCTGGACTCAGCAGAAATTGTACTACCTAGTCAACAATGTTTAGGTAGATCTTAGCACAACCTATGCTGCTTTACTTGCAGAGCAAGTGTGTTCGATCCTAAAGGGATTGCTAATTGGTATTAGTTAGTAAAAATGTGTCAGTAATGCAAAGAACTGAATGTCTGATGGTGCGAAACAATGTCTGAAGGTACTTATCCAATGTCTGAAGCCAAAGTGCGATGTCCGAGATTTCGGACTTTCGGATTTCACGATAATAGGTTGGAAACTTTATAACGAGTGTCGGATTGCGAGTGGTATGCACGAGTATAACGAGTGATGGAGTATGACAGTGAACGAATGGTAATATTTCGCAATGCGACTAAGAACTATGAGAATATTCTGGGTGATCCACAGAGTTGGGAAATGGCTCCTAACTACTGGATGATGATTGCTACAGGTCACTACAGAGTATTTGAGTAAGTACGTAGAAAGTTGGAGTACTACAGGCGAAGATAGTAGCAATATATTTCAGGTCCTATGTCCTATGTAATAAGACACGAGGTGCTGCAGACATGTAATAACGCGGTCTGAATGTCAGAAAACGTGCATGGGAATAACTACACACCTAGTGAGGCTAGTTCAGATGGACAGGACATGGGATGGACAAGTGTGCATGAAGTGCGATTGGCTGATGTGATGTCCGAAGGTCCGATGCGCCAGATCTGATATGGAGTGGCTCGGACATGTGCGCATATGTTTCGGGTGTTGATGTGAGTATGAAAATACGTGGTTTCGAGCCCAACACCACGACCATCGCTACACCGCACTGCCTACTACTGCTAACAACAGTGTTGAAGCCCCATCATTCATGACCAGAACCCTATGGACCATCATCTCCAGCTCCGTTCTCACTCTTTTTGCATGCATTTACAGTGCCATCCACCCCAATATCCCAAGTCCTAGACACAGCGGCTACTCTCATATCCTATGGCGACAACTCGGCATAATGATAATGGCACTAATTGCTCCTAATTTGATTGTCACATGGGCTATGCGCCAATGGTTTAGTGCTCGTCAAGTTACAAGGCAGTTTGAGAAATCAGAGTATCCTAATGTCAAGGAGCCTGAAGGTGAGTCATGCCAGTGTGCTTGGAAATTCTACATCTCAATGATACATGTCCTCAGAAAAGAAGTCCAGTGAAACACGGACTGGAAATCACTTCTTTCGCTTTGTTCTCTTGCCTTTCATTCACCTCCTTCACCTGCTTGCTAAGGGTGTATCATCTTTGCTGGTGTCTCTTTGGCATATTCTTTGTGCTTCTGTGAGGTGGGTCACAAGGTGGATCAAGCCAGGACAATCTGAGTCTGAATTGGAAAGTAAGCCTGATCGTGTTCACCTAAACATTGGCTCATGTACATCCTTAGATTTAGACTATACATGGACTCAGACGCACAGCTTCTTTGTGTTGATGGGCAGTTTCATGCTTTATGTGGACAAGGAACCCTGCCGTACACTACAGCCAGATCACATTCTAATATTAATACGTAAGGGGTGCATCGACGTCCCTACCCTAACAGCAAACCAGATCTACGACAGGAGCAAAGGCAATGTGATATCAAAAGGATTGATCATCCTTCAAGTGGCCTGGTTCATAATGCAGCTCATCACCCAAGCCATCTATCACCTAGAAACCACCCAGCTTGAAGTGGGGACACTCGCTTTTGCAGTGCTCAACTTCCTAACTTATGCTGTATGGTGGGACAAGCCTCTCAATGTGCAATATCCATATCCAGTGTACTGGAAGTCATCTGACTCGACGCTAATTGAGGTGAAGTCCACTATGACATAAGAGGATCATATTGGGTATGTATGTGCATCAACAATTCTATCACTGCTGATTATGTCTGCCTTAGTGTCAGCGAAGAAGATGAAATCGCTCAGTTTGGGAGACTGACTCCAGTCTTGCGCCCAGTTCTAGAACTGATAGGCTTTCATGGCATGCCTACATCTCGAGAGCTTCAAGTTCCAACATTTGATGGCAGCATGAAACTCGAAGATCTGGACAAGATGGCTCTTCTGCTTGCTGGGTTGCTTATGGCAACCATATTTGGCAGAATCCATGGTATGGCTTGGTTTTTTGCCTTCTCAACATACCAGGAACAAATGCTATGGCGCATGAGTGCTGTCGCTATCACTGGCATACCCTGGCTTAGTTTACTCACTTCACTGCTCCTTGGAGCTCTGAACACACCACATGCGCTGTTGGTTTCGCATCAGTAAAGTCCAATTTTCTCACAGAGGTCACAAACTTCAGGTCTTGTGACAGTAAATCACAGAGCCCCACAGTTTGCACAGGTTCACAGTACACAGTGATACAGCGACTCCAGTCCAAATCCACTCACAGACTCGGATTTCAATGTATGATACTATGGCCTTGCAAAAACTCACAAGTCTCACACACTACTAGTACCAAGCACAGTGTATCAATAGCTATAGTATTAGTATACTTGTACCAGCACAAAAGTAGCAATACAATTTCTCAACTTAAGTTTGAGTTCCGGGCTTGGCAATATACACTTGGTTTGAGCATACAACACATAACATTCATAGTAGTAACGAAGACTAGACAGCATAAAACAACTATTAAACACTACAAAAAATAAATAAATCAAGCTGAATCATGGGGGTCTGGTCATGCAAGATATCCAATGTCGTTCCTACAAAGAGTTAGAAACAGATATGAGCACAGAGAGTGCATCACACCCACCACACAAACATGATCCACCTTGTCCTTGAGCGAGACGACTAGGAGGGACAGACCAACCATGCATATTGCAAATAACCCTCATACATCCCAGGCCAAGGTCTGTGTCGTCTAGTCTCTTCTCAGCGGCTTCCACTCGGAATTTCAGCAGGCTTGCAAACACCTCATTTTCCTGCATTACACAGTCTGCGAGTACCGTCTGAGCCGTGTAAACATTGCACTTGGCTCTCACGAGATTCATCATGATCATCGCCTCAGATTCAGTGGGTTCCTGGTCAGACTATGTTGAAATGTAAGTTGTACGATAATGATGGATGACATGAATAACTCACCATTGCATTCACAGCTTCAAGAACTTCATATAGGTTGCATATGCCACTACTATCATGGTTGTCATTATAATGTCGATCATGAGAGTGAGGGCTAGTGTGGGTAGAAGAAGCACTTGCTGATAGTGATTGCAAAGTACTAAGATCAAATTTGAGTGGCGAGGATAACATGATGCGGAAAGACTGACTCATGGAAATTGCTGAACTACAGTGTGTATCCTCTTTCTCCGCAATCATCATTCTCCATGAGCATGCCGTCAACTCATTGCCCTTCATGCGGGAAGGAATTCAGGGATCATACTTCCATTGCTCGACATATGAGCCAACCACAGTCTGGATGCAACATGTGGCTACAAGACTTAATCCAGCTTCCCTCCACCCTTCCACCTAGTGAGGATTCGGCAGATGCTCCTATAGCAGCAGGCGACATCGGTGAACCTCATGAGTCTTACCATGAACAAGTTGAAGGAGAGTACTTTGACAGAGGCAGAAATTGGAGCAAGGACTGTGAGGCTGAAGTAACCAACTATTTTCCTGAACCCCTGCTAGCCTTTGATGAGGGCTACACATTTCTGAGTTTGTTCGATGCTGATGAGAATAGCATCCATCGCAAAATGAACCTATACTATCCATTCAGCAGTTGGAAGAAATGGGAGATTGCAGCATGGCTTCTGCAGTTCGGGCCTGAGCATGGGAAAGATAGATTTGTTCCTGTCGCTGGAGATGGTAAGTTTCTTAATTTCAAACACATTAGGGCAGCTTAATTCAGGGAGCACTTAGATAAATGATTTGCCTTTATCATTCTGCTCAGCTAAAGAGTTATGCAGTCGAGCTGAAATGTTACCAGGCAGTCCACATTGGAAATCGCAAGTAATACATACATCCCATTCCACCAAGATGCTGGTTGTTCTCTACTGGCGAGATCCGCTCGAGTGCATCACCAGTATTTTCAACCATCCTTTATTTCACAACTCACAAAGTGTATGCCACATCGCAGAAGCTGTCTTGGGTATATACTGAGTGGATGACAGGGCAACATGCTTGGGACATGCAGGTGCATATTATATCCCTCTTGAGGTCATCAGCTCATGTATTCTTGAAGTCGGTGCTACCTCATGGTGCAACTCTCCTTGGTGTCATTCTATCCTCAGACAAGACATGTATCACCGCATTGACAGGCGATCGTGTCGCCCATCCACTACTGATCAGCCTCGCCAATATTCACATGAATAGGTAATTGAAATCATCTTTGAACACTTTCCTCCTCACTGTCCTGCTACCAGTCCCAAAATTCGTTTGTAAGAACAAACAGATGAAGGGCATGTTGCAGGATCGGCTCGTTCATCAGTGCTTGGATATAATACTAGAACCACTGAAGTTGGCTGCTTGACTGGGCATTATGATGTCAGATCCGATCGGATGCAGCCATTACTGCTTCACTCCACTTGCTAGTTACATTGCTGATACTCCGGAAGCGATGATGCTGGCATGCATTGGCGGAAAGACATCTCTAGTGACCATGGCCATGTACAAACAGTTCGGAGACGCCTTTCGCCATGAACCCTGGACAAAATCAACAACTCTTGCAAAGCTGGATATTGTACGCTCATGCGCTGATCCGCATAACCTCGAGGTGTTCTTCCGTGAAGCACAGAAGTTTTGCCTGAATGGCGTTGAGAAACCATTCTGGAGTGACTGGCCACTAGCCGAACCCTCCCATTTCTTCACACCTGAATCACTGCACCACATTCACAAGCAGTTTTACGACCATGATGCCAAATGGATTATCATTGCTGTGGGAGAGTCTGAGTTAGATTTTCGGTTCTCGGTTTTACAGCCTACTACAGGTTACCAGCATTTTCATGGAGGCATATCGAAGCTCAAACAAGTTACTGGCTGCTGTCATCGAGACATTCAGTGATCAATCATTGCACTCAGTGCAGATGCAATGCCTCCTGGTATCATGACTTCTGTACGTGCACTCATGCATTTCTGTTATCTTGTGCAATCGCCACACATTGATGATGATAATCTTGCCCACATCTCGGCTGCATTGGATGAGTTCCATGTGAATAAGCATGCAATCATCACTGCTGGGGTTTGCCATGGAAAAGGCAATACAACCATCGACAACTGGTACATACCCAAACTCAAGCTAATGCAGAACATCGTTCCTAGCATCTGTAGCTCTGGCATTATAGGTCAATGGTCTGCCAATGCCACGGAACATGCACACATCACGGAAGTCAAAAACCCTGCAAGATCAACCAACAACAATAATTACGCTCCGCAAATATGTTGTTATCTGGACCGCGCTGACAAGTGTAATAGGTTTGATCTTGCCATCGATCTTTTGGATGGCAAGCTGAGTGTTGAGGATCTGGAAGTTGTCTGAAAGGAACATGAAGATGATGACATTGATGAGGACGCAGATGTGGAGATTGTTGCTGTGGAGATTCCATCCAGCGCTCAGCAACCTGATCAGCCGCGTCCTATCACAGATTATTTCATGATCGCCAAAATGCTATAGCACAACAAAGCAGGATCAATACCCATCCCACTATGCTCTTTCGTTGTTGGGCGCACTGCCCTCCATCTTGCATATGATCCTTCTATTAGGAATATCAGTGTCGATGAAGTTGCCGTCACGTTCAACCTACCAGACCTTTGCCCAGCTATCGCTGATTTCCTTCACCGTGAGGAGACATCTGGACATCGTGTTCATGCAATCAGTGGTCCTCAAAGAGCTGGACCTGAAGCTGAACTTCCATTTGATAAGCTTCAAGTCTGGTTCAAAATATGTTTACAAGAAACGGACTTTCACAATGCCCATAAAATTCACCCAGCTCAAACATTAAACTGTGCACCACCTAGTGAGCCCTGGACTTCGGGCTGTTATGACACCGTCATTATCCAGACCAACACAGAGCAGTCATGGCCTACTTGTGGTCTTTCAGGTGTGCTTTCTGTCTCATTGTGATATCCACTATATACTAAAAAATGTGCACTGCAGGTCACTCGGTAGCCCAACTCAGACTTCTCATATGGCCTATTGGCAAAAGTGGTATTCCATGGTCTTGGGAAGATCAGTTCATCACCTATTTGCAACAATTTGATATCTCTAGTGAACGCGATCCAACTACTCAGCTACATGTGCTGAGAAGATCGAAGCGCTCTAATGGCAGTCGGATGGGGGACATCATTCCAGTTTCTCAGCTGAGAGCACCTGTCCATTTTGTCCCCCGCTTCAGCGCAACTGCAGATACACATTTTACTGCCTATAACAGCATGGAGCATGCATCTAAGTTTTGGCTAAACTATTTTTGGGACAAAAATAGCTTTTTTGCGCTGTCAGCTTAATTCATACCTGATAAGCAACACTTTCATGCACTAAAATATCAGTACCCACATAGAGATAGTACCTGTGTTGAAATGAGCCCTTTGTCCTCTCTTGCATGCAGTCATGTCACCAGCTTTGGAACACGAAAAAACTGTAGATTATGGGATGAAGCTCTCATTGCTGATGTCGGCACCCATGATTAATGATGTGCCTACACTGGACAAACTCACCGCTCTCAAACTCAATTGCTTAATCTTGCATGAACTGTCACCACAAAAAGATGATGCAGAGATTAGTTATGTGTTGTCGCAGATTTTTAGTTCATTTACCTTCCAACTTCCAGATGTCACAGAGCTACAGGTCCCATTACATAAAATTCGCTATCAGGATGACAGACTTCACAGAAAGTTTGCCACCACATGCGAAAATGACCTGGTTCACCTATACGACAAAGATGAATGCCAGTGGAACTGGCCGCTCCCAAAATCACACCACGATAATGATGAGCAGTGGCTGCTCCCTAGTGATGGGAGTCTTGGAGATTGGCAGGAGGAGAGTGCCATGGCAGATGTGGAGTCTGGAAGTGGAGGTGATGGCGGTTCATCTTTGGAAGAAGTACCTCTCTCTGGGTCACAGCCAGAAGATAGCGACTCGGACTTGGATACACCCTCACCACCATTCGAAGGAGTTTTTGTGATGTTCTTCAATGTTTTACGTTTTGTGCTTGCCCGAAAGGTGCCAAAGATTGTACAGGAGACCAACCCAGTCCCACGCCTGTGGAGTGCAGGAAACTCTACATGCCCTGTGAAAGATGAAGAAGTTTCACAAAAGCCTGACCTTGCGTTATTGGATGATGTTGAAGCTTGATGGGACACAATCAAGGCAGTTTGCAAGCTGACATTGCGACCATACTCAGCTACGGGCACAATAGGAAATACGCTGGACAACAAGGTGTTCCTTCTCTTCAGACGACAGCCTTGGAGATGGTTCATTTTACTTGTGTCCATGACCAAAGAGTATCGTAAACTTTGAGTTCATATGTACAACCACTCAGGTGCCATTGTAATGCCTCCAATTCACATTGAGACTCAGATCGAGGGGTCATACCCCAGGCACTCAAGTTTACCAAAGACAAGGTATGAAAAGATGTGTAAGAAATTGTTTGGAACACTGCAACCTGCCCAGCTTGAATGTGCATCGACTTTTCTCCGCCCCAGCGTAAACAGGTCACCCACACCAGACACGATGGAGGGTGTTGTCAAGAGCATCCTGTTACAAGAACATCTAGACGCTTGGGCCCCTACTATTTTTCTCCTTATCCTCCTTGTCTCCACCCTTGCATCACACCCTTACCCCAACCTTGCTCTTGTTATCCTCATCATCCTCGCATTCCCCTTCGCTCTCTACCTGTTGCTCCAGCAGAGCCAGTACATCTGGCCAGACCCTTTCTCTGACGAAGCATACCCATGCTCTGTTCCACCCCCTGACTGATCCTGTGGACAGTCCCCTTTGTCCTTACTGTCCGGATGGTAACCTATGATACGATGCACGCCGCATCCCCTTTACCCTGTTTCCTTTATTGATCTATGACTTGGTGCGCAGTCGCACATGTGTACTTATATTTAGTTCTGCAGTTGCACTATTGTGCCCCTGCACATTTTACTTCCTGTTCTGTTCTTTGACTCATTTCCTATCTGCATGTTCCAGTTCACCTATGACTCACCTCGAATGTGCCTTCCTTTTCTAGTATCACCCTTTGACCAGTTCCTTTTCTGGTAGTACGAGTTATCATCCACTAATACATGTCCTCTCCCTTATATAAACTCGCTACCATGTATCTAGTTCCTTAACTTGAATCTACTTGGTTCTTGACCTCCTACTCCTAACAAGAGTGATCCCTTCAGCCTAGCCAGCTGTCTATATTCTACTCTCTTATCTGCTCATCGTGGATAAGTCTTTAGTCTCAATCTTTACTCACCAACTTCATCATTGAGCAAAGCCCCTGTTACTAGTTGGACTCCCGTCCCTCTATTAATGCAGATCCTACGATTAACCTTCGGTGTCCTGCATGATGTGGGAATCATGCATGGACATGAATACTAGGTGACCCTCAAAAGACAAAGTCTGTTAGCTTAGTCCTCAGACTAGTCAACCCATACCTTGGTTTCAAACCATGGTTCATATTTCCAGTTTTCCCCAAGTTTCATGATCTGAATACGTTTTGACGGAAAAAGTCTAATGTGAGATGGGAATCACATTTAGACCTAGTTGATGTGAGAAGGGAAATGAAGGTTAAGGTATAGCCTTTCCTTTGGCTTATTCACTTTAGCTAGAGAAAACCATAGAGAAAAGTACAAAGCCTATAAAAAACCTATCCAAAAAGACCGTGTTTCAATTCCTGCCAACTGTCTTATTTTTGCTACCTATTTTTCTCTAGTGTTTCTTTACTTTACTTTTTCATTAGGATGCTTTGACTCACCTGACACTTCATAAAATTGTACCCATAGGGTATGATGTCATAATGATGTCATAAGACTCCGAAGATACTCCTGCAGGTATTCTGTTGAAAGATATTATGTCATCAAGCTCTAGATTATTTTACTCTACAATGACATCATTCATGATGTCATTTCCTTCTAGAATATTCTGCTCCACAATGACTCACTCTGACTCACTCATGGAAGGTTCTGGAATCTTTTGCTCCACAATGATGTCATAGCTCCATCTTTCACTTGTATTTTATTCTTTTATTGGGTTTGACCCAATATTTTGATTGGTCCTCCTTATTTTTTATTGTTTGTGAACCTAGGTTACTTTCCCACACAAAATGTATATAAGGAGAGCCCATTCTCCCCCCAAAAAAATATGATCTCCCATTTGTAGCTATCTGCCTATCAGATATTTCACTTGCAAAGTTAGTCCCTTTGAAGTGAGACAAGTGCAGGGAAAAGAATTCCCTTGAGATTATAAGTTTCTTACCTTAGAAACTTATTTAGTGCTATAGACCAAGCGTTCTTGGTCACATATATTGTCTTTGAGACCCCTTTGTCTCATTGCTCTGTGCCCTTTGACTAAGCGATCTTAGTCATCTATCATATTGTTGAGACCATGTCTCACTAGTTGTCCCATAGACCAAGCGATCTTGGTCAAGTTATAGTCCCCTTTGTTCAAGCGATCTTGAACATATATCGTATATTTGAGACCATTTGTCTCACAGTCAGGTGTCCATAGACCAAGCGATCTTGGTCATATTTCGTATATTTGAGACCACATCTCACTAGTTCCAGTATCCAAGTCCAGAGCCTAGAAGGAGATTTCCTAGGCAAATACATTCCAGAAACCGAATTACGTGTTTAGAAGCTTATTCCTAGACAAGAGATTTGAGTTTCAATAAAGAAAAGTAAAGCTCCGGCTAGGTTGATCTTTATAAAAAGATTAGTTTAGCGAGCCTCCCAAGAACTCACACGTTATCTACCATGAAATAGGAAAAGTCGTAGACCGTGTTAATCGAGGACTGGCAAGCAGTCTTATCCAAAGTGTAATTGTGGTGTCATTACATTTACACGACTTTATATAAGACCCTCGGTTATTAAGACATCGGGTGTCGTAAGTCTTGGCGGATACACTTATTGTCGAGCCCTGCTTGACATAAGCTACCCGATTTGGACATAGGTGTCAAATCTTACTTGCCCAGGGAGGTTGATCAAACGGGGCTTTATTGTTACAAGCTGTTGAACAGCCTTCAAGGTGCCATCCGCACACACATTTGTTTGGTGTTGAAGCCTCGTGCATGACCAGTTATATATGTTCTGGATGAAGGCAGAGTTGTTGGGTGCTATTTGGGATATCATCAGAAGTAAGTATATATTCAATACCCCCTCCCTCTTTTACATTCAACTGACCCAATCTTCCAGTTCAAAAGACAGCAGTGGAAGAAAAGGGTATTCTTCATCGTGATTGTAGTCTCAACAATTCGATGATTGAAGATGATGGTAACGGATCCCATGGAACCTTGATTGATTGGGAGTTCGCCAGTGTTTATCGCCCAGGGTCAAAAATACGCTAGAGGTGGGATGGTGAGTTTTATACTTTCCACAGCATGTATTCATCTGCTGATATCAACAATTAGGGCACAATGCCTTTCATGTCGCAGTCGCTCCTGTTCCAGCTCTCAGAGGCTGTTGATAGCATTGCAACACCTGAACGCAGCTTGAAGTGTACCCCGAATTCCCATGTGGTTCCAGCTCGCCTTATCATACACCACTATGAAGATGATCTCGAATCGGTCTTCTATGTCTTCATATAGATCTGTATTGGATACAGGGGTCCCCTTGGTGTCAAGTGTGTCCTTGATAGAAGATACAACTGGCTGGTGCACAAATGGTCCACCGTCACATTCAAGGCCTGCAACAACAAGAAGACTACATTCTTCTACCATTTGCACACACACAAATTCGAGGAGCAATTCCACCCCTATTTCAAAAACTTGTCCCGCTTGCGGTGGAATGGCATGATTTGATAAGGAACAAAGGACCATCGAATGCAGTCACTTTCCAGGAGGTCCTTGATTTGTTAGACAAGCACCTCACCTCACTTCCGAAGGAGCTTTCCCCTGAGCTTCTGTTCGCATGGAAAATCCTCAAAGGACTCCCACTGCCTGATATTCCTGTTCCTGCTGTGGATCCTGGAGTCAATGCTGAAAAAATGAAGCGAAAGTTGTCAGACAGTGATGTAGACCCACCCGATCCAATCACATCTCATGACATAACATATGGGGGTCGGATCTGGACAATGGAACCATACCACAGCCTAAACGCAACAGAACTACATAATCTTACTCATATGTTACGATGGCACACAATATTAATTTACAATCTCTTTCTTATCAGTCCTACATATTTGTCAGATTAAACAACCAGCCGAGTAAATTCCCACACGCTGTTCGAGTTACTTCATCACTCCACTCGTCGGACAACATAACACGGAGGAAAAGACGTATGCGAGTAGAGCATTTTCTCACTTGTTCTGACTCACCACCGCACACGAGGACTACCTTGAAGCTGCATCCCAGATCATATCGAGTCAGATCAGATAGAAAGGCCAGGTTTGAAAGGTAAGTTTTCGTGGATTATCACTTTGGGAGCTCATTGCATTCTTTGGTCATGCCTGATAGCCCGAAGAAAAAGTGGACCAAGCAGAAAGCTGCTGACAATCATCTCACAGGCATTAAGCCAAAGAGATCGCGAGCTCCCAACACAGACGACTCTCAACACCCTTGACGTTCAGGATGTCCAGGCGTGGGGAAGGGAGGCAGAAATGCTCAGCTAGAGTGACTAGACACTATCTTGGATGCTCCAACACAGACTAGCCAGCCCAAGGGCTCTCACTCCCTCGATCCAACTTTCCCAATAAATCCTGTCACTCCTGAACCGCCCTGCAAGGGTTGCGGAAAACGTTCAAAGGTAGATTTCATTTACTGTAGGTAACTGCACTAATTATTTTACAGAAAAACCAGCCCCCTCCCCCGTATGACATCTCGGAGCAACCGGTTCCAAACTCCATGATTCTCAATGCCATGACTCCAAATGCCATGACTCCCAATGCCAAGATTCCCAGACTGCGGCCTAAAAAAAAGGTGAGTTTTTGGCCCTGACTTATTAACGATTATAATATCCATTGCACAGACTGTTACTCCTTCCATGAGTGTGGAGACAGTGAGCAGCCAGCCCATTTTTTTACAATGCAAAGATGGCAGACAGTTTGGATTTTCTCAGCCCATTGTACCCCCTGGCACAGAACCTGACCTCCAGGCGTTAAACAACTCATTCATAGCTGCAGCTAAGGCAACACGTGTGGCTTCCAATGCCTCCCAACATCAGCTTCCTGTCAACGCTTCTAATACAGCTGGCAGTCATCTCGCCACTAGTGGTGGACCTTTACCACAGACAGCAGTCTCGAGAACGGCCTCAACTACCTCGGCAGACGCCTACTTTTACCATAGTTTGGACCCTGCCCTCCGGCAAACTGGATCCCAACTTAGGGAATCTAAAAGTTCTGACTCTAGCGAGGGTGACAGTTCCTCTGACGATGGTAGCGAAGACGAGCACATTGGTTGGGGGGCAGTTGGGGGGTGTCATAGTGTGCACCCTGGTGAGTTATTGCCCTCACAGCATCTGTGATCGCACTGATGAGTTCTAGGTTTTTCTGGGGAAGAGCAACCACCCCAACCTCAGGTTGTGTCTGCTCTTCCACCAGATTTTGAATTTCAATATTCATGCGACAAAGATGACCAAGTGGCTGAGAAAACATTGGCAGTCAATGACAACTCAAGCGATAGTAGTTCATTGATGGACAACAGGAATTCTCCTGAGGTATTAGCCCCTCCATTAATTGGATCACACTAATATTTTTCCTTTGAAGCCCAAAGATGTCTTAAAACTTCACCACAAGAAGAATGGCCATCCCCAGATGCCTGATCCTGAACTCTTAGATGTTCTCTGAAGCGCTGAGACAAACACCGGCAAGTCCAAGGCAAACACGCAGGCAGTTAAAGGTGCAGTAAAATCTAAGGAGGTTGAAGGGCCTAATGCTACCCAACTGGGTTGGTATGGTCCCCACTGGAGAAGCTTCCTCGAGGATGCCAAGGGAGGATGCCGTGTGCAGCAAGCATTAGAAAACCCCTTCCAAAATCTCGTCAACGATCTGCCAGTCTCTATCACAGAATCTCTTTCAGCATTGCTAATACAATGGCTCAAAAATGGCGGACAAGTTGAAGCTGGTATGTTGTTGTTTCCCTTGAGATATCATACTAATCCAGGACATCTACCAGATGTGTGGCCTGCTCACAAGCCCAACATGGCGAGGCTGGTGTGTATCTCTCTTGTCGTGCGCCTCATCCCTTATGTCGTTTCTAGTTATATGATGATTTAGCAATGTGGCATTCTGACCTCAAGAAGATTGCTATTGCCATCACACCTTCTGTGTATAATCTTGTCCCCCTGGCCACCATTCCCATCCAGGAGCACGCAGCTTGGGTTGAAAACGCCACTACTGATTTGCTGGATGATTCCATGTTTCTTCGTGATGGAGTGGATGAATTTGGGAAAACCAAGAACTTTGCTCACCCTGAACTTTGTGAGGCCGCCATACTTTTCCTGTATACTGGGTCCTATCATATTGCTCACAGGCAGCCTGATATATTTCGGAAGGAGACACCATTGGCCTGCTTAGCTCTCATCTGCACAACAGTATTTTCTTGGTACTGGTGCACTACTGATTTGCTGATACTTTTTTTCAGTTCAATTGTGTCTTTGATGGTCTCATTAAGAATGGAAATGGAAAATCTTTTCCGAAGTTCACTGCTAAGGAGTACGAGCCCATTTATAAAGCAATGCTCAAGCTTCTTGAAGATGTCATGAGAGACCCCTACCATGGTCCAAGGCTGGCGCAACAGCTTCGTGCATGGGCCGAAGCTGGATGGTAAATCGACCCTTTTTACAATGTTCGGCACTGACAAATTTCATAAGGACAGAGTCCTGTAAGCTCAACGGTGTTGACCCATTGAAGTGCTGCCACCTGTGCATCCAGCTTGATTGAGTACCGTAGTCACCGCGCATACTATCCTCGTATATCATTTTTCTATTTTTGTTTGCTGTCATGTAGTCATGTGATTCAATCTATTGTTGATCATATGCTATTCTTAGATTGGAGGTCCAATAAGCGTGATTTCTGCGCAGGTTTGTGAGTCTCTGTACAGAGAAAAATGATGCTATTGGGTATGTGCTGGGTGGGTCTGTGAGTGTATGTACAGATGTACACAAACAAAGGTGCTACTGTGGTGAGCTAGCTAGTAGGGTCTAAGCTGTGTGTCTGGTGTGCTGTGTAGGTCTGTGTAGGTCTGTCCAGATTGTGGGAATTTACTGATGCGCTATATGCATTATATATCATATTAGGGACACTCAAAGTTTGGGGCGCACATTTTGCCCATGCCCACCGCCCACACCTATGACCCCTTCGCACAAAACACACCCTACCTAAAACGTAGTTTGCACATTACCTAATATCGACCTTGCTGAAAAATAATCACTCAATACTTTACACTTTGTTGTCGTTGTGACTCCGTTGTTGTCTGCTTCATGATGGGGAAGAAGAACACCGGAGTCGCGATTCCCTGAAATCGAATGGACAGCCGATGTAATCTGGCAACTGCTGACCCAAATATTAGAGTTGTCGGAGAACAGAGTGGTGCTGCTGGGGAAGCGCAAGAAGGGCGAGGTAAGCAAATCCAAATGGCACAAGGGTACAAGACTGATATGATGACTTGCAGAGAACATCAGGGCGACAGCAAAGTCACCGTTTACCAGCGCATGGGGGCCGCAATATTCCCACAGTTGCATAGCTTGAATGCTGTTGCCGTTGGAGACCGTGTCAAACGGAAATACTGAGCAGTAAGTCTGCCACATCTTTTGTTTTCTGAAGCTCATACAGTTCTCACAGCCTGACAAAGAAATACAAAGAGCTGGCTCGCCGACTTCGGACAACAGGTGAAGGCATCCAAGCTGATGCAGATGGCAATCTGTCTGATGGTGACAATGAATATTTCGAGTGTTACGTTCCTGCTTCTGGACCGAACGAGACAACTACTTCATCACAAAAATTGCGCAACTGAGAGATTACCTGATATGGATGATAGTGTGGCTGAACATATGACCAAACAAGTCCGTGTGATGTCATCAACACCCCGACGCAACATTTGAATGCAGCAATTAACTCAGAATGAGACCTCCCACCTCGCGATACTATCATAACAACATTAAGTAGATGATTATTGTATCTACATGACATATCCTAGATACTAAAATATGTACACAATGTTGTATAGGTACTGTAATCAAAGTCTTTGCACAACATACAATGAAAATGAAAATTTGATGCGCTGAGCATTCAATCGATCGAGAAGCGTGCTAAATACATCAAAGTGCGCCATATCCTTCCTCTGCAAGCACGTCATCATCGAGCTCCTCTCCTTTGTCAGCCATGACTCTACCCTCGTCATCACCTTCTTCATCACTGCTCTCGCTGTCAGCATTGTCATCCTCGATATCCTGCCACTCCTCCACTGTATCAGCCACATCTGATACGTCGGCAATGATTTCTTCAAGCTGATCACCCTCTTCCAGTTCTTCGGCTCCATGTTTCTCATGTTGGAGAATATCGTCCCAGTCTCTGGTAGCTTTATGGCCGATTCCACCACCACGAAACCTCATGAACATGTCTCGATCGACAAATCTATATACATGATGTAGATATATCAGCCTTAGTTGCAAGAATAAATAAAAAACAAATGCGCACATGTTCACATATTGAAAACGGCAGTCAGACTCAGGATCTTGAGGATCCGAATGATGTTGAAAACTGGGAATCAGATGAACCCCACGAACAATGGAGTCTGGATCCAAGAATCCATATGCGTCAGGACTGTCTTCATTGAAGAATTCAAGGCGCCGGAGGCGTTTTGCAGCCCAACCTGCAGGTGAACTATCCCGTCTGAACCATTGGACAAATAAGAAGTCCATCCGAGTTGGGTGTGAGTATGTCTGAGTGTCGTCCTTGCGGTATTCAACATTGATATGAAAGATCCTGATCACATGGGCATACCAGTATGGATGAATCTTCTCATCTTCGTGGGAGAGAAGCATAATGTCGGCACGAGTACAGGGATTGATGGTGTCCTGTTCGCGTCGTAGATCGTAGGTTGTATAGTTGATGCGCAAGATACTGTGATGGTATATCTTGTTGTCTGTGAATAGAACCGAGGTGCGATCAGCATCAGAGAAGTCATGCTCATCTCCGTCATATGCAAAATTGCGAAGTCGAGCAAGGAGATGGTCCTTGAGTCATGGAATAAACTCCTAAGAAAATACAATGAGAATGTGAATACACATGTATGAAAATAGCTTACCTCAATTGCAAGATCAGGCAAATCTCCAATGTCTCTGCGCTCGATTAACCAAGAGGTGATGTCGTCATTTGTGCGAGCATATGTTGCAATTGAATAATGATCCGAAGGAGACATTCGGGTGCATCGTGGTCTCAGAATCTGCTTTGCTGCAAGGGCAGCAATCACCTTCTCAATTAGGTGTTCCCATGCTTCTTGAGAAGTCATGCTGGATAGGGTTTGATCCGTCTTCTTGGCTGTGCGAGGGTATCGGCGCTTTGATCGACGGTGCTCGAGTTCTCCCTGTATAATATTAGATATTGTATGAATAACATTATGAAGAGATCACTTACTGGTTGTGTTGAATAGCTATCTGAAGTACCAACTTGCCGGATAGTATTTGGGTAATCAGCGAGCGCGTGATATTTGTAGGTGAAAAGATTTAAGGTTTTCACATTTGGGTTAGACTTCTGCAATGTGTTTGCAGAACCCACTTGTTTTGATGCCAATGCAGCCTCACGGCGTCCACGTGCAGCGTACTCGTTTGGAAGTTCAGTTGTGTGATAGTACGCACAAACAGTGCATTGAAATTTGCGAACTGATTGTCCGAGGATCACAATGACAGAGTCGAAGAATGCGAGAGTGTCAGTCCGTATGTACACGAAGTTTTGCGTAAGCATGCCAGGTAGCGAGGTTGAAAAGGAGGTCAAGAACAACTATATCATGTTCAGGAGGGAGTAGTCCTTCGAATACTGGGATAGCGCACTTGAAATGAAAGCCCATCAAATTCTGATCTGAATGTCTGATCAGATCGATCTTACCTGCAACATGTCTTCGAAATCACAGGGCTGCCAGACGCTTCATCGCAGATGCATTTTTATGGAAACGTCTGATCGTTCCCCTGCCAAATGTAGGAACTTGACGGTACCTGTATATAGTCTTATAAGTGTTGTGTTACTGTGGCGAAAAACACTATGACTTACCTGAAATTGAGATCTTTGACTACTGTACCACCCTGCAGCAAGAAGAATGCACATCAGATGTATGAAAATAGCTTTCCACACACCCAACTCGAACTTGTGAAGCAAGTCCATGACAAACATTGAAAAAAAATTGAATGTATATTTGAGGAACCGTATAGAGAATGTGTTCTGATATGAAGTATTGAGGTATATATATAAGATTCATACATAAATTACTTACCTGAGTTGGAACTAGTGACTCGTCTTGTAAAATCCTCTTGATGTGTTGGCCGTTGATACCAACACCACGTTTAAAAATGAGCCTGCAGGCTTTTTCAATTTTGCGATGACGTCATTCGTCATCGACACGCTGAGTTGCTTGGCACTTCTCAAGATCAATCTTCAGTCCCATATTGGGTGTCTTCTTTCTTGACAAGGCAGCGGGGGCAAGGACATTCGCCGAGAAATTTGATGCAAGCAAGTAGAATCCTGTAACAATAGACATAGAATGTGACACAAGTATAAGAATTAAAATCAAAACACGTACTTTTCAGGATAGTCTGCGGAGTAAGTAAAGAAGCGGGGGAAAACACATCGAGTGATACCATCACCACATTGAATGACAATACCATTTTTGTAGGCGTCCATGAATTTTTCATCCAGTAAAAGCGCCCATATGGCTTGCATGAGCTCATGTTTGCAGTGAGTATAGACATCACTGGATGATGCCTCACCGAAGAGACGGCCATAACGGTCTTGGAAGTCATCAGGAAGCTTAATACATCAGAATGAGTATAATCAAATTAATAGATCACGGATGTAACTTACATTAGGAATATATGCAACATGATGACAGGCGGACACTGTTGGCTTGCCTTGCATGTACTTAGATTGATTGCCAAAACAGAGGTAGAAGGGCCAGAGAGACGCATCTCCGAAGCTGGCAAGATGAGTGCTGTCAGACCACATCATCAGCAAGGCTACAACTCGCTCGAGATTATCACCTGGATCTCGGGGAAGTGCATTAATCTCCTCGTAGGCTTCCAGAAAAGAAGGTGAGGAATACACCTCGCTGTAGACATTTATAACATGACCTTCGGAGATCTTCCATTGCTGACGGAAAGGCATTAAATGAAATGTCAATATGATCTTGTCCTCAAAGATGGATATAATAATGTCAGTGAGGGAGCGGTGATGAACACCCAGAATCTCCAATTCTGGGGCTTCTTCTTCAGATGTGAATGTGACCTTTTCTTTAGGCAGGCGTATTTTTACTGAGGAGCAGCGCCAGCCATTCTCCACACGGAATGGGTTAGATCTGTCTTGAAATATGCATTCATAAGCTTCTTCTTACGCACATCATCAAAGACACGCATGTCTTTTCTCTCATATTCATCGTTATCTAGAAACAACCATGTGAGGTGTTTTATTTCGGCACTCGATTTGGAGTTCATGCCAGAATACTGCCAGCACATTAGAAGACCTGCAGTTGGGCTGCTGAATGGGGAGAAGATATCTTCAGGCCGAATGTCTTGGGAGGGAAGTCCGGAAACAATCTGAGATCTCTCCAGATGAGGGTTGTGC